TGGTAATCCAGGAACCTAGAGAAAGTGTTGGTCAAAAAAACTAATACAAACGGAAAATTTATATTATCAATAAATAAAAAAATTAAAAATTAAATTATAATAAATAAACCTTCCACGGAATATTAGCCTTCCAACACCTCCATGCTTCACTAAGATGTTGAAGTATTGTACGAGCTTTATTCTGTTTAATTCCTTCTGGCATCATATCTACAATATCATGCATTACTGATGCTCTTAATTCAAGATCGAAATGCGATTCTACTCTTTGTTTTGTTACGGTTTTTGCAACTCCTTTTGAATGACGACCTTCGAATTGTCTAGATAACAAATTTCCTAACCATCTTTCTAATAATGGTGTAATTCCTCTCATAAAAAAAAGCCATACTCTCCAGCCTGGTGCCCAAAATCCACAACCAGGACCTTTTCCAACAGGACCCTATCCATTTATATATCCATCATAAAAATAATTAATAATTTATTATAATATTTAAATGATATTAATAACATATGATGATAGTAATGTAATATAATGATAGTAATAATATTAAATAACATTAATAACAACCGTGTATTCTTACCGTATTAAAACGATAATAAATTAAATGTTTTAAATCTTTACACATCCTAATTTGTCGCATTAACTTATATTTATATCGATACATTCCAGTTAATTGACCAACATGCGCAAAAATATATTGCAATCCATCGGCAAGTTGAAATGCATCAACATTATTCAAACGATATTGTACATGAGAATCTATGATCAATTTCGTTAAACGTAGAATCTCACGACATAAATGAAAAGCTGAAAAAATAAAATTTTCTTAATAATTTTATACCATTACTAATAAAATGAATGTAGTATATATTTTTTTAGCACTTACCATTTCCAAATCTAGATTTCTTTCTTTCCTTCGTCGTGAGAGTTTTAACCGGTTTCAAATTAAAATTATAATCCAAATGAAGATAATTTAAATTTTTTCTATGAATGAGTAAATTCAACATATTATATCCCTGTCTACAGACTTGTAGACCAGCTTCAACCCAATCTATTGTAGTAGTTTGAAAAAATTTAGTTGACTTGAAAGATCGAAACAAGTAACGTTTCTTTTGTGGTTTAGGATGTCTGTGTTTTAATGCATTCAACACAAAGTATTTCAATAGTTTTTGATAACTAACTCGAACTTTAACAGGTTGTCCTGGTGGACAATGTTCTCTATACCAAGATTTCACTAAAGGAATATCAATGGCTCGTCTTGTTCTGCCGGAACGAGTATTAAATGGTCTTGGTGCCCATAATAAAGCTATTCCATTCGCTGTATTATCAGTATATAACGGCGTTTCTTGAAGAAAAGGTTGTACTTCTTCAGGAAGCACAAAATCCTCATCATCCTCAATTTGTGGTTCCACTGTCTAAAAAATATATAAAATTTATGCATTTTAAAAGTATAATAGCTTATATCAATTATTCTAATTAAATATATTTAAATACATACCTTTAGTGAATTTCTATGAGAAATAGGATTAATTAAAGGATCAAAATAAAACGCAGGTAAATCAGGATCTTCGGTTTTTATATAGACAACATTTGGAGCATGGTACCTGTAAATATAATTTAAAAATTTCATTATTGTAATTCTATTAATTTCATTTTAAATTATATTAAAAAATTATACATAAGCATTCATTAAATATTGTAGGTGATTTCAGCAGTTGCCTTTTATACTGTACAAAGGATACGAATAACAATCACCTTTTATTACTTTACCACACTGCTAGTAAGACTTTAATAAGCTAACAATAAATGAATCTTAAAACTCGTGTGGGAATATTTATTTTATTGAACAATTTTATATTACTCACCAAGATAAATGCACAAAATGTGGCATATTATTATATAAGTAAGGAAATGCAATACGATATTCTGTTCTTATAGGCTGTCTAATAATAATTTTATTGATATCGTTAAATTCGTTCCAATCTTCATCGGCTGCATTTGAATCCTTCACTAATGGTTCAAATTTTGGACCACCAGGTATAGCCATATTTAATGCTTTTGCAGTAAAAAATGATTTTGGATCAAAAAGATAAAAGAAATTTTGATCAACTAAATCCGTTAATAATTGATTAGCCAAACGATATAAAGTCGCCATCTGTGGTAAAGTCAAATTCCACCTTCGATAAGTAGATCCATTTACATGCCTGTAATATCATTAATAATTAAGTGTAATTTTGGTAAATAATGTTAACATTATAAAATATAAATTATCAATTCAGTATAGCGTTTTATCTAGCTAATAGTAACTTGTAGTACTCATCTCGAATAAGACTGTCAAATTACTATAGCCATCAACTCACATATTAGTTGATCTCAGGACCCCTACGCGATTCATCATAATATAAAAAATATATATATTTTCAAATTTTATCATTTTAAATAATTAATATAAATAAATGAAATAAAAAATATTCTTAATTCTTAAAATTCAATCAATATTTACTTTGTACCAACAAGTGGTTTATGTTCATAAAACCATGATGCAACGGATTCATCTTCTTCTGAATCCAATTCAATTTGAATAGCTTCCAAGGGTTCTACATCCAAAACATTATCCGCATAATCCAATGGAGGTTCTTCATCATCAAATGGTGGAAATCTCATTCTTTTGAAATGTCTACGATCCCGTTTCTCTCTTCGCATCATAATCCACATTGTACTATATAATAAAAAATAATAATAAAAAAAAATAAACAAATGAAATGTAGATATTATATATATTATATACAAAGTATTTTTAAAATCATATTATGATTCTTTTTTGAATATATTATGACTTCAGAATATATTTATGAATATATTTATTTATTATTATTAAATAATGGAATAAATAAAATTTTATTCTTTTATAACTTACCCCCATTGTGCAATATATACAGGTTCTATAACCCAAGGAATTTCATTTACAAATGTAATTGCACCTGTAATATGATAAAGAACCTTTACATCTCGAATTTGTTCCCAGGGCATTGGCATATTTTCTAGAAGTTTCATAACTGCATGAGGCATATATTTTAATGCTCTAAAATAAAATCAAGAAATTATTTTTTTTTTATTTTTTTTATAAAAACATTAATATTAATTTATTAATATTATTTATTAATATTATTTATTAAATATTATTACACATTATATTTACACATTAATATACTAATAATATTTAATTTTTGATACACATATTTACTAACCCCAAATAAACTCGTTTGTCATGTCTATATTTGCGACTACTCATGTCTCCATGATCTCTAATAATTTTTCTTATATGTTCAGGAGGCATATCTTCTTTTTGAGCATCCACAAAACCAAACTTTCTTTTTTCGGCAAATCTTTTTGACTGAAGCTGTTGCCATTTTTGAGCTAAAATTATATAAATATTTCAAATAATATTAATATAAATAATATAAATAATAAATTTTATATATACATTAATATATATATAATGATATTATATATATATATAATGTATATATAAATCTTTATATCTTAACTAAAAAACTCTATCATAACTAAAAAATCTTTAAATTAATAACAATTTCAAATTTTTATTACACAATCATCATATTAACTTAAATTTAATCTTCCTTTCAAAAGTTTAGAAAATATTAATTTTTTAAATACCTTTTTCTTGAAGTTTATCTTCTGATAAAACTTCTGGTTGTTTAGGCATTTGTGGTAATGGTGGTCCTGCTATTGCTTGCATATGAGCATGATGTGCAGCTTGTGCATGTGCGGCAGCTTGAGCATGAGCTTGAGCTGCAGCTAACTGAGCATGAGCTTGTTGTTGAGCCATCATAGTGGCCCAAGGATTAGGACCCAATAAATATGGTGGAATTGACATTTTTTCAAATTAAATAAGTAGAACAAAACTATAATAAAACATTATATCATATTTTAATATTTATAACTTTTATATAAATTTAATATAAAATAATATGCATATATTAAAATGATGAAGGATTATCTAAATATATATATATAATTATGAATTTAAATAAAAGTATTCATTGATTAATTAAATTTATACTTTTCTTATCTTTTTTATTTTAATTTAATGGATATATATTCATATAAAAATGTATTACTTAAATAAACATTTGTATTATCAAATATATATTTCAATAATGTATCACATAACCTATAAACTATAAATTATTTAAATGAATGTTTCTATTGATGGATATATTAAAAAAAATATTTTTAATAATATATCATAACTAAAGTATAACTATATGAATTTACATTATATTTATAGATACTGTTATAATTGTTGATAGTTTCATTAAAATCTTACAATATATTTTATAAAATTTTACATGTTTCGTTGAAATAAATATGTCTTTATTATTTCAATTTACTTACAATTGTTAATTAGTTTAAATAATCGACAAAAATGTGAAATATTTCAGTCATCTAATATGAATAATAGCAAATAGCAAATACATACAAAGATTGATTGTAATCAATATAATATTGTAAATAGATATCGTTATATTGTACAAAACATTAAATAATTAAAATTTTAATTATTTTTTTCTTTTCTATTTGATATAATTACATAAAATTTAATAAAATTTTATTTGAAATATTTATAAATTGTAAACTTACGTTATTTTTTATATGATATCAAGCATGTCAAGTATATGTGTAAAAGTGACGCTATTGTTGCTCTAAATTATGTAAGTATTTAGATGCTCCTCTCTGCAACCTAACCATAATTTAATATCCAATTGAGAGAACAATTCAATGTTTTTGTATTCTCTAATTTTGATCATATCGTAGATGGCGTAATCATTTTCTTTTCCATTTTTTATGCATTTTAAAATATATTAAAACATTGTAATATATTTTATATCATAATTGTATATTTAAAAACTAAACAATTTATCTTGCAAATTTATTGCAAGATATAAATTAAATATAAATTTTTTATTTGATCTTAATACTTCTTTTTTCTAATTTGATCTTAATAAAATTTTAGAATTTTAAATTGGATTGAAGAATGATTTATAAAGATTATATTATAATATAGTTTATCATTAAGAAAACTATATGTAACTTTATACAAAGTAGAGTCAACTTATTTCACATTTATCAAATTAATGAGAAATGTATATTTCTTGTTTCTATTTTCAAATAGAATAAAACTTTTAAATGTTTCTATATACTTATTATATATTTTATGCTAGATTAGAGTTGGCATTCACGTTGGAACATAGTTTGTGTCTGGAGTACTTGAATCGTTTCATGTTTCTTTTTCAAAATTTCTGATATTCCTTTTTAATTATTTTGTCATAAGATAAGAAAGTGAAAAAAGGAACAAAATAGTAAATAATCTTCGTAATATTACACATACTTTTATATAGATTTTGTAATTCACGTTTATAGGTAATTTAATCTATCACAAAATCAGTGTGGAACACGCAAATAAAGGGAAGTATAATATACTACCGCATTTACGCACATACGTAGATATCTATGTTATTCGAACACATTAAGATCAATTAAAGTTATTGACGAAAAAAACTTTTAAATGTAATTACGTTGTAAGAAGAATGGCTGGAGTATTTGACATAGAATTACATGACGGAGACTCTATAAATCAAGACGAGTCGGATGATGATATCGTTGAAAATAGAGAAGTTTGTGTTTTGTTAAATTTTATTAATTTTAAATTATTGTAACAGGTTTATAATATGTTTCATTTTTTTTTTAGGAAGAATATAATCGTACTACAAATATAAATACAATATTAGAGTAAGTAGAATAAATTTTTCAAAATGCATAATATTATCTATTGAATATTGTTAAAAATATATTATTATATTATAATTATATATATAATATATATAAATATATAATAATAATAATAAAAATATTTAATTTATATATTTATATATATATATATATATGTTTGATTATTGTCTTTTTATCTTTTTTTTAAAGGAAAACTAAAAAATTTTATTTTTTATAGATCTGATAATTTAGAAAGAGTACAGTTATCAGAACAAAATGTCAATGCAGGACAAGAGAAAACTGGTCCGCAAGATTTTGAATTATGTAAAATCCTTGGAGAAGGTGGATATGGAAAAGTTTTTCAAGTAAAAAAAGTAACTGGAAAAGATAAAGGCAGTATTTTTGCAATGAAGGTAAATATTTCTATTTATATATGTATGTAAAAAGCTTTATAGTTTTTTTATTTGTATAGGTATTACGTAAAGCATCTATCATAAGAAATCAAAAGGACACAGCTCATACAAAAGCAGAAAGGAATATTTTAGAAGCAGTAAAAGTAAATAAATTTCTTTATAAGATATTTATTTATTTATTTAGCTATTTATAAAATCCTTATTTATCTTTTTTTTTCAGCATCCATTTATTGTAAATTTAATGTATGCATTTCAAACTGGTGGTAAATTATATTTAATTTTGGAATATCTATGTGGAGGAGAACTCTTCACATATTTAGATAGAGAAGGCATTTTCTTAGAAGATACTGCTTGGTAAATTAATTTGTCTATTTTATTAATTTAAATGATGATAAATAATAATTTATTTATATTATATTATATTTTATATAAATTTTATATATATTAATAATTTAAGTATAACTAAATTATTATATCTTTGTATTTTATATTTATAGTTTTTATTTATCTGAGATTATACTCGCATTGCAACATCTTCATAATCAGGGTATTATATACAGGTATTTTTAATCATTAATATTATTTATAATTTATAATAGCATATAACTGGATTGATTATTTTTATAGGGATTTAAAGCCAGAAAATATTTTATTAGATGGCGAAGGTCATGTTAAATTAACAGATTTTGGTCTTTGTAAAGAACATATAGAAGAAGGTACAGTAACACATACATTTTGTGGAACCATAGAATATATGTAAGTAAAATATTCTTATTATATTAATAAAAATCTTATTGTTAAATTAATTAAAAATAAATTGTGAACTTAAATAATTTGGCTAAAAATATATATATTATAACTATTATTATCATTTAGGGCACCAGAAATTTTAACAAGAAGTGGACATGGGAAAGCAGTTGATTGGTGGAGTTTAGGTGCTCTAATGTTTGATATGCTTACTGGAATGGTATGTAAAATAAATATTGCAAAATATTTTTAAAATATAAAATTGAATCAAATAACATGATTATACATACATATACTATTCCTATAGCCACCATTTACAGGAGATGATAGAAGAAAAACAATCGAGAAGATTTTACGCGGAAAGTTAAATCTTCCGTTATATTTAACACCAGATGCAAGAGACTTAATACGAAAATTATTAAAAGTATCTTTTCATTTTCTTTTTATAAAATAATAATTTTGTTTAGTTATTGCATAATTATTTTATATTAAATATAATAATTATTGTATATTTGATAATACTTAATATGTGTTTTACATATTAATTACAGAGACAAGTATCACAAAGATTGGGATCTGGACCCGAAGATGCTGAACAGATTATGAATCATAATTTTTTTGAACATATTAATTGGCAAGATGTAATATCGCGAAAATTAGAGCCTCCTTTTAAACCATCATTAGTAAGTATTAATTTAACTAAAACGCATTGCGATAATAAATACATAAATTTTTTAATATTTATAGAAAAGTGCCGATGATACATCGCAATTTGATGAACAATTCACAGCAACTGTACCAGTTGATTCACCAGTTGAAAGTACTTTAAGTGAATCTGCTAATATGATTTTTCAAGTAAGTTACAAATAAATAATAAAAATATATTCGAATTAATTTTTAAAATAAAATTATTAAAATTAATGTAATAATTATTATTTGATTCAATATTAAAATAATATAACAAAATATTTGCAGGGTTTTACATATGTAGCACCTAGTGTTTTGGAGGAAATGTGTGCACAACCAAGGATCGTAAACGCTAGAAGCCCACGCAAAGGTTTCTTAAGTACAGGAAGTCTTCACAGTTTGTCATCAAGATCACCTGATGGTCACATTCGTACAACATCTCATTTTCACCAACATAGGTATTTTTAAATTTAATATTTCATTTATTATTTCGAAAAGCACAAGTATTTTATACATAAATTCAATCATAATTATTAATTATCTAAAATATGTGCTTCTATACTTGAAAAATTATTTTTTAATTTCTAGGCATCACGTTGTAGGCTCAAATAATATGGAAGATACCGAAATGGCGGATATAGGTCCGCTTTTTAATTTTTAAATATAGCATAATAAATTTAAATAATCAAATTAATAATAGAATCATTTATAACGAATAGAAGAAAATGTTGGATCTTCCATTTTAGATTCAGCAAAAAATTTGTAAAATTATGTCCCATAATATTTGTTCTTCGTTCCGACGAAAATAGTTTAACTATTTAATTATCGAATTTAATGCGGTTTGAATTTAGACATAAACAATTCTAAACTTTAAAAGAAGTTACGCTTATAGAGCAGCGGTGCTACTCTACAAATCATATGTAGGCCTGTAATTGCTCTAATATGACTGATAATTATTTGCAATGTAAAAAAGTAATATTATATGCGCTTTTATTGTGTAAATATGTGCAGATTTCGATAAGTACAATTTATTTAAAAAAAAATTCTATATCATTAAAAATCTGAAAAGTATTTTTGATGACATATCTCATCACTAATTTATATACATATATATATGTGTGTGTGTATATACAAGATGTTAGTATTGTAGAATATCTTTTGAAGATCAATTTTAACCAAAACAAATACAAAAATTGATATAATAATAAAATTTCAGTTATAATTTATTTATCATAAACAATTGAATGATTAATTATTATAAATAATTTAAATTTGTATTAAATATAGTGAAATGTAGAGTGAAGCAGTTGTAGAAATATTGTATTCTTTTCCCGTCTCACTTCATCTAATGCAAACTTAAATTATTATAATTATATATATTAACTATAACTTAATAAATAAGCCAACATTTTTGTATATCTATTTTTGTGTTTGTTTTTGTTTCTAAAACTTACTTTTCAAAGATATTCCACAAATATGTTAATATAACACCTTCTATATACATATACAAGTTTATTGTTAGCATATAAGATGAAATTAAAAAATTCATTCAGCATATATATATATTAAGAGATTTATTCTAAAAAAAATAAAAAGAAAAAGAGTCTATAATTTCTTTGAAATAAATTGCTCGTAAAAATATGTAAATCATACACTGTTCAATAAATTAAATAAATTCAAAAGAAATATTTGAAAAAATATACATTCCAAAATCATTCAAGTTTCTCAAATGATAAATATATTTAATTTATATAGATTATGCTGATTAAGATAGAACATTGAATATAATTAAATTTAAAGTTTTTTTGTTTTGCTATTAAAAAAAATTAATTTGTTTAAATAATATTATTATTAAAATATGTTATGAAAGAGAGGGAGAAGCTTAAAAAAAAAAAAAAAGAAAGCAGTATATAAAATTATATTAAGCTTTGTCATATAATATCAGAGAAGAATTATAAATATATTTATGTAAATATAGCTCGGTGAATCAAATAATATTTCACAATAAGAAAAAATTAGAATTCATGCTATATAATATCTTGTTTTTAAGATTAAAATTTTAAAAGTATATTTTAAAAACGGAATTAATTAATATATTTAAATTTTTTGATTAAGATTTATACGTTTCATCTTATATGTTTCCTCAAATTTGTATTCGTTCATTAAAATATGTATATGTTTTTACACATGAACAAATTTATGTCTTTCACTGATATTTTATTTATGTCTTTCACTATATATAATATAATAATATGCTTAAGTTATATCTATAATATTTTTATAGATAATAATAAGTCATTGTTTTTTATTTACTATTAATTCAATTTTATTTTTTACATGTAATCGTTGTGAAAATGACAATTATACAACAAAAATTTTAACTGCCCAAGTGTTCACAGCTAATAGCTGGATAGTATTAAATTTTCCATAGAAAAACTTATACATGCTCACCTATACACTTGTGTGTAGCAATATGTATGTAAAATTCTTGTTAATAGTTAATATGTTATAAAAGTAAAATGTTGAGAGTGAGAAATTAATATCTTGTAAGATAAATATACAAAGATATGAAAATGCTCTCTTCCTTCTTTAAACTTTAAAAGATTATTCTAATGGTTTCATATATTTCCATAACAAATTTACTATATAAAGAAGTAAATGAAGCATTTTCAAATATTCATATATATATCTAATGATATATATTATTAAATTTAATTTAGAAATTATTACATTGTTTTGGTATCTGTAATTAGAAAGACATATCGAAAAACTTAGCAATTAATTTTACATAAATATTAGTACATAATATTATTACAAATTCATATAGATAATGTTTTAAAATTCATTCTTGTATATATAATGTTTTAACATAAGTCCTGTTTATATAATATGTATTTATTAAGTAGTTACAGATTTTTGAAAATGTTTTTCAAAACCGAAATTCTGTAAATACTTAATAATATTAATGTTATATATTGATAATAAAAGATCGAATATAGCTACTTATAGATGAAATAATAACAAGTTTAAAATAATATTTGTATAAAAAATTTCTTTAGATAATCTTATTCCATATAGAATATTAACAAAAATTTAACTTTCATCATATATATTTGAAATTCATTAAATATTTAGATAAATTTATATAAATATTTAATTTATATAATATTTATATAAATATTTATATATATTTATCATTTATTGTACTTTCTATTGCATAATATTATGAAAGATATACAAGTCAGTTATATAAATTGTTTCAAGTCAAACAAGTTATCAACTAGAAAAACTAAAAAAAAAATTAAATCTTAGAAAATTTTTTGAAATTTTATAATTATAATATGATATATGAAATATTTAAAATATTTAAATACAAGGATAAATTTTCAATATTAAATTTTGAACTTTCTCAAATGAATCTCAAATTTTGTTCAGATAAGATATGGACAACGAATTAGTAGCTATAATTCCCTTTTAATTTTTGATGTAACTGATTTAATTTTTATACTAAAAACTACTGAAATTTTATCATAATATTGTTTTTTTCTAGATTTTTATGATTTCAAATATCAAATATCAAATCATTAAAATTCTATTTTTTAATTGTTGTGTTGATGGAGTAAATTACTAAGAAAACAGTTATTATAATCTGAGAAATTCGTTATCCTCGATATAAAACATAAAAATGAATATAAGATATTATTACATGTAATTTTATATATTTTTTTGGACATCTGCTTGAAAATCATGTGAAAATTATCATTGTTTACATGATTTTTTTATGTATATATACATTATATTTTACCCGTTTTGTTCTTTATGATTTATATCATTTATTATATTTAATAATTCATATATGTTTATTAATTATATTCAATTCAGAGTTTATATTAGTATATATTTTTAATATGAAAAGATATTTTAATATCGTTTTATTTTCTTTCTATTTTGATTTTCATTAGTTTCTTTTCCAGTAAATTTTACAAGCTCTCTTTTTCTATGATTATTAAACTCTTTATGTTTACTTTCTTTCATATCATTCTCATAAGATTTTTTATGTTTGGATTTCTTTTCATGTTTAAATCTATTTCTTTTCTTTCTACTATCTGTTTTATTTTTTTCCTTCTTTTCTTGATAATTCATAGAATCTCCATTTGAAATAGAATTTTTTTTTTCTTTTTTTTGTTCCTTTCTAAATCTTTTTGTACCACAGCTATTTATGATGCTACTACTAGTATTAGTACTTTGAGTACTACTACTATTACTACTATTACTACTACTACTAGTACTACTACTACTACTACTACTACTACTATTACTACTACTACTACTACTACTACTACTACTACTATTACTACTACTACTACTATTACTACTACTACTACTACTACTAGCATCGCTGCTGATGGAACTATCATTACTATCACTGTCGATATCACTTTTATTTTTTTTATGTTTATATCGTTTCTCTTTTAATTTTCTTTTTTCTGCTTTTTTAGTCCTCTTTTCAAGTTGTTGTAATTTCCTATAAATGTTAACATTATTAATTAATCTTAATTATTCTCAAATTACTATATTATAAATATTATATAAATATTTGTTAACATACATTAATAATTTCTTTTTTTGCTTTTTAGAAAGTGTTTTTAGGAATGTAATTTCAGATTGTTCTTCATCATCTGAAACCATAAGATGTTCATGTTCAGGAACTCTTAGATGTTGTTGAGCACTAAGAGCTGATCTATAATAGAATTAAACATATTAGAAGAAAAAAATTTTCATTAAAATTAAAATCAGAAAAAAATTTTTAGATTTATCTTTACTTTTTAAGTGCTAATCCATCTTCTCTCATTTGTTGAACTAGCGTTAAAGCATCTGGAGTAGATGTAGCTGGTGAATTATTTGCCATTACTACACTCATTGCCTGACTATATAGAGGACATTCTTTATCTGCAATTAAAATATATATTACTGAATAATTAATTTCTTATATTTAATTTTATTCTTTTCTAATATTATATTATTTCATATTAACCTGTATTTATATGTCCCCATTTATGACACTTGATACAACGGACATTACGTACTTGAATACCAAATGGTTGATCTCTTATTTCACTGTCTCCTTTACAATAACTTTCTCTTGGTGCATTATATTTGCGTTGCCATTCAAATTTATATTCTGGTTCATTGTCTTCTTTTTCTCTTTCTTTTTTTGCTCCAGGTGGTGGTTCATACATAAAATTTACACTAAGTTTATCCTTGCTTTCTTTACTCAATAAAGCTCTACAAAAAATAAAGTAATAAAAAATATAAAAAAAAATATTTTAAAGAAATTAAATTAAAAGAATGGGATTTTACTTATTATTATGAAGATCTTGTTCTTTTTCATATTGAACACGTAATTCCTCTTGTTTTTTCTTATAAGCCTCTGCTTGTTGTTCAGCCATCCATACCTTAAAAAATAATATAAAAAATAAAAATTTAATTATTATATAAATAATTAATAAATTTAATTATTATATAAATAACAAATAACCTAAAAAATTGAGAAAACATACTCGTTTTAAATTGTCTCGAGATGCTGGATGAAAAAATTTTTTGCACATGTAATTATTAAATCCCTTTCCCATTTTATATAATTAAATAAATACGTTTTAATATTTAATTAATTAACATTAATGTTTGTAATAAATCAATAATGAAATAAACGTATACAATTCGATCATGTAATTTTCACTAAGACCAAACAGTGTTGTCGGATGAACACGGTATGTTACTCCCTCTACAAAAAGTAGCAACAAATTTTCATAGAAGAATGACGTCGGTTATCGCCATTACTATTGTTAAATTAAGCAGAGACACGTCATATATATGACAAGATGCAACAGGTGATATTTAGTTTGTAATGCTGAGATTTCGCCACAGCTGTGGATTATTAATTCTAAATTAAACATTTGCAAATATTTTAAAATATCTTTTTTATGAAAATATATACAATATTCATGAAATATAAAAAAAATAAACAATAATAAAAAAATAAAAATTAAATAATTTATTATAAAAATACATGATATAATATAATATGTAAATAATTTAAATATAAGCTTAAATAATGAAATATGAATATATAAATGAATACAAATATATAAAAATTTATAATATATACAATATATTATATTACAATATGTATAAATTTATAAATTTATTTTTTAATAGTCATTTGTTTGCTGTCATTTATATCATTCTAATCAAGAAATAAAATTCTAGTTCAGTCTTCTAATATTATTCATATTTATTTATTATTTATATTTTTAAATATATTAAAATTAAATAATTCTAACATTTTTATTTTTTTTATATGTATAATAATTTTTATTTATTTTAAAATTTTAGTAATTAAATTTCTTGTAATTATATTTATAATTTTTAATTCTAAATTTTTATTTGTATTATAATTGAAAAATATCTTTCTGTTTGAAAATCAATTTCACTTTTAGATTCTTAATTATATTAATTTTATTTTAAAATTTACTGTTTAATTATAATGATTTCTTTTCAATTGTGAAAAAATAAATTGGCAATATCTATCATTCATTCAACACCTAAGATTTATAAAATTTTCTTTTATATTTATTATATATATCTGTTGTATTTGTTTAATTGTTTAATTGTTTAATTATTCATATATATTACAAATATATTTTTCAATGATAATTACATTTCTGTAAAACATTTATATAAATTTTCTGCAAAATCATTTAGAATCAAATAAATTTATACTTTCATTGATATATTTCATTAATATATCATATCAAAATATATAAAATTTTGATATTTGATCAATATTCTCATATATTAATAATAAAAAAATATTTATTTTATAGCATTTCTATTTTTTTTAATATAATAGATTTATTAATAATATATTATATAACTATTATTTTTATTTTTTTCAAAGATATTTTTTTTATTGTATTTAAACCATATTATTTTACATACTTCAAAATATTAAAATGAATAAAAACTTTTATCTCAATAATATTCAGATAAATAGCTTAGCTCTGTTTCTTTTACATTTATTATGAGAGATTGATTTTCATTGCAGAAGTTGTTGGCTTTTTTTCTTCTTCTATATTTTTATAATAAAATTTATATTATGATTGAATTGAATTTTTGTTTTTTTTTTTTATTTCATTTATTTATCATTATTAATTTTTTCCTACTATAATAATTTTATATTTTTCATTTCATCTTGTATAAGTCATTGTTGTATTTTTCAAACCAAGATTTCAAATCTAAATCTTCCAATTAATTGTTTCTTCAATTGTTTCTTTTTTTTTCTTGTAAGAGAAGAAGAAAACATACTGTTACTGCTACTATCATTATTATTTATAAAATAGCTATATTATTATATATGATAAATTTTAAACAATTTTTTAAATTATATTAATGTAAAAATATTAAATATTTGTCTTATTTGAATCTCTATTCGTTTCGAAATTGCAAAGTATTAGAATAGCAATAAAATTAAAAAAAAAAATCAACACATTACAAAACTATAAATTGCATTCCGACAAAAATGGCTTGACGGCTTGACAAGGTTAAGTTTTAACCAGATTTCTATCAAAATTGCATCACGTCCGCATAATCTAATATTAATAATAGAGATAATGTGATATCAAATTCTATGGGAAGAGTAGATAAGAAACGAAGTTGTGAAAATATAAATAGTTAACAGTTGATAGTTTGTATTGCCAATTTCTCTCTTCTATTACTTAATCTCTCATTATACAAAGTGTGACGTCAAATTCTTTCGCGCGTAATAGTTTTTTCAGTCAAAGAAAGTTAGTATAATAATAAATATTATAATTTTATATTAAACATTTTATAACATACAGATATATCTTATAAATATAATATAAATATATTATTATCAGAAAAGATAATAGCTTATGTGTTATTACAGATTGGTGAAAAAGTGTTCTATAAAAAAAAGTGTTATAATATAGTGCTAGATAGTATTATAAATATTACAGATTTTTGTCATATATTGTTAGAAATATATTAATTGAAAATTTTTATTTATTTTGACATATAAGATTATTTCAGTTTAATATAAAAATTCAAGAGAGAAAAAAAAATACTAGAATATATTATTTAAGAAAGATATTACATAAAATTAATCAAATTTATTTGTGATAGTGAATTTTAGAGTTAATTTGTCCTATTAGAAATACAATTTCAAATGCAATGAAAATAAACGAGAAAAACATGGTAGCTTTTGCAACTTCGGCAACACCAGTAGATCGTGAAGGCTGGTTATACAAACGTGGTGAATTGAATCGTGGTTATCAAAAAAGATGGTTTGTTCTCAAAGGAAATATATTATTTTATTTCGATCGACGCGGTGACAAAGAACCAGTTGGTATGATAGTTCTTGAAGGTTGTACTATTGAATTGGCAGAAGATGAGGAACAATTTGGTTTTCAAATTGTATTTCATGGTCCAAATAATAGAAATTATGCTCTTGCAGCAGAATCTCAAGTAAAGATATTTTTTAATTCTAAAATATTAATTATTAATTCTAGAATAATGACAATGCACAGGATAGATATATAATTAATTTTTAGGAATCTATGGAGCAATGGATGAAAGCTTTAGCATGTGCAAGTTATGATTATATGAAGTTAATGGTAGCAGATTTACAAAGACAATTGGATGCTGCAGAAGAAGAAACAACAATGGTGGTAGCTCCTTCACAATCTCCTAAAGCTCCACCAAGGCAACGACATAATCCTTTTAATAGATCAGAATTTCATCATCGTTCACAGAGTGTTAGATCTGCCCCTGGAAGAACAGAAAATGTTCCAAGAACAAGGATAACATTCCGTGAATTGCATAATATGTATGGTAGAAGAATTTTAGCTGATTTAAATGAATGGAGACACACAAGGAAAGCTGCTGAAGCTCCCTTGATCAGTTTTTAATAATGCATTTCATATAAATTGTAAATATTTAATTCAATGTAAGATTATAAAGTAGTCGATAAAAGAAATATATTAAGTTCATAAATTCGTCTCATCTATATATTTAAAAATCATAATAAATGAAGAAATAAAAAATTTTCATCACAACTTTTCACTAATTTCCATTAAAAAATAAAATGCTATATTTGATTCTAGATTAATATATAATTTTTAATGGTGCTATTTGATATTTTACTTTAAGATCTCATTATATTTCTTCCATCGACTATATGCACATTAAATATTATTGGAATGTATCATTTATTTTTATAAGACCAAAATATTTACCAAAATATTTACAATCAATATATAACAAAATATAATTATAAATTTTAATCATTATTAGAATATTACAAATTATTGCTGTCTCAAATAGAAACTGTGCCTGTAAAATACAATACATTCATTATTGTTAAATTAAATTATATTGAAAACTAATTCATATATTGTAACATGATTCACATAATTGTGAAGTGTAAAATGAATTAAAATTATATTGAAACAATAATTCCTAAGCATCATAAATAAATATCATATATCTGATAAAAAATACTATTTACAAAACTATTTAAAACATCAAATTTGAATTAAAAAAATTTGGACAATTTGGATGAAAAATGTCCAATAAATTAATAATAGTTTGAAATAATAAATAAAAGATAATAAAATTTTAAATAATTAAAAATTGTACAAAAAACAGCACTGATTTAATAAAAAAAATACTTAACATTGCACTAACAATTTTCTTATTAGATATTTTATTAGAATAAATATTGACATTTTGCATATTTGTGTAAATAATATATTCAAGTACAAATTTAAAAGATTATTTAAATTTAAAGACACCTTTTTTTTTCACATCACCCGGTAGATGTCTAGCACCTAGTAAAAGTCGAGCTTTATCTTCTTCTTGTGGAGCGGATTCTTCTTGCGGACCTCGTGGCTTAATTTGTAATTTTTGTTTAATAGCTTGACTTAATATTACACGTCTAGAATCGCTTTTCATAGCTAAAAGAAGATCAAGCCATGTCCAAGTAACATTATGATATTCTAATGTTGGTATTACCAGAGCAAAATCACGAACATCTTCTAAATTTTTTTCTTTATTTCCCTGTATAAGAGATTATGCATGATGTATAAACATACAAAAAAAAATAATTTTGATAATTTCTAATTCTGATTGCTTCAAAGAAATAGAAATATAATAATTTATTTATAAAATTTTAATGTAGATACCTTGTAAGAAACACGAACGGGTACTTCAGGTATTTTAATATATATAAATAATTTATTTTTGTCCGCTCGTTCTTTCATTTTTTCTACATCATCTCTTCTTTCGATTGGAACATAAAAAGAGGAATCTCGTTGCGGTGCTGGTGGTTCCTCTATTCCTTCTGGATCTCTTTCAGGAAAACAGAATTTGAGCATTGTATTGAAAAACTTTTTTGTTAATCCTAATAATAAAAGATTTGATTAATTTTTGGAAAAAATATATGTTTCTTTTTTGTGAAAGAATAAAAGAAAGAAAAAAATATATAATAATAAATACCTATTGTTAATGGGACAACATTGATTTCGAAATGTTCTTTTACAGATATTCCAGCAACTGGTGCTTTTTCTCTACAGAAAACACGAAGAGCTCTTTGTCTATCGACAGGCATATTACTTTGTAATTCTGTCGGTGTCAACACTTCCGTGTAAATTTGATTTGGTAGTAAATTAGTCATCCTAACATATCCTAATTCAAGAAGATGTTCAACTGAATCATCAGTTTTACTTGTTTTAGTATACAAGAAATTAGTTAATATAAGATCAGCAATTCCCAATTGACCATCTGCATCAGTTAATCTCCACTGAGCATGTTTGAAGCAAATTTCTGCTACTCTTGCGACTGCTGCTGGTTTATCTTTCAATGTAGTAGAAGCTGTAGTTGGAGTAGTTGTTTCTTTATAACAACTTAACATAACATCAAGTTCTTCTGCTTTTGCTCCAAGTTGTTCTTTACATTCAAAAACTCTAACTTCCAATCGTTCCATTTCTGCTAGCAATTCGGGACTAGATTCTTCTGCTAATGCTTTTTGTACTAAATAAGTCTCACGTTCCAATCTCCTTAATTTTGCTACTAAACCACGTACAGTATTTTGTAATTGTTGAATTGGCCGTTTTTGATCTTCGACCGAATGTAGCTGCAATTGAAATCTCATTCTTTGCAAACGTTCCGATGCTTCTTTTCTCCTTGGTTCGACATATAAAAGTAAATTGTTAACGATATCTAAAATCATAGCATACTGCAACGAATTCGTACAGACATCTAAATCATGATGCATCAATGTAAATGCATCAGCTGCTAAAAGTTCTTTTCTTTCCCATGGACTGACTTCTTCTCTAGGTGGTGGTGGAATTTGATCAACAGAGCCAACGTCCAAAGCTTGTCCATAACCAACATAAAAGAATTCACATTTACATCTCGAGACAATACGTTGTAGCTGATGTTGAGGCCCACCACCACCGCCAACTGTCTGACTTACTACGCCACCGACACTTTGTCCTGAACCTACTAGTGCTGGTACATCTGGTAAGCCAGCTATTACAGTTGAATCTTTTTCCTAGTTTAATATACAAGCTTTAGTCAATATCGAAAATTTTACTTACAATTTATTTACAATTTAATTAATTTTACAATTTATTTTTTTATTAACTTACTTGTATATTGTCTAATGTCAACCACATTATATTATCATCGATATTTTCATCGATGTTAGCACTAACAGTTGCATAATATTGCATACATTCTAATGATCCAACCCAAGTTGTTTTTGATACTAAAGTTCTTTCTTTCCATACAGGTTGATGTATTCTTTGTAATATTTCTGCTTTTGCCGCAGATAAAATTACATAGCCTCGTGTTTCAATACCTTTCAATAATACTTGACTGTTCACTAAAGCAACTGAAAAAAAAAATAATTTTTTCTTTTTTTTTATTCTATATATATGAATATACAGTCAATAAAAAAAGTATTTAAATCCTATATTTCAATGAATTTTATTTTATTCCTAATTTTATTAATTCTAATTTTATTGAAAGTTTCTATATACATATATATACAAAATAATATAGAACATAAAATAAAATTCTTTATAATATAAGATTCGAATATTTGTATTTATATTGAAATTATATGAAAGCGAATAATAATAAAATGCATATATTTATATACATATATTATAAATATATATATACTTTAAGTTCATACATACTTAGCCAATTTTTATGAAGAACGTCATCTTGATGACAAGCTGCTAATCCACGCAATTGTTGACCTCTCGTTTGTACCGAAAGATCATCGCTGAATGCGACTGGTTTATTTGCAGCTTCAGCTATTAATCTCTGTAACATACCAACAGCTTCTCCTTGTTGTGGTTTTGTTGCAGACGATGTGTTCACTTGAGTTGCTGCATTTTGTACTTCAATCGATCTTGTTCGATTTTTATGTGGTGTTGATGAACTTTCCCTGTGAAAGCCTTTCAAAGCTGCAGTAGAAAGATTTTTCTTGAGTTGCTGAGTTTTTATAAAAGAATCAAAGAGTGCAAATGCCACATCTCTATTCGTTTTCGTCCAAGCTCCTTTCAAGTCGTGTACAACAAGTCTGTGTGTAGGAGTATCTCCTCCAGTGACTCCAGTCACCATTGCTTCTCTACCATAACTGACACGAGCAACGCTTAAACAATAACATTTTTCAACCGGTTGTCGAAGAGAAGCGCTTTCCTTATCCTCATGAAGAGCACTTTTTAACCAAATTTCTGCATCGCTAAGTTCACAGTTCATGTACACTACTGACCATTCAGCTCTAGGTCGATGTATTAGTCCATCATCAATCGGATGCAACGACAAATTATGCTCACAACTACATACTACTCTTCCGCCAGTTACTTCGAATCCGCGTTGCATGGCGAATGACATCCAATAGCTAACATGAAATTGATGGAAAGCTAAAGTTAATCGAACTTTCCTATAATGTCTGCTCAATTGTTTCTTTCTAGGTCTAATATTCTTAAAAAGTGGTCCTTTTCTGGTTGGTCTCGTTGCTCCAGACAAAATAAATTTTAGATTTTCGAACCATCTAAGAGTGCTACCATATAGTAAGGCAGTTGGTGCGCTTGCCAATGCCGGAGATCCAGTTGGTTTCGTTTCGAGTGAAAGACTAACATTTAAATTTTGTGAACGAAACGCTCTAAATGAATCATGTTCTTGATTGCTCGAATATTCTGGTAATCTATCTGGAGCGCAAGGTATCGCAGCATGATGGTCTCTAGGATCGCCTAAGCAAACCCATGCTAATTTTATGCTTAAACGTACGTTCGGTAAATGTAATAATCTACAATCATCATATTTACTAGCCGTACGAACATAAACATCCAAATCTCCTTTTACAATAATTCTGCCTTGTGTCCAATCAAGTTCCAATCCTGTCCATGTAAGCTCCATTTCTTCTGTAGTGTTGTATGGATCTAATGAGCCATGTAATAAAACTGTTAACTGTTTCACACAAAGTGTTAATCTTCCATGAAGAGCTAATCGCATTTTATCCCAAAATGGTAATGGGGGACTTGGATCTCGTGATGGATGAATAATTTTCTCAAAACTAAGATTACATTGTGCTATCACAGGTTCCCAACAAGGACCAAATGCATATCTGAACTTATCGATATCCCAATTAAGATCATGATAATATTTCAATGATGTCATTCCTCTTTCTATAACAATGTCTTCCCAAGGTGTACCAATTTCGATTCTTACAGTTCGTCTAGCTCTCGATGGTGCTAAAGCCTCTGCCCCAGCTAATCTACCCCATACGCTTAAACTTTCCACTAAGAGTAATGGTTGGGGAAAGTCTCGTAATTGTAATTTCCATTCAGCACACTTTAAACTGATTCCTCTTACCCATAAAGTACTAAATTCAAGACCATCCTCCGGCCAAGGAGTTTCTGCATCCATTTCTCGAAGAGCTTTTATCGCATTTTCCGTACCATCGATCGATGGATCAGCTAAAGCTAATATTTCAATATCTATCATAGACCAAGCAAATAATCGTGTTCTAGCTGGACCAGCACGCTGCATTTGTTTCCATCGTTGTACATATATTTCAGCATTCTTTTTATTCAGACTAGCATATAGTTCTTCTACTTTACCTTGAGGTAGCAACAAATGGGCTCGACATAATTCCTGCACTTTAGTATCGAGCATCGCTTGTCTTTTTAGGCTCTCTTTATATTCATCTTCTAATAATTCGTAATTATCTCGTAAACGTACTTCAAATGGATCATCGCTTACTTCAAATATCCATTCTTTAATCTATAATGCATAATAATTTTTGATATCAATTATAAAAAATGGATATTATAATTACTATCAATTACTTATACATACATACTTTTATAATTAAATCATATGGCAAACGTTTTTCTTTTTCATGAGTTGATGATAACGATGACGATGAATGAATTTCTTTTAACCATTTTTTTATACTGAACAATTCATTCTGAATTGCATCAGTAAACTGATGTTCATATGGGAAGCAAGCTTTTACTGATTCGATATTAAGCATCCAAGTTTCATTCCAATCCAAAACAAAACCTTCATTACTTTGGCGTTCTAATTGCACTTCTTCATTATTTAGTATTCTAATTAATTCAAATCCTTCAATCATAATTATGTCAGCCATGTCTAAAGTAGTACGCAAATAATTTAATCTCCATTCTCCTTGTGACCAACGTAACTGATCTGATGAAAGTTCCAAAAAATGTTTTGGAGAAATATCTATGGATAGACTGATACCATTAGTAGCCAATATATCTATCGATCGTTTCTGTTGATTTTCAATGTTTTCATCTGTAAAGAAAATTTAAATAAATACATAAAAATATAACAAAAAAAAATAAGGTGATAAAATAACAATTAAATATAATAAGAACAAATAAAAATATTAAAAAATATATATTTAAAAAAAAACCTTGAACAATGGAAGAGTTTTTGTTTATAATAGATCTAAAATTTGCAGACTCTAGCCAAAGTTTTAAAAGGCGAAGATGTAAATTTGGACTCCATGCCAGATTGGTACCATCCAAACTAATATTTATCATTTCAGGAGTAATTGCACCTTTGCACTTTCTTATAGCTAAAAACGGATGCACTAATGCTTGTGCATGTTGACATACAATTGGTTCATTTTTATTTAATGTTATTGCGCTTACACCTTCTGTCACACCCACTAATCGCTTTATATTATATTCTAAACTTGCAGTATCCAAACGCATCATGATGGATACTAAACAATTGATTGAAATATTAGTGTTAAATCTTTTGATTGTAATTTTTAATTAAAATTATTTAATTAATTATTGGAATATATACGTACGATTATTTTCTGCGATAAAGAATAAATTACAATTTGTAATTTTGAGATTTAATTGAACGATATTATCTGATTTTTTAGTATTTTTCATTTTTTCGATTTTTTTGTTGTATATTTGACAACATCTACCGAACAGATTTAATAAATCAGATATATTTAGAATATATATTTTCTTATTATTTTTTTTTTATATCTTACTTGTATGCTTCTTCAAGAAATTTAGCAAGTTCTAAACTCCATTCAGTTACAAGAGCATCAACAGCAATTCCTATAGCATTAGTACGTGTTGTAGCTAATAATACTCCAATAGATAAAGGTGTTCCCCATTGATGAGATGATTCCGAAATAAAAGCATTGGAACCATTTAAAGTACAATACAAAGATTCTACTACTAACTCTGTATTCCAATTGTCTATTATATCTACGAAATTAAGTAATATTATTGAGAAATTATTAATCTATTAATTTTAATATATGTATATTAAGAATATAAAGATATAAAACACAAAATATTACCTGCAAATGTATTTAATGAAAATTTCATATGAGCTACACCACATGAAGCTTCGTGAACATCCAATAATTTGATGCATAACGAGGAATCATAAAGTTCAGTATTTACTCTTACATCTAACCATGGTAATTTATTTTTAAATGTTATATTACCAACAGGTCTTGAAATTTCGTTATCGGTATTAAATAATATTGTTTCCCAATCTTTATGATCATAAATAATAGAAAGATTATTAATCTGTGTAGCAATTTGTAAAATGTCTTGTTCCATCTATATAAGCAATTTTAATTATTTAATACATAAAAATTCATTGAAATATTTTAAAACAATACATATATAAATATAAAAATACACACTACCTTTGAATTTACTATTAATGATCGTAATGTCAAAACAGGAAGTTTACTTCGAATTGATAGCCCATCCAAATTTAAAGTGAAATTTAATAGTGGTTCAAATGGTTGGAATTTTGTGCTAATTTGTAAACCTTTCATTGTACCTTCTAAACCAAGCACTATGCCATCTTCTCTACCCGTAATTATAGAAGAATTACCCACTTTTAAATTAAAATCCTAGAAATATTTAATCATATTTTTCTTTTTTATTATTATTTTTAAGCAAAATTCATTTTTTTCTTTTGATTTTATCAATTTATAATAATAAATTTACCTTTGGTATAACTGGTGCTAATCGAGCTAAAAGATTATTGGGAGGATTGACATGTACATCTGAATACGAAGATGCAGCATTAGTTAAAGAACTTCTGTCTTTGAAGAATGTAACAAGACCTGCTCCTCCAGAACCCTCTGTCTGCGTGATTCCGATGTACAATTTCTATAAATTAGATCCTGCTTGATTCCAATCTAATCCCATTGCAAAGGACAGTTGTTCAGGCTCATCCATTAAGTGTGCTAAACACAAATAGCTATCGTTCAAAGCATTAAGCTACATCATTGAATCATAACATAGTATTGTAATGTTGCCTAGCCTTTGCAGTTTGCACATCAAAACGAGTATGCTTATACAATATATATAGATCGTATAAACAATTTTTTTATACCTCTACCGAAAGTTCTCCTTGTGCTTTCAAAGTTGCTTCAGCTGTTCCAGCAAAACATATCTGTGAAAGACAGGCATCTGATGCATGACGTAATAATTTCATTGCTCCACCTATAATGGCAGCAGATGCAAGAAGAGTACGAGCTCCATGAACAACACTACCATCTAAAGTGAGACTTTCAGCACTTCCATTAGCTAACCAACCATTACCCAAAATCAGAAGACTTAAATTTTCTACGTGCACAGCCATAAACTAAAATATTTCACAAAGTAATTATTTTAATTATTTATAAATTACTTAATTTATAAGTATCTTAATTAAAATTATTTTAATATTATATAATAATAAATAAAATAATTTATTAATATTATTAATAAATTATCATTTTTAGATTTTAGATATTCTTATATTTTTAAATTTTATTATTACAATTTACATACTTGTACAAATGTTATAATTATCGGTGGGATTTTCTTATTTCGAAAATCCATTGGCTTCTTTGGCTTTCTTAATATTTGTAGAGGTTTTATTGGAATATCTTTATTAATTCTAACATCTTTCATGATCACAGCTAAAAGTTTTGCAACATCACTACTAAAGAGACTGCTTCGTATACTGATTTCTTCCACTTGCTAAAATGAATGAATTTGTTAGAATTGAAATAAATTATAATAATTTTCTAATGCATTTTATGAAAATAACATAAATAATAATATAAATAATTTTTTCTGTGAAAAAAAACTTACCAATGTAAAACCATTTTTAGAAATATTTACGTCACGTAATATAAAATACGGTAATGAAATATGACCGACACGTAGATAAATTTTGTATCGTCTTTTTACTAACCATGCTAAAAATCTTGGTATCACCCTGATACATAAATAAAGAAATATATCAAATTTTATTATCAAATTTTTAATCATCAGAATTACAGAATTTCCATATACAATTATTATAAATCTTACCAAGTAAAACAACAATAAAGAATAAAAAAAGTCACACACAAAGCAATTAAACCAGTCATTTTTACATACAATTACATACTGTAGAAACAATATGTGTATAAATTTTCAGTAGTACCAAAAATTATTGTCAAAATAGTAGAATAATAATAATCTCTTCATCAAATTAATTTTTTAATCAAACATACCAGTTGACAAACTGCATATGTATAAATATCTATCTATATATACACTTTATGCATACTTGATGTATATATATAATCATATATCGATATATCGATGTTTCGATAATGTATAAAAACGAGCATAACTTCAACCATATTTGTTAGTCATTCGAAACACTCTTGATTACGTAGATTGTAATAAGTGATAAAATTAATTTTAAATATTAATTGTTAAATTCATTTACAGTTATTATATAACAATAAAAATAATATTTTTTTGCAAATACGTCACATTGTGTATTAAAATTGATAAAACTTAACAATTAACCTTTCGACTTCAAGAATTAAGAAAGTAAGGTTAGTCTATACATATATTTATCTTGATATAATTTATTCAAACGAATAAAATATAAAAATTTATTGAAAAATAAAAAGTTTAAATAAATTAGAGTATATAATATATAAAAAAAACATGAATACATATTTTAAAAGGAATTTAAAGAACTTTAAAATAAGTATATATTTATGATAGTATAAAAAATTCTAATTATATAGAAATATATGTATTGTCGGATCAAAATAGATGATAAATTTCTAATTTATTTATTTTTTTTATAATTTTATGATTATCTCTTTCTGTACATCATTAAAAAAGTAGAAATAAAATAAGTTATAACTAAATATTAATTAGTTAAAGAAAACCACAATAATAATAACAATGATAATATAATTAAAAAAAATATTGATATTATAATGATATAAAAATATATAAATAGACAAAAAATATAAGAAGTTTGCAAAAAATCATAAGAATATATTAATCAAATGTATATTGTATTATATATTTTAAATTTTATATTAACTAAAGTGTATACGTAGATTTTACGTGAAATTATAATGTATAAAGTATTTTTCAAATATTTGATACTTTTTTTGTATGTTACATAATATTTTATGTATTGAATTCATTTATGTTAATAAAATTAATGAATGATATTATCTATATAATTATAAATATTATATAAAAAATTATATAAAACATGTTTAGATAAAAAAATTATTTTAATATTTGATAGTCGAGATAATTTTACATTAAATTAAATTAAACTTAATATCTAATATATTTATAATAGTTTTATAATAGAAATATGAAATTGAAATGTGTCAACTTATAAATCAATAAATATAGTGAATAAGAAATATTTAAAAAAAAATAAATTAATAATTAAATAAAAAAATAAAATATTTTTAATTAAATATTATAATTAAAAATTAATATTATATTATATATAAAATTTGAAAAGATTGGAAATTTAATATTTGTTTATGGTTATACATATTTTCAAAGTTAATGATTGAGAGAAAACATTGAAATTGAAAAAAAAAACAGATAATTATATTCATGATAAAAAAATATATTTCACTTAATTTATACGTTTATTACGTTACCATGTGAATATCGATTCAGAACATATTCCATCGAATGACCGAGTTTTACCGAGGATTCTCGAAAAGAATTGCACATCATAATTATGTTCCAATAAGTTGACTTTATTGTATAATTTTACATAGTTATAAATTGACAGTGAAAAAGTAAAATGAAAATTAAAAGAAACTTGAATTCGATTAAATGAGAAAGATTTTTCATTTAAACAATCGGAAAAAACATTAGATCGAAAAATAACGAAGAAAGAAGATAAAAGAAAAATAAAAGTAATTGAAACAATAGATGACATCATCTTCATTATTGATGAAGATAGAAAGAAAGTAACAAAGTCAGTATCAGTAGTAGCAAATGTGAACAAAAGAGATCTTTTTTGTGTAATGCAAATTGAAGAAAGCAAAACTACGAATATATTCTATCAAAATATTCTATCAAAATGATGTTTGAAACAAAGTAATATATTCATGACACTGGAACATAGAAAATTTAGACGCGTGCACGGACTTCAATTTCCGTTGCACCCTCAACAAGTAATTGGGTGGATTGTGATCTTAATTATTGTGGTAAATACGTTTGTAATATTAACGCCACTTCTCAAACCAAATTTACGATCAGTTTTCTCAATTGTTATTGCTACAATCTTTTTTACGCATATTTGTTCTCATTTGGCAGTGATTTTATTAGATCCGGCAGATCCTCGCGTCAGATCTCAGCCAACAAATAAAATTATACCAGAATTCGATCGAAATAAACATTCACATGTAATTGAAAACGGTAGATGTCATCTTTGTAATATAACTATTGAAAGTAAAAGAACAAAGCATTGTTCTATTTGTAACAAATGCATTATTCGATTCGATCATCATTGCAAATGGCTCAATAATTGCATTGGAGCTAGAAATTATTGTGCTTTTCTAATTTGTTTAATTTCTGCAATTCTAGCAAGTTTGTTTGTTACCGGTCTCTCTGTGACAGAATTATCATTGCTGTTATTCTTTGATCGAATAATAGATCAACCTGCTACTAATGTAACTACGAAAAACGCGACTGATTCTGTAGTTTTATTTATCGTTCCTATTTCGGATACTACTATAATAATCGCAATCTCCGCGATTGGAATTCTTTCAGCAATTGTAGCAATACTTTTACTTCATTTGTGCTTTTTTCATGGTTATATTGCTTGCCTTGGATTGACTACATATGAATATATACGAAACAAAAAAGAAAAGAAGTCTGTTGCTACTGCAATTGCTGCAACTGATACTATCGCCGCAGCTACCACCACAACTTCTGTCACAACAAAAATCACTTCTACTGAAATAATCACTACCACAGTTACTGGTAATAACTCGTCAACATCAGTTCAGCAAATAGTTCCTGAATCAAAAATACAACATGGTTTTTGTGAGTTTGTTTCTGCTCGTTGTTTCTTATTATCATCTTTCGCAAATGGCGAAAATCAATGTTTTTGTTGCTATATAAATGATAATCCAATCAAACTTGAAAGGAAATCAAATCAAATCGTAATTCATTCTCCTTTTTTCTATGGAGAAAGCAAAGAGAAAAATTTTCAATTTTGTTTTTCAATATATGATATTTTTGAATCACAATCAAAGCAAACATCAACGGAAAATTCAACAGATGTATCATCAGAAAATATTGAACAATCGACAATCACATTTCGAAAATGGAATACTATTTTACCAACATCTATTTTTTGTTGCTCTACTTCACTTAATTCGATAGCAATGCATTGTACCAAGAATATTAAAGCGAATATATCGAAGAAACAATCTTGCGATAAACAAAGTTGTGACGATATATCTGATCAAATAGCATATGTTTCGATAAATTCTTATAAAAAAGTTGAAAGGATAGGAAAATTTCTCTGTACATATTTAAATAAAGGAGAAAAGAGAAAAAGATGCAGAAAGAAAGGAAAAAATCAAGAGCAATCATATGATGCGAACATAGTGCACATACAAAAATCGAAGAAAATAAATAAAATTGATTTGATTACGAAGGAAGATTATGATTCGTTTATGAAAAACATAATATTATTGACATCAATCACAGCCTCTTCTTTTATCATTTCTTTCCATATACTTGTTATTGTTGTTCCACTTTATTTAAAATTTACTCCGTTACATAAATCGTCAATCACAAAATTAGATTTACCAGAATCACAGAATCAGATTTCACTTCGATTGCAAAAAATGACTGGATCGTCAACATACAGATTTGGAATATGTTTCATTTTTCAAAAAGGACAAACAACTAAATCACATATATCTATCAAGCTTTCTCCTATTTTGGAATCGGAATTTCCAAAACCTGCTACATCACAATCACACTCTTCTTTATCATCATATTCTAAGTATTCCTCTTATTTATTAATATCATCATTATCTACGTCTCAATCTTTTTCATCTCCACGAGTTGTTGGTGATAAATTCTATCTTCATGAAAAATAATACTTATATCAATTAATTACTTCATTTTCGAAATCCGTTTAAAACAATAATAAATATAGTAAATCATATTTATACAATGAACGTATGTTTTTTCTTGCAAGCTTTAACGTGGACAATAAATAATAAAGAAAAAGGGAAAGGGAAGGGGGTAATTATATATGCCGCACCTTCAGTCTTTAATTTAAAAATTATAAAGTGAGTACCGATTTATATCGTGGACAAAACAGAATTTTTTTTTTAAAAAGTCGTGCTACTCATTTAAATGTAAAATGTGTTCTCCTATCTATTCATCATTGTATATTTTTGTAGATGTCATCAGTTTCAGCAAAAGTATCTGATCAACTTACAAATACTACACAAGAGACGAATATTTGGAAAAATGTATTGGGTTCTCCACAATACATAGTTGCACCGATGGTTGATGCGAGCGAATTAGCTTGGAGACTATTGAGTCGTCGTCATGGTGCACATCTTTGTTACACACCAATGCTTCATTCTTCGGTTTTTTGTCGAGATCCAAAATATCGACGAGAAGCTCTTGCCAGTACTGCTGAAGATCGGCCATTGGTCGTCCAGGTATAGATACGTACGTCAAACAGGCCTGTTTCAGTTACTTTTTTCTTTTATCTTTTTTATTATTCTTGAACAATTTTGAATTTTGATCTTTAACTTATTAATTTGTTTGTTATAGTTTTGTGGTAATGATCCCAATACATTATTAGAGGCAGCACTTTTAGCAGAACCATATTGTGATGCAGTCGATATAAATATTGGTTGTCCTCAAGCAATTGCTAAACGGGGTCATTATGGTGCTTTCCTTCAAGATGATTGGGATTTACTTCAACAAATCGGTTCGTAAGAATTTTACACATGTTTATAATTTATATTTTTATACTTTTTTTTTATTATTTTTTTTATTTTTTTTTCCATAAAATGTTACAGTTAGTACTTTGAGTAAAAAACTTCATGTACCAGTAACTTGCAAGCTTCGAGTATTTGCAGAAATTGATAAAACTGTGAAATATGCACAAATGCTTGAAGCTGCTGGTGCACAATTACTTACTGTGCATGGACGAACTCGAGAACAGAAAGGTCCATTGACTGGTGTTGCATCTTGGGATCATATTAAAGCTGTAAGGTATAATTAACAAGATTTGATTAACAAAATTTATTTTCTTTTTATCAAAATTTCTTATATTTTTGAATCATTTTTTATTCAATATTATTCCAAATATTTAGACAAGCTGTCACAATTCCAGTATTTGCAAATGGTAATATACAATGTTTACAAGATGTTAAAAAATGTATAGAAGAAACTGGTGTTAATGGTGTAATGTCAGCAGAAGGCAATCTTTATAATCCATATATATTTGAAGCTTGTTATCCACCTAGTTGGGAGCCAGCACTTGAATATTTAGATTTGGTAGAATGTTATCCAGCCCCTGCTTCTTATATCCGCGGTCATCTTTTTAAATTATTTCAACACACGTATGTATGAAAAATTTTCTTTCTAAATTTCTTTTATCTTTATCTTTTATATATAAATAAATTCCAAATTAAAAATTAACTTATGCGTTCAGCGTTCTTTTAACTAGAGAGTAGACTTTGTTTAGCAGAAAATAAAGAAGAGAGAGAAAATTTGGCTCGAAACTCTACTATGGAATCTTTCCGAAATGTCGTGTACGCTTTGAGAGATCGATATCTACCTTATCACGAAGGACGTTTAATATGGCATGAAGAAACATCTGGTTTGATAATTTTGTTATCCAATAAATATAATCATTTGATCATTTATTGTATTTCATATATATAATACATATTTTAGATTATAACTTAAAATTACCTCCATGGTTGTGTCAACCATATGTACGTCATCTTCCAGAAGAGAATATACAAAAACTAGAAATCGAAAAAATCGAAAAGGTTTAATATAAAAACATTTGTTTTTCATTCTCTTTTCCATATTATACAAATAAAAGCAAATAATTATTCTTCTATTTCGACATTCTTTTTTAGCAAAATGAATCAGCTAAGAGAAAATTTAGAGACGAAGAAGGAAATGAAATATCACGAAAACATTTGAAAAAACTTAAACGTATAGCGCGCCGACCAAACAAATCAACTGTTGTAATAAAAAGAGGATCCAATTTATGTCGCGATTGCCCAAATCCAGTGGTTTGCAAAATTTAGTTTTACATTTATTTTCTTTTATTTGAATTCATTAATTTCTTTTTCTTTTTCTTTTCTTCTAGAGTCTCAAATGCGTTCATAAATCATGTCGGCAGTGCTGTAGAAACAAATGTTTTACGGAAAATTTGGATTGTACTGGACACAGAAATTTAACTAAAACTAGAAGACAAATGGCAATAGAATTTGCTGCAAAACGAAGAACTATCGAAGATACGATATGACATTGTATGATATTCTAGATTATATAAATAAAAATTAAATAAATATATGGGCACATATTATAAAATATATACACATATTTTCTAATTATTTTATAGATGTTATATTAATTTTAATATAATAATTGTATTATAATGTGTTACTATTCACAAATTATACTACAATTCGCTTTGTCAAATTTTACAAAGTCATCTTACATTATATGACTTAATATTATAATACTTCATGAGTCAATATCATAATATCATGGATAAAATTTCAAAACGATTCATTAAGTGCTTGAAGATGTTGATGTAATTATTTTTGTTAAAATTGCATAAATATCACTATTTTTTTCTTCAGGAAGTATTATATCTTTTTGTTTCTTCTCATTATGCCAGTATTTTTTATTTACAAGTATAAGAATTATAAGAACAGGTAGATGGATCAATGAAAAATGAAAAAGCTTACGTGAACTTCTACTATCTGATTGTTTATGAAACTTCCACGCTAAAAAAAACATAATTAAATAATTTATATACAATATATAAACTATTATAAAATTATTTATTTATATATTTATTTAACTTTATTTTATTATTTTTTTTCTTTTGTTTTAAGATATAACTATGTTTTTGACTTACCAAGATATAGAAAATATACATTAAGAGGTGTTGATGTCAAGGCAAACCACCAATTTGTTACATTGAAAACAGGTGCTAAATAACAAAGACCTGTTAATGCTGAGGTATAACGTAATGCTGTTTTACGACAAAGCTTTGGATTTGTGACTGCCATCATTCTATAACCAGCACGAGAATAATCTGATCTCAAATTCCATGATAAAGCATTAAAATGAGGAAATTGCCATGCATATAATATGCCAGACATTATCCAAGCACCTGGAGATACTATATCATTGACACAAGATGCCCAGCCCATTAATGGTGGTATAGCTCCAACTAAATAACAATCAATATGTAATATCTATTGATACTTTGATAAATATTAATAATTTGTAATTTTATAATATACTTGCCTATAGAGCCTATCCAAGTGTTCAAAATACTAATACGTTTCATAGGAGTATAAATAAGTGTATATAGAATTAAATTAGTTGTTCCTAAGATTGCTGTTAATTCATTAACTTGACTATATAATAATAATAATCCACTAAAACCAGATACTGTTGCAAAAATTACTGCTTGTCCTGGACTAGTAAAAAATTCTATTATAAATATAATGAATTGTTCTTTAATTTTTTTAATAATTAAAATATATTGTACATACGTTAAATGACCTCTAACCAATACTCTATTTTTTGTTCTTGACATTTGTGCATCAAAGGGAACTTCAAAAAATTGATTAATAGCATTTGCTGATGCAGAAAGTAATCCTGTACCCACAGAACATGCAATAAATGTACAAGCATCAAAAGCTCCTGGAGCCAATGTATATCCAGCCATAGTGGTTATAACTACCAAAGCTGAAATTAATCATTCATTGAAAAAATAATTCATTTTTTATATTGAAAGAAATTACATTAATATATTATTTATTAGAGATATTAATTTTTCTTACATGTTAACCTTATTTTAGATAACATAAAACAATATTTTTGAAGTTTTCCAGAATCTAGTTTTATATGTTGCCATTCTTGTTTATCATTTATACATAAATCTTTCTGTTTTACATTATTTGTTATATCTACATATTGAGTATCTTTTTGATCATTAATAGATGTAATGAAGCTTGGTGGAATATTATGATTTTGAAGATTTTTAATATTTAATGAATGTTGTTGTTTCTGAATACAATTTAAGTTCTTTATCCTTGATGTGGCCTTAGTAGAATACTACAATTATTATAAAAAATTAATATTATAATAAAGAATTTAAATATATAGATCATAAAATATCATTACACATACTGTAGAAATTGATAGTTTCAACGATGACAGACATATATTACGGGAAATCCTGATTGAATAAAAAATAAATAACATGATAAAAATATGCCGTGTATAATGGTTAATATTTTCTTTTTCTCATTCTGAAAGTAATATAAGAACCAACCGGTTCTTGATTACAATTTTATGCCATCAATAATAAAATCACAAGACAATTCAAATACTTTATCGTTTCTTAACAATGAAATATTTGACTTACATCATGAAATATTTTCGTTTTTATAGTTTTTGTTTCGTGTTACGTAAGAAAAATTTGAACAAACATTCATTGCGATAAACTTAAAATAATTTTACTAGACTATTTGAACCTATGCTTATTCAAGTAGTTGAATCGAAACTCATGAAAATCGAATATTCGAATCGATGTAAAAGACAATGAATTCCTAAAAGCATCAATAAACGACCAAATTTTTAAAAAAACGAACATAAAATAGCGCCTTATATTTAAAATAAATCTTCATGTAAATAAGTTTTATTTTTTGTACAAATAAACATTCATAATTGTACAATTTGTACAAATTCATATACATATATCGTTAATGATCCGTATATTAATATGAATATATTTATTTATATTAATATGTATATATATATATATATATATATATATTTTTTATTAATATTTTTTATTAATTTTTTTTAAATTTCTAAATAGAATAAAATAATATGTACTATATTTCTAATTTCTAAATTTTTGTTTGGAATATAAAAATCAAAAATTATTTAATAGAATAACTAAAAATAGATAAAAAAATAAATTTGAAATAAAAACATATTTTATTGAATTTATATCTAATGAAAAAATATTAAATTTAAAAAAATTAATCATAAATAAATAAGAAATTAATGATTTTAAATAGTATCATCTACTATAATTATATATATATAATAAATAATCTACTGTACATATATACATATATATAATATTTTAAGTCCAATGTATAATAATATGAACGACATAATTGTGTGTTGCTTACTTTATATTGTATTCTTGTTTTTCTAATTAAAGATAAAGAAAATATATATAATCACGTGGTAAAAAGTCACTTATTTGGTTAAAAAGAAATAAGTACAAAGTAGTGTAAGATGAAGTAACATAAAATATATGTGTGTGTCAATGAAGCATGATATAAATTTGAAGATATTCGAAGAACATAATTAAAGAAAAAAGAAGGATCGCTGTATGTTGTTAATAGATCTTCATAATATTGAGCATCATTCATTCAATGGAATAGTGAGATCTTTTTTAATAATCATCTTTAGGCAAAAAAGAAAAGACAGAACAAGGATAGAACAATGATAAGGTTATATCAGTGTACGTTTTATCAAATTTGACATAAATTCAGCGTATTAATAATACGAAAATTATAATTGGAACGAAATAAATTGAAAGAAGAAAATCAAGCGCGACGAAATTATTGAAGACTATATTTTAATCGGTATGCCGTGGAGTCATAAAAATGTGATATTCGCGAGAATTGGTTCCGCCCTATTTTATGGGTTGTCTTCATTTATGATCACAGTTGTAAATAAGACTGTGTTAACGTCATTTGAATTTCCTTCGTTTCAATTGCTTGGTATAGGACAAATGGTGGCTACTATCGTATTACTTTTCACAGCAAAAAAGTTGCGTTATATTGAATTTCCTAACCTAGAACGAGCAACGTGTATCAAGATATGGCCATTGCCCATCATTTACATCGGTAACATGATATTTGGATTAGGTGGTACTAAACAACTTAGCCTTCCAATGTTTACCGCCCTTAGACGATTTAGTATCCTTATGACGATGATCGCCGAATATTATATTCTCGGAATAAAAGCGCGTATTTCTGTTCAATTGAGTGTATACACAATGATTCTCGGAGCTGTAGTAGCGGCATTAAACGATCTTGCTTTTAATGCGGAGGGCTATCTTTTTATCCTGTTAAACGACTTTTTCACGGCCGCCAATGGTGTCTACATGAAGAAGAAGTTGGATTCGAAGGAACTAGGAAAATATGGACTAATGTATTATAATTCATTATTTATGATTATCCCAGCGATTAGTATTGCGTGTTGGATGGGAGATATGCATTCAATCTTAGAATTTCCATATTGGGATAATATGTTTTTCCTTGTACAGTTTGGACTTTCATGTATTATGGGTTTTATACTATCCTATAGCATGATTCTTTGTACACTTTATAATTCTGCGTTAACTACTACAATAATTGGATGTTTAAAAAATATATGTGTTACATATCTTGGAATGATCATTGGTGGTGATTATATCTTTACATGGTTAAATTTCATAGGATTGAATTTAAGCGTTGTCGGTAGTTTAGTATATACTTGGGTAACGTTTCGAAGAAAGGAATCAACTGAATCAAAATATTCTCTCCTTTCTGACGAACAAACAAATAAAGTGCAAGCTGTATGATCAATATAAATGAAATCGTGCCATGTAACTATCTCAATCTCATCTTTTTACAATAATTTTTATCTTTTCTCCTTTTCTTTCCCAATCTTTTGTGTTTTTCCATTTTTTCTTACTAGCCATTTAATTTGTGTCTGTACTCAAAATGATTATGCTGTTGGAAATTAGAAAAGGAGCAAAATGAAAATATGAAAAGAGCAACAATGGAACAAAGCAAATATCATAAATAATTATAAGTAAATATAATATATCCTACGTACCAAAGCGATAATAACGTTACCAAATAAGATATGAATATGCTAATAGTTATTTCAGTAACATAGCGATGTAAAATACAACTTGTACATATATATATATTTCAAAGCTGCAATATATCAATAATGCACGTGTATAGAACTATTTTAGCGAAATAAATTTAATTTGTAAAGAAAGGAATGATCGTCATTATCCTTGATCAGTTTCAGGCTGGCTAGTTCGAAGATTTTACAACAGCGATGTCTCATCATTCACGATGGATTACGCGAAACATCGTATATCTCTGTCAACGGTACAACGCGCGATTTTGACAGTTGGTGCTGCTGCGATATCACTTCTCAATCCTTATCGAGGTGACATGATCGCATGCTTGGCAGAAACAACCGGTACTGATGCTCTTTCTTATTGTCATCGGCAAATGCTTGCAACCTCCGAGGGATGTCGCATTCTTGCCGAAAAACCACGCATATCCTCTTCAACAGTTGATTTTTCCGCGCTAAAACGATTACCAGCAGGAACTCTTGGAAAAATTTATTACGATTTCTTGGAAGTAAATGTAAGCTTTTTCAATGATTTCGCATTTTGTTTTGCCATTATAAAAGTCAATCATTATTCTTGTATATTATATAATTTTTTTTTATAAACAATCATTATAAATATTATCAGTATTAGTATTGATAATGAGTATTTTATTTATTACTCTCTTATTTGGCTCTGCTTTAATTAACTTCTATTTAACCAGTTGATAATCATTGATAAAAATGGATTGTGATTTTTCTTAGAACTTATAAAATTTATATTCTATAAAAATTGTTATTTCTTTAAATATATATATATATATATATATATATATTTTTTTTTTTATTTAGACACAATAAATGATATTCTCCGATATGTGATATTAAACGATAATAATAATATGATAAAACGATAATTGATATTAATGTAATTCGATTGAATCGGTTAAGAGGAAGTTTAATTTTATTTTAAGTGATTTTATAAATAAATGTGTTGAAAAAATATATATGTTTGTTACAGAACGTATCTCCCGATTCTAGAACTATGGTCAAATTCGTCCAAGATACTGAATTGGCGTATGTAATGCAACGATATCGGGAAACACATGATATTTATCATGCAATACTTTTGATGCCAACTACAATGCTCGGGGAAGTATCAGTTAAATGGATAGAAGCATTGCAATTACGTTTGCCAATGTGTTTAAACGGAGCGATATTTGGAGCATTTCGATTGCGTCCAAGGTAAATTAAAGATGAAATGCATGATATTTATAAATATACATTGAATCGCAAAAATATTGGAATTCTATCTTACAATTCATTGTGTGAAAATTCTGATTTTAATGAAAATTTTAGATATTTTTATTCGAATCAGAATTTCCAAATTCCAACATTTCTATATAATTATATACTTAATATTTTTGTATTCTATATAATTTAATTTCTCACTCTTTTTTTTAGACAAAGAAAATTATATCTTGATCATTATCTTCCATGGGCTATTAACACAGGAATTAAAGCAAAATTTCTTTTGGGTATCTATTTCGAGGAACGTTGGGAACAACCTCTTGTTGATTTCCATCGAGAATTAAATATTGCTCCTTTAGTATCGATAGAAAATATTTATAATGATATGTAAAGTCTTTTTTCGGATGCTTTTTTCTCCGTTATTATAGTAACAAGAATAGAAGTTATTAGGTAGTATATAACAATTTTTTTATTCACCGTAACGTTGGAAATATGAAGAATATAATTTTTAATGGAATATGTATGATTTGTATTACAAATATTTCGATCGCTATAATCAGAAATTTTAAAAAATTTATGTTCCTGTGTATATATATAGTGCATATACGCGCAATACGATGAAAAGTTGATTCATTTACAAGCAATCAACAATCTGACTAGCATCATATGGACATAATATCCTAGTTTTCGGTAAGTATTAGCAAATCGATCGATAATTACATTTTGAGATCACATATCGTATAATATGAAACGATATTTGTAATATTGATTGTCCCATTTGGTTTGTGATAACGCGCACAAACTATTACGAATGGCTAATATTTTGATATGAACAGAATATGTACTTAAACAATGATTATTCATTTGGCAGTTTTATCGATTATAATATTTGCAATATAACATATTTTAAATTTTTCATACATATAAAATATAATATCTTTCATGTTAATTATCCTGTTGAATTTTTGAATTCTAAACCAAACTCGTTATAAAATTAATATTATATATTTTTGTTTCATCTTTTGTTGTATGTTTCTTTAAACCAATATAAATTTTATTAATTTATTTATACAATTTTGCATTTCATATAGAGAGAAAGCATATTAATATATAGTTATGAAGAGTCAATATTTAATCGAAGAATATTTTGCATATTATAACAAATAATTGGAAAAAACAAGACAATAACTTTTATGAAAAAGCTTTGCGTTTTTTGTTCACAGGAAATGTATCCAATAAGTTCTGTCCATCTGTTTCTCTCTCTCTCTCTCTCTCTCTCTCTCTCTCTCTCTCTCTCTCTCGCATTATGTATTTTTATACATATATATATATGCGCAAAGTTGATTCATACATAAACCTAATTGAGCATTAAAAGTTAATGGCCAGAGCATCCTGATGTTTTTAATGGAAAGGAGTAGTTTTACGATATAATATATTTTTGATATGAGCTACATTAGGAATATATTACTAAAAACTGAATGAAGCAGAAGAAGAATAAATCAACATAAAAAGCTAAAATTTACGTACAGGATGCTTCTTGGCTGATTGTAATTGTTTGGTCCGTACTACTCAATCAATGAGTACCTGGAACATTCAATCAGGCTAATTTCTCGAGATATAGATGTATTTCCTCGAAACTAGGTCTCTCTTCAACTCGTGTACTCCAACATTTTTTCATTATACGATAAAGATTATCTGGACAATGATCAGACTGTGAAGGAATTCGAGGTTGATTTCTTTTATCATTATTATCATCATGTTCCTTATCGATGTTCGTTTCTCTTTGATACCAATGACCATAATTTTCTAAAATCTGTGCAACTGTTAAATCTGCATATGGTATTTCTTTACAATTTCGAAAAATTTCCCAAATTGTTACAGCAAATGACCAAACGTCGGCACGGCAACTACGTTTACCCTGAGAAACAGAAAAAAAAGAAAATGGATACAATATATAGAAACTGAAAAGAGAAATATCTATCTGAAGAAGAAAGGTACTCACATATATATTATATTCATAATATTAAAAAAAAAATAGGAAGAGAATAGAAGAAACACTAAATAATATTTACCAATAAAACTGCTTCCCATGCCATCCAACGAAGAGGAATTTTTACATTATGTCCATCGATGAAATAATGATGATCATATTTATTACAATATATAGCATGATCGGATACCTTTATTTTCAGATCAAGACAAACGATGCAATTTCTAAAATTTATATTGATGTTAAATTAATTTGTTTTCTTTTATTTTATTTTTTACAAATATTTATATTACCTAGCTGCTAAATCACAATGTGCAATGTTCATGGATTCCAGATATTTCATACCAGATGCAATTTGGATAATAAAACTTAAAAGGCTGCCATAGCTGTGAAGAATAGATACGAATTGAGATACGAAGAAATGACATCTTAATACATCATTAAGGTATTTTTTTCACCTAATATCTTCTTTGTTATCCAAATTTTCACGGTTTTCTAAAAAAGTAGGAAGATCTCCAAATTGACCGTACTCGAATATAGCTCCGAATGGTTCTTCTTCTACTAAAGCTATCATCTTCGCTATATTCGAATTTTGAAGCATTGCCAAAACGTGCATATCTTTTGTGAAATCCAACCTAAATACATACAAATATTTTTATCAGAATGTAATTATATTTTGGAATTAACATACCTTAAGGAATCTACAACTCCCCGCCAAAGAGATCTAACGATTACAGTTTGTCGATTTTGAATCGCTTCTATCTCTGGATTGGTAATTCCTTTTGCCTCACATAAATGGACCTATATGGCCAAATGTGTTTTTAATTATTTTAATTTTATATTTATCAATTATATTTTATATTTATTAATATTATTCATTCTTACCAAACCGAAATTTCCTTCTCCAAGCTTATCTAAAATCCGTAATCTGTGTCTAGAAATACGTTGGACATTGTAAGATTCAATGGTATGTAGTAAGCATAGGCCTTTTTCACGAATTTGAAGCGGTGTGAATGGACTCGAAGTTGATAAAGTTTCTTTTTTCTTCTATAAACATATCATATTTTTAATATATATTTTAAATATATATATTTTATTCATTATCTTACTGTTAAAATATCCGTTGCTGCATAATATCCTTCATAATTTCTTTGATTCAATTTTCCTGATTGTGAATAAAATATCTTTTTCGATGAATATGTTGTAGTTGGAATTATAACTTCCGTAGATTTGCTTGTCATAAAGCTCGAGTTGCATTTAAAATCTAAAATACATTGAATAAAAAAAAATTAAGTTTAATATATAAATATAATAATATAATGTGATAATACTTAAAGGGAGTGACAAATTCATAATCCGTACTATTATTTTCTTAATTTATAAAACTATTCCTTTTATATTATATATGTATATATATAAGTAGGCTCTCTATTCCTTCTTTTGCATTTTCTTAATCATGAATGTGGTACCAATATGTACAGATATAATCTTCTCTGAATTTTGGAAGTTTGAACTTCAAGATGAATCGGAAAAATTTGAAATCGAACAAGATTTCGATACTTTTTTATTGTTTAGGTATTTGCTTGAAATTTTCAATACAAAACAAATTTTTCATTCGATCCAAATTTATAAATTCAAATATATGTTACATTTTTTAATACTATGCTAATAGTATCAGAAAAAAGTTAATTGATAGTGAACCGAGAAAAATTCGTAATGTCTGATGTGAAAACAAATATCAAATTTATTAATATTCATCAAACTCACCAGAACATGATTCAGATATATGTGCGGATTTCGTATTTGATTTCATGATTACGAGATTTTCTTCAGAGAACAGATTGTAAGTTCTTTCGTATAAAGTTGAATTGCGATTATTTTCGGAATCGATCACGCTTTGGGAATCTCTTCGTAAATCTGTATTGGATCGAGCAGGCAAGTTATCAGAAGCGGCAATAATGATAGGTTTACGAATTAATGATAATCCAGTTACGATTGAATTTGAAAGTTTAACATCTTTTGGAGAAATCGCAATACCCGGTGTAGATGAATCACAGAGTAGAGCCGTATGTTTTTGTAACAAAGCTACTTTGTTACGACCTCTTTGTTTGATCAAGAATGCTGTACAAGTTAAGAAAAGAGCAAACACTGTCAGTAAACCGCTAACAAGTCCAATATATGTTTGGGAAGTACCAACGGGGAAGGCATCTGGTGTCGAATTGTTTTCATGAATTTCATAAAGTGTTGTTACATTAAAACCCAATATTATTGAGTCCAAGGAGTTACTAGATTTTATTCGTAATTCGCTTCGATTTTGATCCATTTCGAATGATCGATCGTTCAAAATATTCAAATCATTTGATTTACTCTTACTACCTGTAATTAATAAAATATTAATAAGTTATTAATTCATTAATAACAACAGCATTTAACTTTCTCTTTTTTCTTGAAAGTTACTTTATAACTGTTGAATAGCATTCTTATATAATCTAAACAGATTTAGCATAAATTCTTTACCCGTGTGGAACGTGATTTCGCTAAGCAGCAACCATTTCGCAGCAAGATCAAATTCCATTTTTACAAATCGTCCTATTCTAGATTGCAAAGGAATCGAAATTGTTTCGGCAACAGACGAGCTAGCATCGATCAAACCCACCAATTTTTCTGCTTCCGATTCATAGTTTTCTCCATCAGAGGAAAACCAAATATGCATTACCGAAAATGTCTGAAAAAATTAGAAATTAAGAATTTTAAAAAATGTATAAGTATATACATATATAGTACGTAGATAAAGAAAATGACGAACCTCAATTTCTAGTTCCGGTATACGCGCAACATGTACAGAACAATTTTCGAATTCTCGTAATTCTTGAAAAGAAAAAATAATCTGGACAGTGGTGCGGTCTGACCAGCCTACCCAGTTTGTACCATTTGTTGAAGAAGTGAAAATTTCGGAAATTTCACCTAATATACCATCCGTTAGTTGACCAAGGCCGTTTACAAGAAGAGAGTCAATTTCGATACCATCATACGATGAATCTTCGATATTTTTCCCTCCGGGACCAAGAATTGATCCTTTGATTATACTGTAACTCGCGATATACTCTGGGAAAAAGCCGATAATCGTATACGTGATATGTGCGCGATAATATTCGCGATAGTATTATCTCTTGTAAATAAAATATATAATAAAAATGCTTACGCTCCCATATGCATCCATAAATTTCAACTCGCATACAAACCGTCCGTGGATGTTGACTGTAAGGTACAAATCGAACTTTGCTCGCGACGAATGGTAAATCCAATTTTTGCTTTTCAACCAAATAAGTGTTACTATTTCCGCGTAATACCTGAAACAAGTGATTCGTGTACAATTGATCTGTATTAATGTACGAATAGGTATGTAACAATAGTTTCTTGATATCAATAATCATCGAAGACATCTTGCTTTGCTCTCGAGAAACTATTTAATATAGTTAATAGTATTTACGAATAATATTAAGAGTTTTCCTTCATACATTGTTTAATATCGCGAAATATATATAAATATGTATATGTACATATATGTTTGACAACGAAACTTAATCGAAGCAACGCAGATGACTTTTGATGGATTTATTACAGATACGAACTCTGTCACCCCTCAAATTTTTATACTGATGCCATTTTTTGTCGCGCCAATATTCGAGAAAAAAGGCTTCTGCATATTCCTGGCCTTGACCATTACCAAATCGTCCTTGAGTTTCAGTCCACGCTATTAGATGATCTCTAGTTAGATCAATTTCCAAATATTCCCGTATCGCGCTGCTAATTTGCGCTTTTGGACACCAAGCACCGCCATTTTTCTCCTGTCGTATTCTGTAAATGTATAAAAATAAAAAGTGCAATAGTTGATAAATCACAATAATTTTAATCATCAAAGATGATTTTTATTTCGCATTATATTGGTAACTTTATAAAAATGAAAGTGATGTAAATTAAAAATATATGTTATTAGATGTATTGTATGATGCATATGTATTGTATGATAAGATGCATATTTTACCATTATTTATATAGTAATATTAATATCAAAATATAATTATTTTTTTTATTCTTTTTTTTTTTTTATTCAAATGAAAAGAAGAAAGAAAATGAATTAAAGATCGAATAATTATATAATTCAAATTCTAATTATACACTGTGTATCCTATTTTAACAATGTGATTCCTTATAAAAATAAAGAGAAAAAATAATATTTTTTTCATTTGAAAAATTTGTTTTTGAATAAATCAAATTTGAAAATTTTTCAAATACAAGCAAAATTGATTAATTTCTGATTTTTCAATTTATTTTTTTATGAAAAATTACTCTCTAGCTGATTATATTATATATAAATAACAAAACTATATAGTCTAGCAATATTCCGAAAGAATTTACCGTGCATTTTGAGGTCCCACTGATTTTGTTTCATAACTAGAAGAAGCGGTGATTGCATCATCTGGAATTTTTCCTTCCTCCATACCAAGTGGGAAGATACACTGACCTGTAAAATAAGCAATATTACTTATATATGATGTATGTTTTCAAATCTGTTTCTTCGATTTAAATTTTATTGTTTTTATATGCATTAAGATTTTATTCGGATTTTCAATAAGCGCGATTGGTCGCAATTCGAAAAAAATTAAATGGTATATATTATTTATTTCATTTCATATGATATTATAAATATTGTATAATGATCACATCATTATAATTTCATTTTTTTATTATTAATTAAATTGTTAATGTTACAAGTTTATTCTTCATCATTCATTATTATTATAATATATGCATTATTATAATATATGCATATAAATATATGCAGTATATATGTATAATATATTCTTTATTATTCGCGGAAGTCTTTGCTACGTAGGGTTGTATAACAAATATTTTTTTTTTCTTATTATTACTGCATTATTATTGTCATTAAATTCATTGTATTGTATAATTAGAAAAAATTTGAATTATATTAAATTTATATTCTTCTTTCTCTTTCTTACCAAAAACGTTCTTGCCTGTATTCTCTCCGTGAGCACTTGTAACCAGAAGAACTCCCAATGAGACGACAGTTAACGTGCACCGCATCTCGATATCCGGTACTTTTATTATTTTCACTTTCTTCACAGTTCATGATAGATCGAGTTTTTTGCTAACATTGTTCAATTTCTGAAACTAACTATTATATTATCGATTAATTTTTCAATCATTTATTTGATCATTATTCGTTATTAAATTATAATAACTTTTAACTTACTAATTCTATTTTCATATCTCGAATATGTATATGTATTATGGTATACTTTATATTTGAATTGATAATAAAACATGTTAATATTCATAGATTTTGAAAAATTCTAACTAATGGCAAATAAATACAAATAAATACAAATAAATATAAATAACGGTTTGATATTAGCAATCAACAATATGCAACTTATATGTTAATTGGATTCATTGATGGAAAATGAAGACAGAGGGTTAGGGAATGCGCACGGGGTCCTGGATGGATATGCGTGCAACAAGTAAAATACGATCAATACGAGTGTGGTGCAGGAAAGAGCATGATCATAATCGACTCATTTTCGTTTACTTGTACCTTTGTCCACATCGTGCAAACAATTATGTATTATTATGTTTCGTTTTAATATGAGCGCAAAAGCAACTACATAAAATACGAGTCATTTCTTTTCTTTTCCGGAAATTTTATTTATTAATTCTTATAACATATTTTTTTGTTGTATTATTTATATACGTATATTTATAATAATTTATAATAATTTTTGTGACTGATATATTTTATTTATATTAATTATCAAAGATGATTAAGAAAATAAAAGATATTATTTGATTTTGATTTTATATATTATAAACAAAGTAAGTTTTAAGATAATAAATTTCAATTCATTTTAATTTTTCAAATGAAATTGCTTAAAAGGAAACATTTTCTTTTAAATGATATTTAATAAAATTTTCAAAAACTTGAATTTATAATATGAAAAATAATATAAAAAATATTCTTTGATTTTTCTTCCTCTTTTTTAATTATTTAATTTTTGAAATTCTTTTTCTTCTTTCCTTTTATTTAAAAATACTTAACACGCGTTCTAATTATTTTATTTATTAATACAACTTTCATTCGATCTTTATTAATAATTACTAAATTTCTTCCACACCCATATGGAATATGTTGCATCGATCATTAAACATATCTTTTGAATAATTATTATATTATATATTGCAGTCTTTATATATGATAAATTGATGAAAAATGAATAATCTTGAAAGTTCTTACCTTTTAAGCTCGATGCTTTTCACTTATTCCATGTATCATAAAAATGAAAAGTTTCAAAAAATTAAAGAATTTCAACATTCTGCTAAAGCTAATCGAATGAAAGATGCACCTCTTGTATAATTTCAATTTCTTTTATATAAAAAAAAATAAATATATATATATATATGTATATATATATATGTAATATATATATATATATATATATATAATTGCACAACTTAATTAAGAAATAAGAAAAAAATAGAAATTCCTAAAAATCAATTGTCACTTGCACTGTACAATTGACAGATTTTCTCACATCTAATTCGATTTCCGTTTCTTTTTGAACACGTTCGTTCGTATGCTCGTGTTTTAGTATTTCTAACGAAACGTAGTTCGATGCAAACTCCACTCTGGTCCAAAGCTTTAGTCCAGCATCCATGGTATCGGCTCGCGGTGAGCTTGCTCAAAGATAGGAGTGGGGCGAAAGGGGTTATAGGGGAATATCCTTCCAACATATATTCATACAATTATTGCAATAATATTGAAATTGTTATATACATTGTTATATATTAAGATTGATAATATTGAAATTTGATATTCGTTAGAATTAATATAGAGCATAAAATATGAACATGATTAATATGAAATAAGCATTATTTATGGATTTTTTTTAATTTTGTTTTATTATGTTTTTTATTTTCAATGAACAGAGAAATATAAATAATATGATTATAAGAAAAATTTTAATAAATTAATGAGAACAGATAAATTAATAGAAACAAATATTTATTCATTGCAATTTAGCAAAAAAGATTTATTAGGAATAGTTTATCTGCTCTTAAATTAAATTTTTGTTGCATGCATACATATATTATTACATATATATAATTACATTTGTCATATTTAATATCATTTAATGAAACAAATTGATATTATATTATTTATATTTTTTTCTTATTATATTTTCATTTTAAATAAAATAAAATATTTCAATACTTTATTATTTTAAATCAATATTATTATTGATTATATATTATCTCTTATTATTATTGATTATATATTATATCTTATTTATTTTAAATAAAACCCACAATTTAAAAATATTCTTGCCATTTGAATTTTTTTTTAACACCGACACTCAGACGAAATAGTGTTTTGAATGATCGGTAAAATTTGTTTTCGCGTAATCTGTACATTTTTCTGCTCATAAAGAACCAAGTTAAAATTTTCATCTTTGTTATTAATTTCCTTAATCAATATCAACTCAAGAGATGGTTGTGCAGACAATAGAGCTTCTATTATCTGATAATATTGAAATTAATCGATAATTACAAATTGATCGAATAAAACAAAATGAATGAAAATATTTTAAAATGCTAACCTTTTTTTTCAATTGATCAGCAGCCAAAGAAAAAACAGCAATATCTCGAAATACTTTTTCTGAAGTAAGATCCAATCCCATTACAATAACGATCGTGGTATTTTTAGATAGAACAAAATTTTCAAGACTTTTTAAACTTCCTTGTAAATCCAGAAAATCCTAAAGTGCCGCACATGAACTATATAATTACATTATATATTATACTATAAATAAATCAAAATTTCATGTAAATCGATTAAATTTATTTTACCTTCACCAATATAGGCAATACGGTAATTGGCACTCCAGAAGTTTCTTTTAAATCTCTGATCAAAAGATCATCAACAGTTAATTCACTAATATCAGATTTTGCAATGAAGATCTCGTTAAATACTTTATTCCTATCTAGATCTAATGATCCAATTTTTTCGAGAGCTTCTATAATTTCAATATCCATAGAAGTAGCACGATTCACTTTTTTCGATAAATTATATGTATCGATCAAGATAGGACCTATTGTTTACATAAACATAATGCTATATTTAAACATCGCAATTATCTAATAAAATTTATACTAAAAAATATTAAAAGAAAAATTAATACAACTTTATTTGCTTGCCTCTCAAAAGACTTGATATCTGTGAATCTATAACTTCTGGATGTTTATCAAATAAATTTCGCGCCACTAAGGTTGCACAGCTACCTACATTTTCCAAATACACTTTCCTGCCTGTCCATGGCCATCGTTTATCTTGTGGTCTGTGATCGATTATTTTAATTATAGATTCCATTAGATACATATCTTCTTTTGGAAGATTATGATGATCGACAAGCACGATTTCCAATTTGATTTTCATATTTTCTTTTAAAGTTTTCAAATCTATTTGATCCCTAGAAATTATAATTTTTTACAAATTATTTTTTAATATATTTTATATTCTAATTTTTCATTATTAAGTTTTAGTATAGAATACTTTTCTTATTAGATTTTTTTTTTTTAATTTTTTTTAAACTTACCGAAATATTAGCAAGTTAGAGGATATGTTATGACATTTCATAAAAAATACGACTTCCGTTTTTAATCGATATTCTTTTTCAGGTATGTTCATCAATGGAATAACTGCCAAATCTTTTTCATTATTTTTTATTCCATCCAAATATTCAGAAAAAGCTTGAATTAATGTCGATATGGCGGAATCTAAATCGCAAGTTCCATTACCCAAAACGATGCGGATTTTTTTATAATTGAATAACTTTGACTATAATAATATATAAGGTAAAAATCTTTAAATATTTATATTTTTTTTATTTTCTAAATAAATTTTTCTTCTTGTTATGTTTAAAAGTATTTACTTTTTTTAATTTTTAATTTTGATAATATTTATAATAATATTTATTTGTGTTTATATTTTTTATTTCTATTTTTGAATTTGTCATATGTTTTGATTATTTATTAATTTTATATTTTTATCAAAATTTTTATCTTTTTTAAAATAATTTTTATCTATAGTTTTTTTATAATATAACAATTATATTAAATTATATAAATAGTCAATTATCTTATATTTCTTATACATATTTTAAATTTATAAATCAATGTTATGATTATTTTTGTAACATTTAGAGAATAATGTCTTTTATATAATATAATATATATTTGGAAATATAATAATATATTCTTAAAATTTACTACAACTCTAATATTTAAATTTGAAAATTATATGCCGCGTAAAAGATAAAAATTGAAATTCTAATATCTATCAACATTAATAATTATAATTTTATTATCATTTGATTAAAATTTAAATTAATATTAATTATTCATTAAATACTTAAAAAAAATTAAATAAATATATATTATTTTAATATCATTTATTTTAATATCAGATATTAGAAAGTTATTAATTTTATTTTTAATTATTAGCATTAATTTTAACTTTGTAATTAATATGATACTTTAAATTTATTACTAATTTATTAAATTTATTACTAATTTATTATTAATAATTTATTAAATTTATTTATTTTGATTATTTTTATTATGCAAATAAATAATTGTAAGAAAAATAATAATTATTTTTCATTATATAACAACAAATTTTTTTATTTCTACTAATGATATTTAAGAATATAAAAAAAAAGTATTAGTTAAATTAATAAACTAAACTGTTTATATTATAATTTATTTATATATTAATATTATAATTTAATTATAATGTTAATTTTAAATACTGGTAATGAGAACCGAATCATTGCGCACATTTAATTAAAAATATATCTAAGAATTTACTCACTACAATAAAATATTTAAAACAAAACGGAAATAGTACCAGAACTGCTTTCGACGTGGATAGAAATGACTCCATGATTCTTTATTACAGTTATAGTTTATTTACATTCAATTAACTTTTAAATTTTGTCCAAAATCCAAATATATTAATTAAGTTGATTTCACCATTTCTCGAACTGCTCATTCACTTGTTGATATAGTATAAAAGCCAGATCCTTGTAATAAAAATAAAAACTAATTTACAAAGAAATAATTTAATAACTGAAAATTATTCGTTTCTTGCTTATGATTGAAAAATGATTGAAAACTACTGCATTGCAAACTATTTATCTTCATCAAGTGTTATAATTTCTCGACTATATTCGGAAGTATTCGAGTTTAGTCGATAATATTCGGCAATATTCGACAATCTACGAAATATACCGATGTTGAACGATGCAAACGACAGTAATGTCCGCGACCGCTTGTTTCTTTGTCCATAGTCATCCATAATACATGTTTGTTTCAAGATGTGAAAAACGGTACATACTACGTTGGTTCGATAATTATTTTATTCTATTGCCTTTTATTTGTTGATAATTTTGTAAATTTATGTTTGCAAGCATGTTTTTTTATTTTCATATTCTTCGCATGAATGTGATTATAATTGAAAATGTACATTTTCTATAAATTTTATTAGCCTAATATTAGTTATTTTGATAGTGATTAGAAAAATAAAATACGTTTGATGGAACGATCACAACAAAAAAAAACTGTTCATTGAAACTAATTATTAAAAAGATATTAGACAATATTCCTTCTATAATATAAAGAAGATGCAAACAGTGAAATCAATCCTCATTTTCTTTATTTCTATAAAATTTTTCATTTTTATTTTTATGTATATAACGTTGTAATATAAATTTATTTTCTTATTTATTTAATAAATTAAAATCTTTATTTTTATTAATAGTGTTCTTTACTGCAAAATGTATACTATTGAAAATATTAGAATAAAAAGAAAAATAATAATCAATTAATAAATAAAATATGTAAGTGTTAAAGATATTTAGCAACTAGAGAAAGGAAAAAAAGAATAAAAAAAGTGCAAGATATGTATAAAAAGTTATAGATTATAGAATGGTTTATAGAATTTGTTAGCGAATTGACAATATAAATATAAATATAAATTTGCTAAAGCGGGCTCATGATAGAAATTGAATAGGTCTTGTTAATGTAATCTATTATTAGATTGAAAATAAAATTTACTTTAAATCTATTTTAATAATAAAAAGGTAGCTCAAACTGACTATATCTTGTAATTTTAGCTATTTAAACTTTAAGTGGAAATTTATAACTATTTGTGATTATTTATAATTATTTAGAATAAAAGAATCGCAATGTGAATTCAATATACACATATTTTTTACAAATTTTACACATTTTTTAACAAAGTAAAATCTAATGTCACTAATGAAATGGAATAAATTTTAAGTAATAGTTATATGCTTTTATTTAAAATTTAAATAGCTGAAGCTGCAGAATATTTTTTCCTTTATGTTATGTTTTTTATAAGAGTATATTATACAGATTCTATTATGTTTTTATTCATAATTTCATAAAACAATTTTTTAATAAGATTTGTTTAGTTTTTGTTATCAAGTTACTCTTCGGTTTTCACAAAAGCAGTTTAATGCGAAAACAAATAATTATGGATTTATAGACAGATTATCAATTTATATATTTATATATTCTATAAATAAAATGTTTGTTGGATTATAAAAAATCCTATAAAAATTAGAATTACAGATAAAATTTATTTTTCATTTCATTTCATGTTTTGTATTACTTAATTCATGTTATTGTTTCAATTCCGTTCCATTCCGTTCCGTTCCGTTCCGTTTCTTTTCGTTTCTTTTCGTTTCGTTTCGTTTCTTTTCGTTTCGTTTCGTTTCGTTTCGTTTCGTTTCGTTTCGTTTCATTTCGTTTCTTTTCGTTTCTTTTCGTTTCGTTTCGTTTCGTTTCGTTTCGTTCCGTTTCGTTCCGTTTCGTTTCGTTTCGTTTCGTTTCGTTTCGTTTCGTTTCGTCTCGTCTCGTCTCGTTTCGTTTTTTTTTTTGACATGACACTAAAAGATGTGATGCACGTGTTATTAATCGTTTATTTCTTGACAGATAACAAGAAGAAATAGAAATACATAACGGACAACATAGTTATTACTTTGAATGGATGTATTCCGCGATGCGGTTTAACAAGCAAGAACTATTGACTTTGGCTACACAACCTTCGCAGAAATTTGAGAAAGAGGGTATATTATACGTGCGTGAACGTCAAGAAGGCTTCTTTCGCAGAACTGAAAGTGAGTGATTAGATTTAGTTTTAAAAATAAAAGTAATATTTAGTCGTTTCATCGCACATTTTTAATCGACTGAATTATGTATGTATTTTTATTATTTCGATCGGCGCATGTTTTTTTCTTATCTAAATTGTATGTTTTATCCTTGAAAATAAACTCACGTGATACGCAAATTCTTCGTCTTGTGGGGATAATCCCTTTTCTTTCTTGATATATCTTATAAATCTCGTCAACGATTGACTGGATTTTGTCGTGTATTCGTCGCGAAATGCAAAACGAATGAAGATCTAAATCAGACAAATGATGATCTAAGACCTGACAAAGATGTAGATATTAGTATATATCTTTCTTACAATATTTAATGATATTAAATTAATACAGTTCATTATCTGTTTTCTGAAACACAATTTGACATAGTATAAATATATTTTCAATTTGATCGAGGTTCGTATGCGAGTGAATAAGATGTTTGTCTATTATATGTTATATATGTATATGTTATAAATTGATTTTTATGTTGTCATTTCCACTACACTTCAAAATCGTTGGTATTTGCGTATTTCTAATTGGCGAAATGTTTTACGGTATTTTTTTCATCTAATAAATTAACGAAATATAATAAATTAATAAAACGATGAATATAAAATCTTTTTAAAAAAATCTTTTTGTTTTAATTTTAAATGTGTTAATATTTATTTCTGATGAATACGAAGAATTTGTCAAGCTCGTATAAAATTTTCATGTATAAAGTTTATAAATTTACGAAACATCCCGAATTGAATATATATATACATATCTCTTTTCCATATATATTTATAATACGTGATATATGATAATATTCATATATTATATGATATATATGTATATCATATATTAAGTGGAAAATGCTTGATTCCTTCATTTCATTCATTTATATATCATATATCATTTATCAACTATTATATACATATATTACGTTACTATTATTATATCAGTATATTATAGACATAATAATAATAATTAATTAAAATAATTAGATTTTACTGTAATAAGATTTTAGCTTTAATCAAAAACTAAGTCAGTGTTTCTCGGCAAATACCTTATATAACCTCAATGTGTATAAGAGCATTTTATTTAATATATCGCGAAAATTTTATCAAAATTTTACCAAACATAAAAACAAAAATAATATTTATTAATATTTATAAATAATATTGAGAAATCAATCAATATAATAATCAAAAATATATTTAAAATGTATATATTAGTATTATAAATATTTTTCTTTTTAGTGATATTTTTTTACTGTTTAAATAAATAATAAAATGAAAATGAAAAAATGTATTATGATTTTAAGAAAAATTAATAAGATTAAGAAAAAATTTTTTATTTAATAATATAATATGCAGAGAAAATTTAATTTTAAAATATGTTATTAATCCAAAAAAAGGAAACACTGATTTAAGTTATAAGAACATCACCGTAATTCAATTTTATCAAGTCTAAAAAGTTGAAAGTCAAATTTGTAATTTTATTCATGTATTTAATATTAGATAATAAATTTGGGATGTCAATAGTTATAGGAATATATATGTATGTTTTATATATGTATATTCATATTTATGCACATATATGTATATGTATATTTTTATCCATATATATATGTGACATTTTATATTTAATAATTTTGTATCTCAATTTATTTGTAGATTATATCTCTAAATTTTTGAATTCGTTAAACATGTTATTTTTCTTTTTTTTTTTTATAAAAGTATTTCTGCGAATCGAACATGCCTTCGAATCTCAGTCAAAATTCTTATAGGACGTGTGCACGATTATTCAAGAATTATGAAAGCATCTCATTGTAAATCGTTTAAGTATATCAAAAACTTTTAATATCATTTAAATATCTTATCAAAATCTTTTAGCAACACAAATTTATTTCTTCTTGTTCCAATATTGATATATGAATAAATGATTAAATTAAATAGTTAGAAACAAATAAATAGGCAGAAATAGAAAGAGGCAAGATAAGATGAAAATTTAGAATTTAATCATTATAATCAATATAATATTTATTTATTATAAACTTCCTCAGCTGTGAGTTATTAGGAATGTCAAATTTGAAATTATGCATTCAAAAAGATGAGGAATAACTTTCGATATAATGAATAAATATTATAATGATTTCGATCTCAATCCTATCTCGATTCGATTAAACATCTATCGATTAAACATTCATATTTGCGATTTGAAGTGAAAGATAGTAAAGTTAGGAGAATGTAAAGTTATTATGAATAAAAAAGCGAATAAATAGCGAAAAAACCACGTCCGACTGCGTTCATATTAGAGCATATTAATTAAGCTACCTGTAGCTACGTATAATTTACAGGTACAGGTAGAAAATCAAACAACAAATGTCAAAAGGGAAAAACACATAAGACACTACGAGACTTCAGTTGCGTTACAGCCAGTACAAGTAAAGGTATACTCGAGTTCTTTTTTTTTTTTTTTTGATTTTTCACAAAAATTCTTTCCTTCACTATGTAAACTCGATTAATCGCGAATAACACGCTTTTCGTTACATGCAAAATTGGACTAAATTGATTCCTTCATCAAATATTCCTTTGACACATGTTTCGACAAAGTTTGGCAGATCGCTTCGGGGAAATGCTTCGTATTTACAAATTTTATACTTTTATACTTTCGCTATGCTCAAAAGAATTTTTGGTATGTAGAATGCGCTTCTTTTTCGAGAAAAATTTGCATTATTTTTTGAATTGAATGATACATTTCACAAAATCATTTTTTTCACTAATAATCATTTTATCATAGATCGCATGCTTTTTTAATATATTTCTATTAGTGATTCGCTAATGGCTTGTTCAAAATGCATAAGAATTGTATTTTCAAACGATTGCGCTGCATATGTGAATATGTTTATAAATGTCTGTATATAATATATATATATATATAATATATTGAACGTATATAAAGATTTAAATATTATTATTTCATTTCGTATATATGTATATACCATTTTGATTTCTATTTTCTTTCGTGTCTATTTCATTTTGAAAAGAAAATTATCTGACAAAATTACCTATGAAATTTTGATAAAGATGTTAACAAAATAACACAGGGTTGTTGGTGTTCTCTGTTGGATAGTAAGTTTGGAGAGATGGTGCAGGTTGCGGGGGAACTTATTATTTTATTTCAAATCGCGGGACCAATGGTCGGAACCATTAGGTGTGATAATTCTCGAACAATGTTTTGTTCGAGTGGAGCAACCGAGCAATCAGATTCCATATGGATTCAGTATAGGTAAGCATTTGGTTTTTTCCAAAAAAAAATGATAAAAGGAAATATGGTGATGAAATTTAATGCGATCATCTCAAACGCCGGAAATAAAAAAATAAAAAAATGAAAATTTAAAAATTTAAAATTTGTGCATATATTGATTTCAGTTTTCGACGGAGGTTTATTCCAAGCATTAGGTGCAAACTCAGCTGAAGAAAGAGACAGTTGGTTACAAGCTCTTCAACTTGCTAGTTATGAGTGCATGCGAAGTCAATTATTAGCATTGCAACAACGCATAGAAGCATTTAGTGGGCATAAACACGATACTGATATCCATATGTTACGCTTACAACGTGCAATTTCAACAGGTTTGATTGTTATCAAATTATTAGTTTGTTGGTATTCATTTTTTTTTAAATCGATTCATTATTTCAGATCCTGCTGAAATACCAATATGTGAAATATCATTAGCATGCGATAATCTTCTTTGTGATGGTCACGGTCGACCACCTAATCCTGTTCTAGAAATAGATGTACAAGTGAAGAATTCGAAAACTTGGATAAAATATGCGCGAACTGAAGTCGTAGAGGTATGATAAAATTGTTATCTTGTTTGTTTCATTTCTACTTTTGTTTTCATTTTCGTTTCTGTTTTAATGCTAATTTTTATTTACGCATGTTTCTATCTTTTTCTCAGCGAAGCAGCAATCCCGGTTTCTTAACAACTGTAACCTTCCGAACAAGTGATGGCCTAAGCACTGAAACGAAAGTAAGAATATCCGCGTATGATGTTAGGGAACGCGTAAGCCAAACAGCGACACCGATTGGAAGCGCAATTGTTACGTTGAATACGATTCAGGATACACCTAGGTAATTTTATAGGCTCTCACTTTATATCTTTATTTACTGCTAATTTGTTTGTTCACTTTTTCATTCTATCGCGTCTCTGACTAGCAATCAAACCATTTTAGATTAAGAATACCTTTGAAGTCGGCAAAAACAACAACAGTTGGTTTCTTAACAATTAACGTGTGGAATTTAGAGGCAGAAGATAGAGGAAATAGCACAGAGAGTACTCCATCGAAAGAAGCTTCTTCTGGAGGCAATCACCAGGTAAATATTGATTCACCACAAAACTTTCTTCTCTCATTTTCAAATTTTCAATTTCTGTAGTTTCTCTTTTCGTTCTGGTGTGTGTTGGCTTTTCTTAGATACTTTCACACAGACGATCCCAATCATTACCACCAAGATTAGGAACGAAAATCAAATTACCACATCAAGGACAGCTTAAGCTTCTTTTTGCCAATCCATATATACAAACATACAGGTATAATTTTATTTGTACTATGAAATATTTATCTTGCACGGATTTTTTTATATTATCAAATTTATTTTTTCAAATTTGCATTGTTATTTCAGATTTCACTCTGGTTTAGGTGGAGATATTTGTGTACATGAAATTATGGCAGAAAGTAAACTTTGTTTCCAATTCCCACAACATTTACTGTAAGCAATTTTATATTATATATATCATATCATTTAAGCTTTGTTAAATATTGGTCAAGCATTATTGTTTTAATATCTTATGATAATTATATTTTAATATATATTATATGCATAATTTTGATAATATAACAAAATTCATTTATGATTGTGTTTTATTTATTTAAAATTTTATTCTTTTATTTATATAGTGCAATTTGGATTCAAGAAGAAAAAGAGCTATTGCAAGAAGTGGCCGGTATGGGCGAATTGCGAGAACCTTGGCATACAAAGCAAGTAGAATTGCTCGATCGTCATCTTCATCTTTTACACCTTTATTCTCAAGCTAAAGAAAATTTAGCTGCATTTAAAGGTAGAACTAAAAGAACAATTATTTATTATCAAATTAAAATGAATTAATATTTACATCTCATCAACTGATAAAATGATCTTTGTAGGAAGTTATTTCAAACGATCATCACGTAGGAATGATAGAACCCTTGAATTTGCGCCTGTTAACTTACATCTTCAAAGAATGTGGGTGCATAATGATACTCTAAACAGATGTGGATTTTACGATTTTATTACTGTCGGAGCATTTACCGCACATTCGCATAAAAGTAAAAATGGTGGACTCATTAGGTGATTTATTATTATTATGATTGGTTTATTTATTAATCAAATGATTCAAAAGCGAATGGATGAAAAAGATAGATAAATAATTAGAAAAAAAATGAGAATATATGTATATTTATATTGATGTTATTGTTTTAGGTTGTTACAAGCTTTAAAAGAATCGCCAACACGTAACAATCACTTGTACCAAGGAACCTCAAAAATAATTATGGCACACGATGCCATTCAGGCGATTAAGCAACTTAGACGAGATGTTGTCGATGCGATGCGTGCTTTAATGAAACTTGCAAAAGACAAACAAACCAGTGGAATGTTACCAATTTGCGAAGATATGATTACAAAAACTAGAATTTTGCTTAGTCTTTGGGATCCTGGATTGGTCGAGGAAGCATTAACCTTTTTAGAGGAATATAAAGTAGCTAAGGTTCACGAAACATCGAATGAAAATTCTCTCAATTTAGATTTTAAAACAAATCAATCGTTATCTCCTTTCAAAAGGATTACACAACAATTGAATTTTGATTTAAAAAGTCCGGATTTTGATGATTTTGTTACGCCTGATACGCCAGAATGCATGAAAGATTTATGGATAAAAGAAACCGATAAAAATGGTTATACGGCTTCGTTTAACGAACATGTTCACGTAAATCATCATATTAATACTAATCAAGATAATGTCGAAAGGAACGAAGAAAATTTTGTTATTTTTCCTGATGTTGAAAATGATAGTAAGAATTCTGAAATTGAAGAAAATTGCATGGAAACTAATCAAAATGTTGACGATGGGAACAATCCTGTTAATGAAACTATTGCTAATATCAAATCTGAGAGTAATGAGGAAAAAGAGGAGGAAATTAAAATTGACATTGATCCATGCAAACGGTTTTTAGATACTCAAAAAATGTGCAATTCACCTTCTGCTAATTATTATAAGCCTACTGACGAACCTGAGCCCTGGGATCTAACTCAATTAAATATTGAAGCAAGCGTAATGTGTTTAGTATCGAAAGTGAAATTTCTTTGTGGAAGGTGCAGTAGTCCTGCAGTACGATTGCGAAATAAAAATGTTGTTGGAAGATCACATAGTCTAAAAGGATGTATTCCAAATAATCGTAATAAAAATGCCCAAGTTGTAACAATTCAACCAAAAAATGATATTAAAAACGACGAATCGAGTAAATTGCTTGAAAGCGTGGAAAATAGTTCAAATTTTCGACAACAATTGAGTCCAGGTTCGGAAATGACGATGCCAGCTTTTTCTAAAGCTAAAGAAGGTAAGAAACTAGATTTTCGATTGTTCAACTTTGATTGCTATTATAATATGAGTTAGGTGCGTGAGAAACGATTTGCGCTAAATGTTGCAAGTGGATATTATTCATATTGTGCTTGCGCGAAATTCGCGAAATCAGTTTTCACGTTCTTTTTAAAAGAAAAAGAACTAATAAAAAAGATAGAAAACAATCGATTTATTGGGCAATTGATTTATTTATACTTCATATTATATACATATTGTTCATTATGAAGTGTGTCAAGCTGTCGATTCGATGACGAGAGTGATTAAATGCAATTCGGGACAAAGGAATAAATTCACCGAAGGTCTAGATTTTGCCTCGATCGTCGATTGGACAAGTGAGCTAAGACCAAGTATGAAAAAACTACGACAAGCTATGGATGGTTTGCTGAAAACTGCTCGATTGACTCATTCGGTATTCAGAGTGCAAGAAGATCCGAAAGCAGCTCAACGTGCTTGCAATGTTCGTTATAGACGAGATGTCTGTTTCAGTCAAGCAGTAAGTTTGCAACATATTTTCTTTTTTTTTTTTTTTTTTTTTTTTATTTCAATATTATCATACTTTTCTCATTATCATCATTTCTCATATTATTTTTTATTTTAGATTTTATTCTAATCATAATTTTTTGTGATTTTAGTTGACTAGTCTAGTATCGGGATTGATGGCGAAACTTTGGTGTCAAAGACCTGATCCTATGTTTCTTTTAATCTTAACCACTCTTGGTCCTCTGGTTTCATTTGAAGGTCTTCTCAGTTATTATGGAGATGAAATAGATATGTGGGGAGATATGACTATAGCGATAGAAGATATGCATACAGTAACTTTTACGTTGACTAGATGTGGCATCGAACCAAGGTTAATATCAAAGTATTGATGTATTCGATATTAGTGTTCATATAATAAAAGATTAAAAAATTTTAAATATGAACAAATTCTATTATAATAAATAATTACATAAATTATATATTAAAATTATATAAATAATATGTTTTTTTCAGGCTTGAAAGAAACAGTAATACTCCATTTCAACAACCATTACCAAAAGTTCTTGGTTCTCGAGCAGCTTTAACAGTGATACTTCCAGTCCCAGATGCGATTTATTCTCTTCTTCCACTAGTCCCTTCTTCTAGACAAACAATTTCCTTCAATGTTACTCCCGTTTTTTTTAATGTTGGTATTAATGAAATGGCTTCCTTGGCAGAAAGTCTCGGAACCACAAAACCGCAAGAAAAAAGCAATATGGATAATTTTGAAAGACTAAATGAGTATTATTTACGATTCAAAAAACTTAATTTGCCGACAGAGACATCGTCAACACGACGTAAGTTTATGTTGGTTTTTCATTTAAATACATATATATATATATGTGTGTGTGTATATATATATTTGTATTCATCTCGTTCATATTTTTATCGGATTTAGTTGGTGCAAGATCACCGCTTGGTCAAACTTTAATAGAACTGATGACCAATTTAAAAGCAAGTGTTCAAGCCAAAGTAAATAAGAACGTTGAAATCTTACAATTATCCTCTCAAATTTGTCGGAGAATGCGCGGTTTGAGATTTACTAGCTGCAAAAGTGCAAAAGATCGCACTGGAATGTCTGTTACGTTGGAGCAAGTGAACATTTTAACCGCCGAGTATCATCTAGCCGAGCACGAATACATAAGAGCGCTCGACTGTATGCGAAGGTTAATTTTTATAAAAAATAATGTGTATATATGCCTGCGCGCATGTGTGATCTATGTGTTATGTATAATATATACAGTTAATATAATTGTTTTGAAAATATATTCAAATAGTAGTAAATATTGATTTTAATTAGAATGTGAATATTATTTAATTGAATATTATTTATTATTTACAATAAATATTATTTTAATTACAGCGAAGGGTGTCGGCGAGAGAATACATGGAAAAATATTGGAATTCGGAAATACGCGTTTAATAGTTTGCAAATACTGACATTTCCGAAATTGTATCGTCCACCAACAGGAACTTATGGATCGGCGCAAACTTAAAAAAAAGGTTTAAATAGTAAAAAATACTTGATTTTTCCAGAATGTATATGATAACAGTATGGCATGAATCCATTCGAATGAAAAACAAAAAAATGGATTAAATTAGATCGAACTTTACTTGTACAAATTATGCATATATATACATATATGTAGTTTTTATTCTCTTAGACTCGATAAGACACGAGTCAAATCGTTATGAAATCAAAAATTCTATTTGTTTGGTATAATGTATACATGCACATGTTATGTGTGCTTGATCGATTTATCATGGAAACGAAAGCGAGTGCCATTTTATTTAGTCTATCACGTGTTAGTAACAAAGATTGTAAAATTTTTAAATGACATATTTTTATTATTTCTGTATATAGTACTTTACTTTAGATAAAGATATAGAAAATGTAATAAGATATTTAAAAATTTTATCAAAATTCACGTTATGTGCCAATGATTGTATTTATTAAAAAATGTTCCATCATGATAATATTCGTATGAGTAAAACATCTTGATTGATTAAAATTAAAATTTAATCATCGATAAACATTAGTCTTCTTACAATAAACTAATGAATAATTAATTAAAGAAGTATTAAACGATGATTCGAGTTGAAAAACTTGTGATGATTATCACATTTCATTGATTTTTCTCATATATATTTCCGAAAATTCATTTCTTCATTTGAATCATTTTATTTGATCATTATGAATTTATTTGATCATTAATAAATTATTCTGCTACTTTCTTTTGAAATAATCTCATCGGCAATAAAATGTATAATATTAAATTCGCAACAAAACTAAGTGTGTGAGTACGGAATTTTGTAGAAGAAATATAAAATCTTATTAGAGTACAAATTAAATTTTAAATGAATTATTATCTTTTCATTCAAATATATATACGCACACACAATATGCAGAGTAAAATATATATATATATATATATATATATATTTTATAACTTTATTTCTTTTTCTTTATATATTTCTCTATATATATATTTCTTCTTCTCTTTTCTTTTTTTATTTTTACCTATTTTATTTTTACATACAATAACGTAAAATTTATATTCGAAAATATAAATTATTAATTTCCTAATTAATAAATAAACTGTGGTTTTCAAATAGAAGTAATGTAAAAAAATAATGGGCATAAAGACCCGATGATGATGATAGCCGAGTATCGAGAGCACAGCTTGCAGGCACGAGACAATGCATGGCTACGGAACGTTGGTTGTGTTCTGAATGCACACCTGCTCCTTATACTCTCTACCCCCAACCTTTTAAGGAAAGGACGATATAAAACTGGCAGGGCGGCCGTTGGTTAAGCCAGTGAGCTTTCGGTGGTCGAACCATAAATGTTCAACGTTTAATTTTTACAGACGACAACGATCGTCAATAATATTTAATAACAGAACAATATAATATAGTATAGTTAATATATTAGTTTATTAGTTATTTATGATTTATTCGATGATAACAGCCGATTACCATATAGAAAAATGACCAGGAAAAGCTGGCTATTGTGTATAATATTCGTAGTGGTCGTTACGCGAGTAGAAATTCATGGTGAGGAAAATATTTCTGACGCTATAAGATCGCTACGGGAACAAGTAAATGCTCTTCTCGATCACCGGCAACAGGATTACAACGCTCTTGAAGCAAGCTTGAAACATGCGATTGAGAAAAATACAGAATTGTTCGTTCTGAAAAACGAAATTAAACAATTAAGGTAAAAGAAAATCTTTGTTGTTGCATTGTGATCGATAAATGATCAAATTCGAATTAACAAGTAGAATTTTATTTCTATTGGCGATGGTGATATTCGTTCATAGAAAAGAAATAACCTCTCTACACGGTGGTAATGGAAACGAGGCAAAAAACGAAAAGTTGCGTGTAAGATGGTTAGGAAGCGCGGTTACCGAACTTCAAGGAGAAGTTGCTGAAGTTCTTCGTACAAGAAATGTGAGCGAAGAACTTGCCGAGAGATCCAGAATGAAAGGTGAACTTGCACTTTTGAAGGGGGATGTTGCTGCAGTTGGAAAAGGAATTCGAAATCTCGGTGGCAGAATAACCAAGATCGAAGCTGTCCTCGGAACAATTCGCGTTGATATTGCCGCAATGAAAGAACGGTTTAGTTTGCTCTTTCGTACTTATGCCGATATTTCCAGCCAGGTAACATTTTCTTGAACTACTCGCTTTTTTCGGTCGTTGGACCACGTGTTACTTTCTCTTTAGTTTAGGATTCTTCTTTTTTTCACTTTGGAATCCTGTTTTATCGTTCAGGGCTCGTCCACCTGCTCATGCTCGATCGATCGTATGCATCTGCCACGATTTCACCCTACCTTTTTCTTTTTTCTTTTTCTTTCTTTTTTTTTATTCTCTTCATTCTTGCTCTCCTTCCCCATTTTTCGCTCACACTCCTACCATCTGTATCTTTACTCATTACGCACACAAATAACGTGGCATATTTTGTTTCAAGACAGCTGCAGAAACGCAGTAATTCGATGAATATTGCGTTTATGTGGAACACCGACAAGTTGAAACACCTGCTAGGCTCTACCATCGTGTTAGTTAGCCGACCGATTACATATTTCAGTGGCGGGTCCTTTCATTATTCTGCAGCTGCTTGATGTTCATTTATATTTCTTAATTATTTTTAATTTCTATTAGTACAATAGGTTTTTTTATTTTTGTTTATTTTTTTTTTATATTTTACATATTTGAAAAGCTACGTTCATTATAATTTCAGATTATTTTTTCTTTCTGCTTTTGTTACACTGTTTTTTTACTCTTCTTATCTTTATGCTATCATTTTTTATTGATACATTCTATTTATTTAAAAATATATTTATTTAAATTTAGAAAAATTGAATAAAATATAGAAAATATACATAATATACAAAAAGATATAAAATATTTGAAATAAAATTCTCATTATAATATTATATATTTATATTTAATTTTATATCTGCATTCTGTTCATTAATTTTTGTATTTTATTTTTTTTATTTGCAATTATTGTGGTAAATATAATAATTAATCGCAACAACAGTACAAGACTTATACGAAATTTGTACTCGTAAAAAATATGTTTTTTTTTCTTTTTTTTTTTATGTCGCGCATTTAATAACATGATAAAAACTTTAATTTCAGTTAAATTCAATCCAAATCGAAGTAAAGTCTCTTAAATGCGATTCCTCTTCAGTTAATGTGAATTCCTTGATTGAACATAGAATAAATGTTGAAAGAGGGGAAGAAGATAGAGAAAGAGAAATGGAAAAAAAGACACGAACAGTGACAGCTGGTACGGTAGTGGGAACAGTATCGTCGTATTTAGGCGAGTCGAGCACAGGGAATAGCGATCCCAAGACTACAGCTGTCGCGTCACACAGTATTCCTCGACGCAGACTTGTAAGAAAACACTATTTGAAACAAAAAGGATATCGAATGCGATTGAATGATCGTTTAAAAAGTCTCGAACATAAAATTTTTCTCACAATGAAAGAACGAGTATCATTGGAAAAACGTATTACGATGTACGAGAATCAAGAATGGTCTGGTTTAAGCAAACGTATAAAAAGTTTAGAAAAGGCTCAAATCGAATTATCTCGAAAAATTTCGAATATCAGTAACAAGAACGAAATTTTCACGAACAATATCGATCAATCACTCGGCTCACGATTGTTCGATTCATTACGATCTCTCGAAGACGCCGTAGAAAGAAATAATTCGTCTACAAAATGGGAATTGATGCGACTCGGTGTAAATGCCGCTCAAAAAGCGGCTGAACTTTCGTTAACCAGAGAAGAGCTTAACAATTTACGTCGTACCGTACAAGCTTTAAGCGTCAGTGCGTCTAAACTTCAAGAGAGGAGCGATAAACAAGAGAAAATGATTGATCGATTAAATGCTACTTGTTCGATAATCGATTTTTATCGATCTTCGATTACCTCGTCATTACTGGAATCGTCAAACGATACGTTTTCGAATTTTGAAGAACTCGAAGATCGATATCATTTAATTCGACATAATTTGACTAGTGATTGTATGCAAAACGAACCTATAAACGAACCTATCGATGGATTAAGACTTTTGGAAACAGGTAAAAAAGAGACACCGATATTAATTTTTTGTCACGAAGGTTGGATCGTAATTGCCCGTCGTATTGATGGAACTCTCGATTTCGATCGTAATTGGAATGATTATTCTCTCGGTTTCGGATCACCTATCAGTGAATATTGGATCGGTAATGAATTCCTTCATAGACTTACCAATTCTGATAATTGTACCAGTCTTCGTATCGATATGTTAGACATTTACGGCCAACATTGGCGTGCTGAATACGATTCATTCAGAATTGAATCGAAAGAAAATGGTTATAGATTAGATGTTAACGGGTATTCCGGTAACGCGACTGATGCTCTGTCTTATCAGAATGGAATGGCTTTCAGTGCAAAAGATCGGGATATGGATACTAGTACGACTCATTGCGCCAGAAATTATCATGGCGGATGGTGGTTTAGTCGATGCCAACACGCGAATCTGAATGGAAAATATTCTTTAGGTCTGACATGGTTTCGATCCGATATTAATCAATGGATGTCGATTGCTTCCTCAGAAATGTCCATACGCAGGAATACCGATTGTCGATCATGATAATGTTTGATTATTGAATTCCTGTTTTTTAAATACCAAAGATTTATATTAATTCTTTTGCTATCGCATAAGATATTTTATCATGATGTCGTTCATGCGATATTATGGATGAAATATTTCTCATTACAATGTTTCTTATTATGACATTATGGACGAGATATTTTATCTAAAAATTCATCAATTTTTTGAAAATAAAATTATTTAATATATAGAAAACATCATAATATCATATAGTGAAAATAATTTGTTTCCTTATGTTGCTCATTAATAATATTGTTAAAATATAATGTGAAATGCAGTAATGTTTGTTTTATCTAGATTTTAATGTTCTATTAATCTGACTTATACTTATTTCCTTTCTTTCAAAGTCTTTTTAAGTTTCAGAATAAATGGATTCGATTACGATTATGGATGCTAAAGTGGAGATTATTGTATTTCGTGCGACATCATATATATTATTAATAAATATATTAATAAACATTGCGACGTGATATATTTCGTCTATCATGTACATAATTAATAAATATTTATAGTAAAGAGATTGTGATATGATATTTCATCTATAATTTAAAGTCGTTGCATTAGCCATTGTTAATTCATAATTTCGTAATATATATTCGAATTACCAAAAAATTCGGATAGCGACATCACTACCTCTCTATTTATTATCTTTATTAATGTTTATTCTCCGAATAAAAATTTTTTTAATTCTATTACAAAATTTACACATCTATTTAATTATATATATAATTATATAATTTACGAATAAAATTAATAATAATTTTAAAGATATATGAGAAGTTTTTTTTTTTCTTTTTTCTTTTTTTTACAATATGATAGTTAATTTTGATTCATATGAAATAAATAACAAATTATCTTCTTTTCTTATTATTAAATTTTTTATCATTTTTATTTTTTTTTTTCGTTTTAAAATTTTAGATCAATGTATTTTTATATTATTCTCTAAAATTTTTCAGGAATGCTTTTATCATTTTTATATATATCATTATATAATATTATTAACAAAGTTTATAATTTAATATATTAAGATTATATTAAGATTGTCGTGTTTCTCGAGCATATAAATTTTATAATATGAATACAGAAAAAATAATGGAAGCTAGAAATAAAGTAAAAATTGAGGATTTAGCGCCATTTCTAAAGTATCTTAAATGAAACACATAAACAAAGAGATAAATAAAACAGAGATAGAATTGATCGTCAGCGCCATTTTTTGAATGTCAAAAATATCTCTAGGTATTGTAGGGTAAGGTAGAATAAAAATTCAACGCCATCTTTTGAGTATCTTGTCAATTATTTTCGGCACTCAAGTGGCGCTGATAGTTATTATTTCTATTTCTTTTATATTTTATTCTTTTTATCTATAGTAGAATATAGTTGTTTTATTTAAGGTATTTAAGAGATGGCGCTGATTGTTTAATTTCTATTTTATTTCTATCTTTTTTTTTTATTTACTTTCCTTCCGGATTCTAATACATCGTGAATTGCAGTTGTCGCATATAGCAACGAAAATGAACAGGCTGTATTGTAGCGGAGATTTTCTTTTTGGTGAGTAATTTTTGAATATTATACAAACAAAAAGATTATTTGATGAAGATGTATTTGATATAATTTGCTGATAACAATATTTTCAAAAAAATATTGAATAATGATCCATACAAAGAATTAATTTTATTTCTCAAAAATATAAAAATCACAAAAAAAAGAAAACTACAGGAAATTAAAAGAAGTAAAAAAATGGATTCCACTTGCGCACTGATTTATAGAAAACTATAGAATATTGATTTAAAGAAAAAACGGAGATTTTGATTAAATAAAGAATTTGAAGATTGAAAATGAAATGATTTGAAAAATGAGCCGTGACACGTTTTCAGTAAATACAAAACGTATTGATATATTTTTTCTTTAACAAATATTTTGATTCTTCTCTATAGAAAATGTCAAAATTCTATTGGTGGCCAAAAAATAATATAATCATATATAACCTATCTAAAACTATATGCATAAAAGTATATTATTTTATATAATTGTGCATTTGGCGACGCTATGTTCGGTTAATAAAGCAGATATCTATAATATCTATTAGTGGCCGATAAAGTAAATATTTATAATGTAGATAAATTATAATAATTCATATATCTTTGTGATTAGGAATTATAAAACAGACTTAACCATAAACTAGATAATTATCTTATGGATTTTTGTAAGTAAACTTGATTATCAAGTTAAAAATTGAATCAGAAATTGAAATTAGATACTAATTTCAGTTTTGCTAAATGAATATATGCAATAAAATAAAAAATTATTAAAGAATTAGTACTTAGATATTAGATATAAGACTCTTATATTGATTTTTAAGATCAAATCATTATTTTCCTTTTTAAAAATATATATTATTATATATAACAACTAATATTAATTAATCAATAATAATTATTATAAAAGAAATTTAAGGAATTATATATATTGTCCATTTGATTTGTTATTTATAATTCTTATCAGAATAAATGCAATAAAATCTTGCCAAACAATCAAATTTTGCGTTCTGTTGGTAACATGAATGATATGATAATAGCTAGAGTTCCAGAAATTTGGAATACAAAAATATATATTATATTATAATTATAAAAATATTGATTTACTTTTATATTTATATAATACTAAATATATATAAGATTTTAAATTCTATATCTAGTTTGTGTATTTAATCTGTGCTACTATGATAATTACAATCTTAATCTGTGCAGAATCGATAACATTGGGAATGATACTAAAATGATAAGGGGGCAAAAAAAATGCATTGTATATTATCTTATAACCGTAATATAATAACCATAAGACTAAATATAAAAATCTTATATCTTGTGTATTCAGATAATTGTCTGAATTGTCTTATTAAATTTGAACATATGAAAAATATGAAGATAATTTTTTTTCGAATTTTTTCCTGACTTTCTTGGGTATTGGGAAAAAAAGTTTTTAATATATTAAGTTTTTAATATAATAGTATTTTTCGATTAGAATTAAAATGGGTCAGAAATATGTATTTGTTTATTTATTTCCATTATTTATGTCCATTATTTTTTATATATATTTTTTATATATATTTTATACAATAATTTATATAGTTTTACACTTTTTCTTATGCACGAACAAGCTGCCAGAACTTCCATAGGAAGCGCCGCACGTTTTACAAATATATGGTTTCTCTCCTGTGTGTGTGAATATATGTTCCTTTAAATATTTATGTCGATAAAAAGATTTGCCACAAATTTCACAAGGATAGTTTGCTTCACCCGTATGAAGTCTTAAATGATATTTTAGACCATTCGAAGAAGCAAAAGTCGCGCTACAATATTGACAAATAAATGGTTTATCGCCCATATGAATTTTTTCATGTCTTTTGGTATAACTAGGAATTACAAATCGTTTATCACAATATCGACATGGGTAAGACTTTATGGCATTATGCGATTTCAAATGAAATCGCAATCCAGATTTCGATGCAAAAGTTTTGCTGCAGATATCGCACAGATATGGCATTTTCATTGTATCATTACAGATTTGTACCTTTTCCGTAGAATTATTATCGCCGCTTTCCTTCTCTATGTATTTATGTTCATCATTGAAAAAATAAATTTGATCGATCATCTTATCTTTTTTTTTATTTTTTCCTTCTTCATTATGGTTTCGATCATCGTTAAAAAATGGTTGTGATACTATTTTTGATTTTATCATTACCTTTTCTTTCACAATTTCATTATGAACAATTTTTGATTCTAACATTTTTTTCCTTTCATATTGTGTTTTTAATATGGAATTTTCACTCCTTTGTTCATTAAATGCTCGTTGATTCTTTTCCGAATATCCCCGATCTTCTTTCAAATCGATTACATCAAGATTCGTCATATTTGAATTAGCTTCAACATTGCAATCCTAAAATTGTTACAATTTTTTAATATTGTTCTTCTTGTTACAAAAAGAAAATTATCAGAAAAAGTCTAATTTTGAAAGTAACTTATACTTATTGAAAATAAATTGATAATCAAACTTACCACAACAGTTTTATAATCTGATATTTTAACAAGATCAAATTTGTCCGAGATACACGATTCGTAATATAATCGCAAGAAATTTTCCGATTTTCTGCATTGTTCACGAAATTCGAACGTAGCGGCTACCTTTTCCTCGCATTCGTGACATATCATCTTCGGTAGTCTGTCGTCTTCCAACTGATTGGTTCCGGAAATATATATATATATATATACATCATATATGAAAAAAAAGGATAAATATCGTAAAAATTATTTACATATTTACATATTTACACATAGATATAAAAATTTGTATTTTGAATTTAGAAGTGAGAAATAAAACGTGCAAGGAGAAAAAAACAAGAAATTATGAATTGAATTAAAAACCATAATATAAAGTATCAAGATTACTCACCGTAATAGGACAACAATCTCGAATACGAGAAACCAAACATTTTGACTTTTCTTCTTCGGTAAATATCGATATTAAATGATTTTCGACGCGAAGGCATAACCTACACGTTTTGTTTAATGCGCAAGTTTCTGCGCCGCTCAATGAATGCTTCATTTTGTTGGGTAATGTGTCCATTATCGTTTTTATTGTTTTTATTGTTATTATTTTAAAATTCTAATTACTTTCATGATTTTTATATTCAATTTATAATGTTATCTTTATATTTATATTTATTTTTCTAATAATATGAGTTATGAATCGTATATAATACTTGATTTCTCATATAATACCAACGTAATAAACTCTCGATTAGGGAAGGGAGACCACGTGTATAATTTAACCCTTTCGCTATGAGTCTGCTCTCACTTTCACTAAAATAATTTTTACTAAAGAATTTTTTATTTAAATCGATTTATCTGAAAGCTACTGATAATATTAAAAAATATTTTAGACAAAAAAATTAATGATTTGAAAAGATATATAATTTAATAGGAGATTTTTTCCTAGGTTGAATCATAGAAGATATTTGGAATTTAGATTATTTCTTTTTTTTTGAATAGGATTTTAAATAAAATGAATTGATAGCCATTTTTTATAAAAAAAATTATTATTATATATAGTTATTTATTAGTAATAGTTATAATTATTAGTAATTTGACAATTTTTTAACGTACAGAAGAATATTCAATACTATTCGATTACCATCGTTTTTATTATAGTACATCTTTCGAAAGAGATACAGGAAATATACATACTTAATAACAAGAACGGATTAATTAATCGGAAAAGGATGTTGCTTGTGCACGAACAATACATCATGGAGAATGAATAATTGCATTCGGACGAGTTTAACATCTATTTTTGATAGGAAGTCTATTGAGCACATTACTCGTTGACGTATTCTTTCTTGCACATACATAATTACGGAATAACGATGAAAATGACAATATGTGACAATATCGTAAATGATATTGCATCAATAAGAATACATTTCAATAAGAATATCATTTGAATACGTGTACATAATTTGAAGCCCGATACATGTTGCATAAAGATAAACAGAAGCAAAGGCGGATTTTTTACAATTGTATCGACACATTATGATTATATATTTCTTGTTACTTTGTTATTTACTCGTCGTAGATGGATATAATACTGGATTCCTAATACTGAAAAATATTTTAACGTAAAATATTCCTAAAATATTCCTCACTACTATAAAATTTTTGTACTTTCTTATTTGTATTGAAAGGAAGAATTGTTCTAACGTAAAATTAAAAACGATCGTAAAAGCAGAAATAACTAATAGATAAAAGCAAAGAAAATGTAAACGATGAAAAAAAAAACGATGAGATTTAAAAAGAAAATTATATATAGAGAAAAATATTAAAAAAATAGAATAATAAATATATAGTAATTTTTTACCAGATCACATGTATTTCGGGCAGAACTCTGCATTATCGACCGACAGGTACATCACTGGTCAAAAAAAATGCTAGAGCCCAAAATTGCTAATAATCCGTAGTTTTGTTCGAATGATTGTCATTTTCTGTTTCACGATACATATACATATACTTGGATACATGAGATCTCAAGATTCTCAACGATGATTCAATGTATCGAGTTCACAATGTATTATGTACGTTCAAATACTTTTGATAAATTACAATTTTGTTGAATAATTATCAAAAGATAATTCGTAAGAACACGAACACGTCATTACAATTCGTTTGTATCGACTTTTTCCTGTTCGTTTCTGATTGTCGACGATTGTCCAAGATTGCCTATTAGATTGTCCACGATTGTCCACGCATTATTTAACGATTTCTGTACGATCAGAATTATGATCAAGCACAAACGTGAAATAATTCTTATCCCGAACACCTTAAGGACACTTTGCTTTCTAGTGTCATATAATACTCCAGAAAAACAATCAGTCTCTGTTGCCTGCAAATACGTATTTACATTTTAAACATACACGCATTTTTCTCTTCTTTTTTTTTTTTTTTCATTCTCTTATATCCACATCGATCGTACATATATTTGCGCGCGCGTAAATACATACAAACATATACACACAAACATATACACATACGTACATACATTCCAAAATATAGAAATATCAATATATTATAACAATACATTTTTATAGGATTAAAAAAATTTTAAATACAATCGAGTAGAGGAAATATTGCCAAAGTATAGATATTTAAATTGTAAATGTAATGCGCGCAAATGTGCGCATTTGATATGTATATATGTATATCGAAATATATATATATATATAAACATGATAGTTTTAAAATGCATTCTAATGCAAAGTAATTTTGATATTCATATTCCATTTTGGTATCCATTCTCTCTATCAACACACAACTTATACATAAATATTTCTAATTCTATATAACACGTCTTACTTTTCAAATATTTCTTATACGCATGTATATATTCTTTTATCATAAGTGGACATAATATATGTATATGCAATTGACATTAAATTTATTTTCTTTTAAAATCACTCATTGTCATTTCTTTCGATTGATTGATCTTCAATCAGAAAAATAAATAACCTTGTTCGTATTATGTTCTCTCAAAATTATCATTTCCCTTTCTTTCTCTTTCTTTTTCTAGATTTAGACATTTAGAGAAAAGAATAAAAAATCTGAGATAATTATTTATATTACAATTGACTTGGAATTATACATACATCAATGCATATTTTATTGCAAAAATGCATGAATAGAAATTTAGAAAAAATAATAGAAAGAGATGGAAAAAGAAAGAAGCGTTTTAATTTCATTAATTGTTCATAAAAGTTAGATATATATATTTACAAATTATTCGTATGATATGATATATATATGTAACTTCATTTTATCATATACATGTAAATATATACAGTTAGTCACGAAATCTTTATTCTTTATACAATATCTTATAAGAAAATTCATTTAATTCGAAATTCCCGATTTTAATTAAAAAAGTGTATTTATTATAATATTATATCTAATTTCTTTTTTGATGAAAAATTTCTTTGAATATTCCTTTCTGAAATCAACTCTCAAACTATATATTATTGCTATTATTCTTTCATTTTTTCGAATATAATTTTATCTGAGAGTATCTGGATGATAATGCACAAAATTTAAACATTTTAATAATATAATAATAATTTAAAATTTTCTATTTTGTAAAAATATATAAAAAAATAAAAAATACAATACTTTAAAAATTGATTTAATCTTCTTAATAAAAAAATTAGTTTACGTAGTTTACATTTCATACAAAATTACAAGAATTATTGTTTCGATAAAACAATTTGTTAATTGAACTCACGTTGAAAACTTTCGTGACTGACTGTATACATGCACGTGTAGTCGATGTTGAGTTAAAATAACAAAACTTAATGCGAGAATAAATATGAGAAGTCGTTTCTCTTTTTCTCTTTTCGATACAAAATACATACATATATTCCCATTTTCCTATTATATATTGCGTTACTTTCATTTATTATTCAATTCATGAATTCGTTGCAAATTGTTCCATAGATTACACGTGCAATTACAGATGGTACACGTGTGCATGTATTTTTATACACGTCCATATTTTATTGGAATCTTGAATAATGACACAGATAATATAACTAATGTAATTTTTATGAGGTTAGGCCACTTTAAAAGGTCTGAAGTCGTTTGATTTCTTTACAAGAAATCAAAGTCCGTGCTCATTTATAGAAGTGATCTTCACCGACGTTCTCAGGTCCAATTTATTATATATGTAAATAAGTGTAGTGGAATATATCTTAAAGACAAAAGTTATTTGTATATATATATATGTTCAGTGCCATTCCTGATTGGATGCTCTAGATATCTCTGGATGGCCAAAACCAACTAGATTATTTATTTTATATAAAATTTTGATTAATAATTATATATTTTATATAAAAAAATATTGGTAGAAATTTAGATTTGTTGGAAATAATTGACAAATTTGCATTAAAAAAAAGTAATGTAAATTTGTGGCGAAATCAATTTCTTTTACTTTCATTAAACAGAATATTAATAGTTTTTTTTACGTACTAATTTTATATTTATATTTATGATATATTTGTTTCATTTAATGTAAATAAAAATTAAAAAAATATTTCTTTTGCACGATAATTGTTTATAATTATTCATATATAAATATAAAAGTAAACATTGCATATCAAATTCACATAATAAATAATATGGAATTAAGGACGGCGATATTATTTTTATATCTAGATTTAGGAACGGCACTGTATACGTTACTTACGATTAGATATGTAGCAGTGTAGCAATAATAAACGAAACAAATTACCATTTTATCGTTAACAGGAGATGGTTATAAAATTATTTTTTTTCGTTCCTCTATGTCTCCTTTCGTAGCACGGACGGTAACCAATTGTTCCTTACGTTGTTAATTTTAATGTAAATATCCTACGAAACTTGATCGTCGACGAAAGATTTAACCATCGAATTGTTTATTGAAGAATTGATACTGTAATGGAACGAAAAATATAGTTACAACTATTGATTATTAAATAGATGAAGAATAATATGTAATACAAATCGAACGATTGATCGATCAATCTAATTTTTCTTCGTCAATTGACGAAAAATCATTGAATATACGTGCACATGAAAAAAATAGCTGCGAAGCAATTAATATTTAAACATATTGATCCATATATATATTCTACTATTATTAATTTTAAAACATCCTATCTAGCGCTTTTTTTTTATTTTTAAATATATATTGAGATATTTTAAATTTTGTCGTGTCTTTTAACTTTTGAATTAAAAAAATCTTACATTTTTCAAGGATTTAAAATTTTTAAATTTACAAAGTCTAGTTTTACAATATCTAATCTATTCTTTTTAAGAAAGACGTTTAAAGAAAATGATAAAAATTTCAATTTTCATCTCAAATTGTTAGATAGGATATTTTACTTAAGAAGCAGTATTGTAAAAAAAAATTGAACGAACTAGTATATAAAATAGATGCAAATAACAAGAGAAAGGTGGGAAGGAATATAAGCAAGAAAGAGAGAGAGAGAAAAAGAGAGAGAAAGAGAAGCTGGGAAAAGGCAGGATAAGCAAGGACCGCCTTTTGCTATGAAAAAAAAAAAAATATATATATATATATATATCTCTGCTCAAAAAATTATTCAAAATATAATTTAAATTTTGTTGTAATCGTTAAAGCGAAAATCTAAAATACGTTGATATGTGTGTTTTCCTTTTCTTTCCTTTGCATTTCGTTCATTTTGTCTTCTTTTTCTTTTATTTTCGAAAAAAAGAAAAACACATCGTCGCGAGCGATGATATTTAAAAAATCGTATCTCACTAAGAAAAATTTCATATCGTTAAAGAGAAAGAAAAGAGAGCATCGGCGACTTTGGATAAGCTAGTGAATATCCTTACACTGTGACGGAGGGTCAGTGGAAAGACTGTCCCGGTAGCTGGAGTAATGGAGAAAGTGTTGGTGGTTGTGGTGGTGGTTGTGGTGGTGGTGGTGATGGTGGTGGTAGTCCATTGAGGTTGAGGCAGATGGGGGGTTGTTGTCTTACCATGCTGGAGCCAACCTGCTGCAACAGTCCTTGTTGGGAAGATGTTGAAGAGACCGAAGGACGTCTCGAGCCGCGTATACTATTCATGCTCGAGCTAACCAGGTACGGAACACTGCTACTGGTAATCGGCATTCCACCCTATCGAATTTAACGAGATAATCACATGCTCCTCCTTTTTTTTTTTTTTTTTTTAATAACTTTACGATTGTTGATCAATTTTTTCCCTATTTTATCATGTTTACTATTTATTTTTTTTATCCATTGTCAGACGGATAATCGTTAAATTTCGACTATAATATAATTTTTATATTGTAATATGTAATATTGTAGAATAACAAAACAATATTGTAATATTTGAATAATTAATATTAATTTATATATATATATATATATATATTATATTAATATTATATATATAAATAATATTATATATTATATATATAAATAAATAATAAAAAAAAATATTATATATTATATATATTATATATATAAATAAATATTATATATATATATAATATTATATTATATTAATATTAATTTATAATTTAATATTTGAAATATTGTAATATTTGTAGAATAAGAAACGAAACAACGAATCGTATTTTTCGAAGAAGAAAGATTAATTGATAAAGATAAAATGTAAGATACAATACCAAGGGGGGCGATAAATTTATGTTAGATCCCCGTCGGTCTTGAGGACCGGTGCTCGAGTGTCGTCGAATGGGTAATCCATCACCTGGTGTAGCACCTGGGGAACTTTCGCACGATGGTGCTACCCGTATTTTCGGTGTCATCAAAGTATTATCCGATAACCGTCTGCTCGTAAATGTATTCGTCACTTTTAAGAAATTACTGTTATCGTTGTTCGATGATGAGAACCATCTGAACATGGCTGAATGGAACAATGATAAGATAAATAAATGGAGTAAAATGAACGAAAAGAAAGAAAGAAAAATTAATATTTAAAAATCACTTACTTATCATCGAGTTCTTTCTTGCCATGTTTTCAGCTGAAACTGTCGTCGACATCGAATCTACAAGAAAGAGATCAGAGTTATTAAATGTATGTCATTTTATATATATATATATATATGTTTTATTTTAATTATTTTCTTACTCGTGCTATTTTTCCGAGCCATGTCTTCAGCCGAAGAAGTTTTACGTTGCTCGATACGTAGATTTGGTATATTAAAGGGGGCAACGTACATATTGTCCGTACTGTGTTGATGTCGCAAACTTCGATACCGTTCCGGGCTCGATAATGACAAATTATCCAGCGTCAATTGATTCCTTTGATTTCTGATTTTAAAAAAAAAAAAAAACAAAAAGCAAACGAACAGGAACAGAAAGAAGAATACAACCAAAAATTGAAGAGAAATGAAAAGAAAAAAAGAAAATATAACGATAAAGATAAAAAAAAAATATCGATTATTCATGATCTCATTATCAGTGATAAAAATTTATAAGTAAAATCTGTAAGATTTTTGCTTCACCTTTCGATGTGATTCAACATATCTTGTAACACTTTGAGAAGTAGTTCAAACTGCTCGAGATTCAATGCTGGGTTAATAGTTTGAGGTAGTAAAGAAGGCATTGCTCTAGTTGCCATCCAATTCACAGATAATCCATATTTTTTGTCGTTTAACATTAATCTGTAAATCTCTGTAGAAATCGAATTGTAACTGCAATCCATCAGCAACAATAATTATGTATTGTGTATCTGTATATATACATACGTATGAATACACTCCATTCGAAAGTTACAAACCAATCATTGTTTTCACGTTTTCGTGTTCATAGTATATATAAGATATTAATATATCGTGAGATATTATTGGAAAGTTAATTCTAGAGGATACAATATAAAAAAAGAAACGAACACAAAAATGTCCAATAAATTATTTATTAAGTTATAAGCAATTTAAATTAAACGAAATCTTTATATATTAGTTTTTGTGTTTGTTTTCATCTTTAGAATCAATCTTTCTAAGTATCCAATAAATATATCAATACTATATAATATATGATTTTATTAAAATGATATATGCATACTATAATGACTTTAATATATGTATATTAATGCCATATATTATATATGCATAGTAATGCCATATAGTTTCTTTATTTATTTATATTTTATATTATATAAGTATATTATATAAGTTTTATATTATATAATATATTACAACAATTTTAATATCGAATAAGATTGTAAGGTTTTTTTTATAAGGAGGTATGTATACGTGACATAACGTAATAAGGATAAAAAGATGATATATTACTTACTCACAACCCGAACGATTATCTCCGGTTCTTGAAGTTTTACATTGAACAATAATGGTAAGATACAATCGATGATTTTTTGCTTTTCCAAACGATTTAAAATACAGGGTATCACGTTCATAAGTATTCGGGAATCCACTAAATTTTTTTCAAATGCTTGAAGTAATTTCGGCAACACGATGTTTCGAACAGCCTCATCGTGTATGTAATCAGTCACATTCGACACGGCTACGAACGCTGCAGTCTACGAAACATTTTTCAATGTATAAACTTATTATTTTTAAAATAAAAATATCAAGTTGAAATATCACACGATGTATATACATTACGCTTAAAAGATGTATTTGTATTAGAACATTAAATAACTATTTTTCATCTTAAAATTTTACACGCGTGATGCGATTGTAATTTATATTTATAATTAATTCATTCTTTCTAATTATTCGCATATCTACGTACCTGCACTTGTGTAGTTGAATTCTCAAAGGATGTGTACAACATCGGAAGCACTTCGCTTTCTATATATTCTCGAGATGTCTTTTTTAATATCAAATGCAAATTTTCCAGCAACGTAACCGTTCCGTGAACCGATTTACGATTCGAGAAAAGCGATCTACGCGATTGTAATTAATTGTAAATTATTGTAAATTAATTGTACAACGTACGAATATAAATAAGAAAAAGAATTAATTTTTTTATGTAACACTTACCGTAACGATGGAAATACAATTTGATCGTATTCCTCTTGCGTACTATTTTGTACGATATAAAGTACCGGTTGTAATACAGCCGATTGAACTTCTTCACTTTCCAATTCAGTTTGCAGATACGTCCAAATATGTTGATACCAAAGTTTCTATAAATTCAAATACGCTTTCATCTTTGTATCATAGTAGAAAAATAAATCCTTATATTATTCTTGTATATAAATACAATATTACCCTTGGTATATAAGGTAATATTCCTTTTAAAGTAGTTGTATAAAAATGCTCCTTTTGCAACGCGTCTTTCATCTTACTGACATCGAGAAATTGAAGCGCGTATACGGGTGGATCTCTGAAAGATAATGAAATAAAATAGTTCGAGTTTACTTTTTTTCTTTTTTTTTTTTTTTTTTTTTTAGAAAAGAAATGGATAAAAGATACGTTAGAATAAAATTACATACTGAAAATATTTGATCATGGATAAAACTTGAATGGTTGGCCTCTTCTCTGGATCGATGTGTAAAAGTCGAGAAACAGCTTCTCGAAGAGGAAGGGGAACTAAAGGTAATATCACATGAACTTGTTCTTCGAGCTGTGGGAATAATTAAATATTGTCTAAAATATTGAAAAGGAAAACGTGCAAAGATATCACGTATAATAATATAAATCGTGGAACAAAGGAATACGCGCAAAGAGATATTTCGAATCAAAATTTGATCTGATTACTTACGTTTTCTAATTGTTTTAAATACTCGGAACAGTTATGATTCGCTTGAATCAATGGTCGCCCTTGATTGAAAATTGCGCATATCGTCATACCAAAGCTGTACATGTCGCTATAGAAGCCCCCCTCTTTCTTTTGCTGTATTTCCGGTGCTGTATACACGAGATTACGAATATTTGACAATTTGAAAAATCGAAAGATAGATCAATGAATTTGAAGCTCGACCTAATTCTTACCATTCTCATATCCTTACCTATGTAATCGAGATTCGGTTGCGTCATTTTTGACATGCGATTGGTCCAAGGTTGCAACGATATCATTGGCAACTCCTTCATTTTTTCTAGAAAAAATAAAGAAGAATATATATAGTGAATTCGAGATAGCACATCTCGAAAAATTAAACTGTCACTTACCGATAAATTCGAGACCTGACAATTTCCAAGTGCCCCTTTTGGTAATTATAATGCTCGCGGGACAAACGTTCCTGTGAAGGACTTTGCGTGTTCCGTGAAGATAAAGTAAAGCCTCTGTGATCTAAGGAAAGAGAAAGAGAAAGAGAGAGAGGGAGAGAGAGAGAGAGAGAGAGAGAGAGAAGAGGAAAAAAAAATACAAGAGAAAAGGAAAAAAAGGAATCCATAGTCTAAGATAAATTTAAGTGGATATTTAATATAAAATCGATGGATTTCTCACCTGCAACAATCCATATTTGATCTCTATATCGAGTAACTCGTACTCTTTCGTGAACGGAGCACGATGACTAGGGGTTGAAGAAATTTGTTTCGTTACGTTAGTCGACGATTGGCCGACGTTATTCGCTCGTTGCTCTTGATAAGCTAAAACGTTCGCAAGACTAGCGAGAACTGGCTCCGACGCGAATGCCAAACTATCAGCGCATTCTTCGACCTTGTATGCCTAGACAGATAGACAAATTCTAGAGCGATCACGCTTCGTATACGAAAGTAGTGAAAAGAGAAAAAAAAGTGGAAAAAAAGGAAACATCTTACCTGCAGAATCTTTGGATGAGAAACTCGTTCCATTTGTCGTGCTCCGTTTCGTAAAATTTCCGTAACCGCTTCTTTCCGCTTCGGCTTGTGAAGTTTATCGACCGATCTTTTGTCAAAGAAAAATATCGAAACTTCCTAAAAGAAGAAAGAGAAAGAGTTAATTTCAAGAATAAAATTTTTCACGGATATTATTCTTTTTTTTTTTAGGAAAAAAAAAGAATATCATTGCATTGAGAATTAATATTAACGAATAATGAATAAGGGTATTGCATGCTCTTTGAGAGTAAAACTTTCGAGAGAATTGTCCTTCTTCAAAGGAGTGAGACGACATTGATTACGCGATGATAGAAAAATAATTGTGGAGAATAAATCTCGAGAGTTTCACTTTGAAAATATATTCGCATCCTGAACGAAAGAATTGGATAAAAAAGTTTTGAAATATTACCTTTCGATCCGCTTTCGTGTATCCATTGTATATACGCCAGGCGTTTTCGGGTCCTGCTGTAGCCGTTTGTTTGCCAACGTCGTACAAATTCTGAAGAGGATTAGGAAGTAGAACGCTCGGTGTCGAGCCACTACTTTTCGACTTGGCAAACATAACGACACTTATGTTAATCCTCAATGTTCATCGAATTACTTTCGATCGTGTATCAATCGCTTCTTTCAATTTCCTTTTGTAATCGTCTTATCGGACGTCAGACACACACCTGCTATACCTGATCAAGCATAAATCTTTCTTTAAATTGATATATTTTTCAATCGAACAATGATAATCGATCATTCTCATATTTCGTATATATTCAAATATATCCCAATGTTTTCCCCAATTTCCCTATTCACGTCTTTTTTTTTTTCTTTCTCCCTTCTGAATTTGCGGCTCTACTTTCTCTTCTTCTCCTTACGCAACTCCTTATCGATTTACCACCTCATAGTACCTCCTCATAGGCAATCCTGTATACGTGCTCCGCGACGAATGAGTATAATTCGAAAGATAAAAGCGGATCGGATCCGATAAGATCGCATCATTTTGAATCGTCGTGACAATCAGAAATAAACACATTTTTCGTTCGTTCGAGTTAGATAAATACAAGGGTATGAAGGATTTTCAGAGAAACTGTATTCTTGATTAATTTACTTATTTTTCTTGTATTTTATATATTTTTTTTTTTTTTTTCATATAGATTTGTCCAAAATGTGAATAGATGAGAAAAGATTTGTTCGAATTTTAATATTTATTTAAATTAAATTTCATTGGGTTTAAAGATGAAAAAATTGCTTTACAAAATAATTTTCAATGATGTAATTTGATGTATGATTGGAAAAATGGAAAAATTATTTATTAGTGACAGTTTTGTTTTTTGTTTCAAGAGGTAATAATGTTTAATTATTAATGTTTAATTAATAAACATTAAGTTTTGATTTAGGATAAAAAATTTGTATCGATGATATGATCGATAGGAAAGAAATAGCGCGATATTTGTAATTTTTCTCGAATAACGAAACATTCGAAACGTTGCGAAAATTATCAAAAACGATTGAAATCTATGACTCATTCAATGAAGCTGTCCAGAATTAACGATATTGAACAGATTGTTTAAAATGTGATCTCACGACTTTAATTCTCATCAGGAATCAATATCGATATACGTAAAGCGAGAAATTTAAGAATGGCATATCGATACCATATTCATCGAAATTATCCATCCAGATGACTATGTTCAATTGAAACTTGATTCATTTAACACAAATCCGCAAAGAACTCGATCGATTCGAATATGTATAATCCATGCATTGCTCGGTCAATTATTCAAAGAAGCAAATAGCAGTTTATCATTATGACAAATAATCGCCTACGAATAATTTGTTGCCCTTCGTTGAATAATATGACAAAATTAGATACTAGTAACCAGTAATGTATTAGTGAAATTATGATAAAACAATAAATGAAAAAAAAAAAAACGAGATTCAAATACAAGAAGAAGATTAGATAAAATAGAAGAAACGAAAAGAGAACTGGAGAAAGACGAGAAGGAAGGATATAATAAGAATATAGATGCATTTAGAATGAAAAAGACAAAGAGAGAGTATGGCGAAGGAGGGAAAGAGAAAACAAAAGGAAACAGTGGAAAAAAGATTGATAAAGGGGATGAAGAAAAAAATGTAGAACTGCTGAAAGTTCAGAATGACTCACCTGTTGCCGACGACAACGGGAATAGAAGCACTATAAGCATGAAGAAACTGAAAGAAGGGTAATGCGCGATGCGCGATAGTTCGGAGCACGCGCGCGCCGCGCGAGGATCGCGCGAGGAATCCAAAGGAACAGTAGGGCACGATTGACGCGCGACTGCATCACTATTCGATACGAATTGTCACACACTTTTCGATAATCTTTTCTTCCTTTTCTTCAAACTGTCACTTAAATATCTTCACTAATATTGAACAATTCAATAACCATCATGCCATAGACACTTTGATCGTTCGTTTTCGATATTCGAAAATCAACGTATCTTTATTTCTTCCTTTCTTCCGTCGTCTAATCCACGTTTTTATTTTCCTTCTTTTTCCTATTCTTTCATTTGTCGTCTTCACTAACGTGATATCTGACACTTGAGACGTATTAAATGTCGTTATTATTGCTGTTTTCGTTGCTCTCGTATTCGCGTCTATTTTCGTCTTTGTTCTTGTTCTTATCCTTGTTCTTGTCCTTATTCCCGGCACTATTTCCGTCTTCGTTTTCGAGTATTTGCCGAGTTAATTAATAATAACGATAATGGTATAAGTTGGCATTATCATTGCGATAATCGACAATATTATAAAACTTTCGTCTTCGTTTTCGACCTCTTTTTTGTTCTCGATGATGAACGTTGTACGAATTAACGTTGATATATTCGATGGAAGAGCGAGAAAGTCGCAAGGAAATGATAAAAAGACGCATGCGCGTCCTCCGATCCCGGCTATGGCTTTGGCTACGACCTCGGCTCCAGCTTGGTTCCGGCTCTGGCCAGGGTGTAGGTCTCTGCCTGGAAATTATAGGTCTGGGCTGCAGGTAGCTGCGGCTGCGGGTCACGGGATAGCGGATAGGGGTTAGGGGATGCCATACTTTGGTCTAAAAGTAGGGAGAATTAACTGGGAGAGGTAGGGGTTACCCTATCGCAGCTTACAGATTACGGATTACCAATTATGGATTATAATTTACGAATGTGGTGGGACGGGAAAATGAGAAGAACAAACGGCAGAAGCAGGAAGCGTGGGATTGGAAAAGGTGAAGAGAGGTGAAAATAGGTCAAATTAATTCTTATGCATAATATGTATATGTAATGTGTATATATGCTATATATGTATACACACATTTATATATATTTATACATAACTAATTCCTCTGTATGTACATTACAGATTTTCTTATTGATTAAATGATTATAAATTCATGTCAAATTATTTAATCAAATATTTTTTTACATTTTCTGTTAAAAAATACTATTTAATTTTCTTTTTTTCTTCTATAACTTATGTGAAAATAATATATTTATTAAAATGTTTGATTAAAGTTGCTGTATCAACCAAATTTTTAATTATTTGATCGATATTATAAATCGAAATAAACGATTATATATATATATATCGATTATACATCAAACATCGATTATATATATATATATATTTACGCATAAAAAAAACGTACGATAATTTAAATCACTTTCATAAGAAATTCATATTTGTAATTATTTTATAAAATATTTATAATTTCTTAAATTAAGTAATTTTAATTTTAAATTTATAAAAAGAAAAAAAATTTATAGAAAATTTATATCAAAAATGTAAAAATCTTTCATTTTTAATATTATTATATTACTTAATATTTTCGATTTATCGATAGAATCAATGATATGTAATTTACCTTTTTTAAAAATCGATTAAAAATGATCGATAATATATATGACATATTTAATCGCCTTCAGAATTTTATATCTATGTATTTATAACATATAAAGTTTCATATTTATAGCATTCACAGATGTATTCCGAGATAATTAATTATAATTAATTTCCTAACGTCGTTATTTCGACATTTGAAAACGACATTTAAATACATTTTAAGCGCGCCTTCTCTCGTCCTCTTCACTCGTTTTTGAGTTTTGTTTTTTTTCAGTCTTCATTCTTCATTCGCTCACTGAATTTTAGAACATATATGTCCTTATTATTCGAAACACAACACAACTTCAATCTATTATTTTTTTAATAATTAACTCTTTTATATTGCAACTATTGAAGATATTACGATCCATTTTCTTCTCCCCTCTACACACGCAAAATTCTCACGCGCTCTCTCCGTTCCTGTCATCGTCTGTTTCAACTGTCATAGTCACTGCACTAACGCCATCAACCCTTGGACGTTTTCCTTGTTTGCTTTTAAACGGTAAATAAGATTTATTTGCTCGCTGCATGGGAGGCATTAATTCACGGAATATGGATATCGAGCACGATCCAGGGCTCGCTGCTGTCTTACAATATTTGATACGCAGGTTAGTTCAATGTTATCTCGAAGGCGAAAGGTTTAATATCATTGTAGATCATTCTTATGAACGTGTGTATACGTATGCCTGTTGATAGAAAGAGATCGAAAAAATTTAGATACTAAAAAGAAAAGAGATGGTAAACGAATGACAGAAAGGTAGAGAGAGAAAGAACGAATGAGCAAGAACAGGAGGAATTCTAACCTCTTTGTAAAATTTGTTGTTTATTAAATATCTCAGTAGATACGTGATAATTTGCTTTTTCAAAGCAAACATTAAGTTCCTTCAAGGAAATCGTTTAGCTTTATTGTATTTTTTTGTTTTGCCAAAATACTTTGACACCTTAATCTGTTTTGTATCTTTCGATAACCTAACCTTCTTTCTCACCATCTCTTGTCGACTTTATCATTACAAAATCGAAATTAATATTTTCCGTTTTGATAATTGCAGCGGTCAACTGAATATCATATCTTCGGATCATGATGACTCGGACGAAGAATATGCTGCAAATTCACAACCTCCAAGAATTACGTCTGTGCCAAATACATCCAGACTAGATGTTTGTCATTTATAAATATATGGAAAATTTATTTTTAGTTATTCTTTAATATTCTATTTTGTTGTTTTTTCCTTTTTAGAAAAGTGAAATAAGTCTTGCCACAAAACAAGCATGCGGATTTATAGATAACATTGATAAACGTAATTTGTCTGTGACATCAATGATTCAAAAAAGAGCTCTAGGCCCTAGTTTTAGTACAGGAGAAAGGTGCAGAATAAGTAGCAATTTTTTACCAAATAAAATGCATCAAGTTGCTAAATATAGTACCAAAGCATTTTGTGGTTCTTATTCTAAAGATGGAAGATTTTTCTTAACTGCCAGTCAAGGCAAGTTTTTTTTTTTATATTTAAAGTTAAGTTATTATTTATTATAGCTTTAATTTTTTATATGATTCATTAAATATTTTGACAGATAAATTTTTACGTCTTTACCGAACACATGATGGAGATTTTGTACAATTCAAAACTATTCCTGCACGAGATGTGGGTTGGAGTATTTTAGACACAGCATTTAGTCCTGATGGAAATTATATTGTTTATTCTAGTTGGTCAGAATGTTGTAAGTATATACTGTTGAAAACAACATGAATCAATTATAAACTTGTTTCCTTTATTTTTTTCTTTCCAGTATATCTATGTCCCGTTTATGGAGATTCAAGTGCACAAGAATCATTGTCATTATGTCCAGAAGATCGAAGATTTTGTGTATTTTCTCTCGTATTCTCCAGTGACGGGCGAGAAATTTTAGGTGGAGCAAATGATGGTTATCTTTATGTTTACGATCGAGAATGTCATCAACGGGCTTTTAGAGTATGTATACAAATATTCTTTTGATATTTAGCATTTCATCACTTATTACCTACTTATTTTTTTTTTATAGATCGAAGGTCATGATAATGATGTAAATACAGTTGCTTTTGCAGACAATACTTCTCAAATCTTGTACAGTGCTGGAGATGATGGTCTTTGTAAAGTATTTATCATCCATTTATATAATGATTATTATTGATTATTATATGTTATAATATTTATAAATACTATTTTATTTTTTAATTCCTTTACTTACTCTTTTGTTTTGTGATTTGCTCAGGTTTGGGACAGAAGGACTTTAAATGAAACCGATCCACATCCTGTTGGGGTATTAGCTGGTCATATGGATGGTATAACGTATATTGATCCGCGTGGTGATGGTCGTTATTTGATAACTAATAGTAAAGATCAGACGATTAAATTATGGGATGTTCGTGCGTTTTCTGATCATAATGGTGAACAAAATACGCGTAAAGCTGTTGCGAATCAAAATTGGGATTACCGATGGCAACGAGTACCAAAGCGATGTCAGTAATAACAAAATCAATGACATTTTTTTTGTTTTGTATTTAAATATGCTTAATACTTTTTTAATTTATATCTCAATTAAACAAAGAAATCTTTTCCGATTATTATAGTGCACAAAGCAAGAAATATGTTGGAAGGTGATACTAGCATTATGACCTATCGTGGTCATTCCGTTCTTCAAACTTTAATACGTTGTCATTTTTCACCTTCGTCTATTACTGGCCAAAGGTATATATATACTGGATGTGCCGCAGGACGAGTAATAAGTAAGTTTTTATTTTATTTGTATCAAAAATTAAATTTATATATTACGATAAATTTATTAACCATTTTGAATCCATTTTTCAGTATATGATGTCTTAACAGGTAGGATAGTTAGTAGTTTAGTAGGACACAAAGGATGTGTACGTGATGTTAGTTGGCACCCATTCCATCAGGAAATCGTTTCTACGTCTGTAAGTATTATATATATATTTGAAAATTATATTTAAATGTAAAATTATTATAATTAATTACATTTACATATGATAAATTTATTTCAGTGGGATGGTGCTATTGTTAGTTGGCGATATGCTGGGAAGACTGCACTTGATAATTCTGATTCGGAAGAAGAAACTGATGCAGAATCACCTCCGCGTACTTTAAGACGAAGTCAACGAATAGCTGCTCAAAGAGCTAAACATGCAGCAGCGTGTTGAGTCTCGTAGATTTTAACCGGGAAACTGAATGTTCTCGGGAATTCAGTCTTTTCGTTCCTACGAGGAAAAAGTTAACAATGCCTAGTGTTTGCGGCAGAAAAGTTTTACATCGGTGACTGTTAATCATCGAAATTCAGGAGACTAACTTTTTCTACAAGACTGAGTTTTTATTGAATACGCACCTCTACAGAATCAATGCTGCCATTCTGGTCGGTATGATGTAATGCGTTATCAAAACTATATGCATATTGATAACGAAATAGACGAGGTACAACAGCACCGACTATACAATTCATTCTCGTGGAACCGAATTTGTTTTTACTCAATATTTAACTATCTTTTTCATATTAAATCTGAGTGGAGGAAAACGCGTTATTATTTCGTACTATAAAATGCATAACACATCAAACAAAATATATGTATATTATATAAATATATGGTATACATACATATATGTATATATGTGTGTATATTATTATTATTATTATGTGAATTAGAAAGGTTTTTTTGACACGAAACGAAGATCTTTCTCCATCACTTTATTTCTTTTATTCTTCTATCTTTTACTCCTTATTTTCCTTCGTATTCCTTTCCCAATATCTATCTATCACATTCTTTTATTTTAATTTTAAAAGAGAAATGTCTTCGATTCATATCGTATCATAGCACTAAATTATCTATAAATTTTTGTTTCAATCTCTGTTTTTTTTGGAAATAATTTTACAAAAATATATACTCAATCCAATATTTTCTGTTAAAAAAGAATTATTTTTCCTCCGTGTAATTTTTTGTATGAATAAAAATATGTATAATTTTACAAATAATAAGAGGATATGGGAACTATAAACGAGAATGAAGTAGATTAATAAAAGAAAAAGATGGAATGAATCTGTGGTTTTTACAAGATAAGTTTGTTTTTCCAAACTGACCAAGTGCGAAAAGGACGTCATGTGTACATTTTTCGATGTACGTATTTTATTAGGTATGTTTAAATGTTGCATACAAACTCCCAAAAATGTACAGATATACATAAATATATAGAAACATTACATAACAATCAAACACAAACACATACACATACATACACACACGTACAGGGTGTTGACAGTAAAACAAATTTACACTTACGCGCGTGTATATATTTATATATACATACATAATGTTATATTAAACATGTATACTAATAAATTACTAGAAAATAATATAGTTTTTATATTTTCTATAATTGTATTCCCAAATAACTATAATTCTATTTAATATAATATTCAATATTGCATTATTTTAAATTAGAAAAAATAATATTAAATTGAAAAATTATTATCATAGAAAAAAAATAGATATAATTTATTTAATTAAGCATAAATATTTGTTATTTTTATTGCTTATATTGTATAAAATTAATTAATAATTTAATACGATTTTATTTATTATGAACAATCTTTTTATATAATTTCATAAATTTTATTATAAATTTAAATAAATGAATATATATTTAATAAAATAATATAAATGTTTCTTTTATTTTTTTATTTTTATTTTTTATATATCTATCTATATATATCTATATATATATATATATATATATATATATATTCTATAATATATATCATATATATATATTTTATATATCTATAATTAGAATCTTAAAATCTTACTAATATCTAATCATTTATATAATGTTAAATACTTACTTAAAAGCTAGATTAATTATGAATTCTGAAATGTAAGATTTCTGATTAATAAAGTAATTAAAAATGTTTTTCTTATTTTGTTTTAATATAATATATTTGGATATCCCATTTATGATATCTTAAATCTTTTTTATTTTTTATGATAGGAAAAACTGTCAAATGAAAATATTTTTTTATGAGAGATAAAAAAATTTCATCGATATTTTTTTTATTACTAATATATATATAGCTCAATATAAGAAAGAAAAATTTAATGACTTATAATAATATGATGTGATGTAAACAGTAAATCAGTATGTACAAGAATAAAGTTTTGCAGATTTTAAAGGAAACCATAAAAGATTTTCAACCTTCCTTTCTCAACCATTTATAGCCATCAAATGCATATTTGGAAGCCAAACAAAAGGCTGACTATGAATACATATTATGTATAAGATTTCTTATCTATGCCTTACAATTAGTGTATAATTGTATTGTGTTTTATGATTACTTTTTGCAATTAAATTTTACCATAGATATATTTATTTTAATCCACTATTATATCTTTCCATTTATTTATATATTTATTTTTTCTCTTTGCCTATTTGTAACAACAAAATTGTCTTCTTTATTTTTATTTTTGAATATTTTCGTTCTTATCTTATAAATTTGTTTTTAAAACTCTTTGAAAGAATTCACTGATTTTTTTTTTTTTACTCGCCAATCAACAATGCTATCTTTTATTTGTATATCGGAAATCCGAAAAATTTGTTAATTTACCTTCTAATCTAAATCAGAATTATTACTAATTATTACGATAATACATATACATATAATATATATATATATTTATGTATACATCGGATATTCTTATTAAATAAAAAAAGAGAAAAGAATTATTTTCTCATAATATTACAATATACCATTGTCACGTGTATAAAAACGCATAGCTACTTCTTTCATTCTATTCGATCGCGATACATAATATCAAAGATCAGATCGGAAAGACAAGAAGTCCGTGTGACAAGATTGCAAGTAAGCGAAGGGTAGGGAGCACAATGCGATTTTTTTTTAAAATGTCGACGAATTCTTTTTCCCCTGGAGGTAACTTTGGCTATCTATACCGTAAAACTACTGCTAATTGATGTAAGTCGATAAAAGGTAGATTAGACTTAGACGGTCTTCGTAGCGAACGGAAGCCAATCGTGAAGTGTCAGTCTCTCGCGCGACAATCATCATCAGAACGACGCTAGCTACGTTCGTTTTATTTTATTTCTATTCCACGGTGTTGTTTCACTCTGATTTTCATCCAAGCGAATTTTTACATTTTTTCTTTACCGTATTGTTTTCATACGTGCTTAATCATTTGGGTAAGTCTAAGAGAGAAAGTGATAACGAATGTAATACAATTATTAATTTTGTTTTATGGATGTTGTAATATTCGAATATAGTGAGTTTAACATTTAATAACAATAAATAAATATATTTTCGTACAATTATTTTGTTTTTTTTATATTTTTTTTTTCGCTTGAAGATTTTCAATTACTATTTTTATTACATTATAATTTTATACGATAGGTTATTTGAATCTCCCTCATTTGTTTAATGTTTTTCAGTGTTTACCTTATTTTACATTTGCCTCGATCCTTCGTTCGTTCAAATAACAAAAAACATAATGATAAACATTATGAATATAATTCTATCTTTCTTAATTAAAATTCTTCAACAATTTTATATTTTTCTTAATTATACTAATATAAAAATATTAATTAAATTATAGGAATTCAAAATCTAAAGATATTTTAAAAAAAACAAGAAAAATAATTTTTATCATTGTGTATATTTTTAAATGCTAATTAAAAAAATATTTTAACCCTTAAAGAATATTTAAGGAGAGGAGAATTTTATCATTGAAATAATATCATTCAGATATTAACTTATGCGAAATTACTTGGACTTAATACAGTATTTAGCACGATTATTTCATAATCAAACGAACAAATAAATTGTCTTTGATAAGAAACTAGGATATAGATATAAAGAATAAATAGACAAATGAGATTCAAAGAAAGAAAATGAAAAGAAAGAAGAGATCGGAATGGAAAGTTAATGATATCGAATTTTAATAATATCAATTAAAAAATTGATAGAGGAAAGTATATTGAAATGGGGAGTGAGGAAGGAAATGAGTTGTTATCCTAAAAAGATAACATTTTCGAGAATGCATGGTAAAACATGAAACATTAATTGTAACACATTAACCATTTCGTTATTTAGAAATGACAACATCCGATCAAACGATGTTAAACCAGGCAGAGGAGGATATTGGAAGAAGGCAAGCAGTCCGTATCATACACACTAGAGGAACTCATTACGACATTGGTTTTGATATTGTAAGAATTCGATTGTTTTTTTTTTTTCGATTCGCTATATCGCGATATATCTATTCGACGCTCATATTATAATCTTGCGCGGTTTTATGTTATGGAAACTTTAACAAGAAAAAAAAAACAAGAAAAGTGGAAACGAAAAAAAAAAAAAACTTAAGAAACGGAATCGTGAATAGTTACATAAGTTATAGAATTATTAAATTATTATTGCAATGATCGTGGTACCATTTGATTATATTTGAAAAATAAAATGGAAAAATTTTGAGTTAATCTCATTATCTTTAGAGGTTATGTTTATTTAATTTTTTATTTAATTTTTCGATCGATTTTTAATTGACATACCAAACATACCTATGTATCATATCATTGTATATTATATATAGGGTATTGTGTAATTGGTGGTAAAAACGTATAAGAAGTATAGTAGGTAAAAAAATAAAATAAAATTTAAGAAAAAAATTGAAAAATTTTTCAAGTACGACTAGACTATTAATATTATTATATGATATATTATGAATAAATTATCGATAACCGGTTATTCTACATATAAAAGTAAGCAAAAAATGTAAAATAAATGTTCTTCATTTAAAAATTAATTTTTCAAAAAAAATTGAATTTAGAAATTTATCAATTATATTTTTAATTGAATACGTCCAATCTGACTTTTTTAAAAACTAGGATTTAAGCTATAAAATTTTATTTTGTATTTTTTATTTATGTTCATATGTAAACTTGACCGATATTTCATTTACATGTATTGTAAAAAATTTTACTTATCGGAAAGTAGCTAATTTTAGTTATACTTGAAAATTATTCAAACTTATTTTACTCGGAAACAAAACTTCGAAAATAAAAATGAAAAAATTTTATTCTATTTTGAACTTATTTTTTCACATTCATTTTTTATTCGATTATACCACTTTATGTATCATTATTATATATAAATAATTATTGAATTATATAAATTTCTGTTCAAATTCTATGAATATAATTTTTATCAGTATTAATAATTGAACAGATATGCAAGATATTATAATTAATCGAATCTAATCTAAAAAAAAATTTTTTTTTTTACTTTTCTTTACATATTTATTTCAATATTATTCAACTATTTAGTTATTGATGTTTTATTTATACCAATAAATTACATACATAAGATTTGAATCTTTCTCACACCTGTGATTCCAAGAGATTGAGTGTGTTGCATAACATTGAGTTACATAATATTATGCAACTTGAGAAGTTTGCTGTTCAAAAAAATAATATATGTACAGATTTTACAATAATGCTCGCGTATTAAATGTGAAATACGATATTCTCAAGTTCTTCGGATCGAAAGAATATGAGAAATAGAGAAAAAAAAAAATCAATAGTTTGAATAGTTATCATATTAAAAAGTCCATCATATTGAAAAGTTTGATTTCATTCGATTCTAAAACCTATATTTTTATATTTTTCTTATAAAATATTCTTTATACAGGGTCAAACATTTTCCGGTTTAATTCAGAATTTCATCAATATATATGAACCACTTAAAAGTTATTTATCACTTTACGAAACAGAAGTGGGTAGAAAAATTTATGATGAGACTCTTGCCTGTGTAGAACAACAGTTTCCTGGATATTTGAAAGAAATTCGAGGAACAGCAGCAGGTGCGAACGTTCCTTTTTACAAGGTACGCAACTATTGTCACTTTTTGAAAAGTTTTGTTTCGCGCGTAAACACGTGCAAACATGCGCGCGCAACTGTTTCCCGCATATCTTTCTCTTAGCCTTGTATACAAATGAATTTATAATTAGTATCTGTTATACTTTTTTTTTTTTTTTTTCTTAAGAAAAATTAATCATAAACTAAATTTATTCGAACAAAAGAAACGATTATTTAATGAACGATAAAACTCGATCAAATGATTTTTTTTCTTACAGTTATTTCTCATGCATTTAGATGATATCTTGCCAAATGTGGCTAACGAAGGACAAGAGAATACATTACCGATTGGTTGTTCAACTATTATGTGCAATCAACCAGGACAAGTGAGTGATAAGAAGAAACATTATTTCTGCGATGGAATGCAATTATCAATGATAGATCTATTAAATCTTAATATTAATTTCATATTATTTGCTTTATATTACTTTTTTTTATTGATGTCTCGCAACAGGAAATTTTAGGACATAATGAAGATGCACTTAGCGAGACGTTAAATCATTGGTACTTGGTTTCTGCGCATGTAATTGAACCAGATAATAAAGAAGAGAAATTTACATCTTTGAGTTATGCTGGATTTTTACCAGGATACACGATGGGTTACAATCATCATGGTCTCGTTTATAGTATCAATACACTTAGTGCTGCTACCTTAAGGTCTGGTAAAACACGTAAGTATATTTTATTTACATTTATAGCACTCATAATACTTTTATTTTTTTTTATTCTTGCCATTTAAATAATTTAAATATTTTTTTTAATCATCTACATGAATTATTATTTTATACATATAACTTTATAAGCATAAAATATTTTTTTTGTACTTCCTTGAATTTTTAATTATATATAAATACACATTGCATTATAAACAAATAGTAGATATATATCATGCAATATGCAAATAACATACATACATGCATATGGATTTTCTAATTCAATTTTTTTTCAAAAAATCTCGAACGAGAAAATATTATTTTATTATTATTTTTTTTATCTTTATATGAGAAATCACTTCATACTTTTTTGTAATTTTTAATCGTATATATGTATGTACCTTTAGAAAGAAAGATTTTTTAATTATTAATTTTCATCTATTATATTATATTATATTATATCATTTTCTTTCTTTTAATTTAAATTAAATTAAAATTGTATTATAATTTCTTATTTTAAATTATTTTAAGTAATTTTTCATTTTAAAAATCATAAATGGAATTATACCAAATAGCCAGGTACTTCATAACTCGAGCGCTATTGACTGCGGAAAATTATGTGCAAGCTCAACAGATTTTAAGAAATGAAGGTTTCGGTGCAGCAGAAGGATTTTCAGTAAATATGACTTTTTTAATGCAAGAAGGGGATAGAATGTTCCATAATGCTGAGGTTGGTCCTTGCAACATTAATGATACGCAATCACAATTGAGTATTTTAACTGTTAGTCCTGGAGAGAATACATTTCACTGTAACAAGTAATTTTATTTTTTTTTTCAATATCTTTCTTAATCATTTTTTTAGGGTTATTTTTGGATAATTTTAATTTTTTTTTTTTTATAGATATCTTCGATTGAAGATACCAGAAGTAAAAGGTCTTATTATCGATAGTAGTATCAAAAGAGAAGCTGTTATTTGTAAATACTCTCCTGCTAAATCATACCAAGATGTTATAAATATTCTAAGCGATCAAACGGATGATGAACACAAAGTTTATCAAGACGGTCGTGTGAAAACCATAGCAACCGGTAGGTTTTTTGATTTATTTGTTTTTTTTCTTCTTTTATGCGACTAAATTATCATTATCATAAAAAGTATCGATCAAATATTTATACAAATATAGGTATCTTTGACTGTATCAAAAAAACCTGGTCTATCTATACGGACAAACCAAATCCTACGCAGCCGGTTTTGGTGATACCATTACAATTGCATGATGAATCAACAGTTTCTGCAATGTAATGAAAATTCGTTGAACAAATTAAATAGTTCGCTCTTCGAAAATTTTATTGACTATTTCATCGCAAGATATTGAATTGTTACTTACTTGTTCCTTTTATTCTTTTTGTTTTTCGTTGTTATAGCACATTAAAATTTTTTTAGAAATATGTATAATATTTCTGTTATTGAATCTTATTAGTTATATTGTATTTACAATATTCTCGATATTTTTTCTTCGTATTTTATATATCTTAACAAATTGTCTTTATCCGTAATTTAAATATGATCAAGAATTGAATTATATCATCGAACGTTAAAGATAAATCAAAATCAAGGTTTCTTAAAAATAATTAAATGCTTTTTTTTGCCTTCCATTTTCCTTTTTCTTTTTTGTTTTTTCATATCGAAAAAAGGTTATGATTTATTGGAAGTTACATTTAAACTTCAATATAGAATTACATCCAAAATAATTTAGTATCACGCAACTAAGCTTTGCAATAAACGAAATATATAAAAGTAGAACATATTACTTGTAATAGTGTTTGCAATACATCGACTTTTTGTTTCTATTAGAAACGAAAAATTTCCATAATATTCAATTAATACATTTCAACGGCAATATGTAGGTATCACAACTTTTGGTCGTTTCTTCGATTCCATTTCTGAGAAAAATTCCTTTATATCTTCTTCTCGTACGACTTTTTTATTTTCAGCAAATTTTTGCAAATATCGTTTCAATCGTTCCTTCATATTATTGTATTCTGCCAATATATGTATCCATCATGAAATAAACGAAATAATTATATCACTTAAACAATTTTTAATCAAATAAATTTTTAATAAATTACCTTCGATAGCCGTCATTTGTTCGACATGACCTAAAGAAGCAAGGGCTTTCATACCCTTTTCATATTGTGATTCTCGACTATTAATTTTACCAGCTTCCTCGTAAGCATGTACGCTATCCGTTGGATCAAGAAGAAACGCAATATTTTTCTCTCGGTAAAGCTATAATTACAAAAATTTTAAATTTATAAATATAGGGAATTAAGAATTTTTATTTGAATAAATGAAAGCATTACTTCTTTGCATGTTTTACAAGTACATAGAGCGGCTCTCCATCCTTCTATCCAAAAACAACTTCCTTGTGATGGTATTCTTTTTGCAGAATTATTCCTTGGCATTGTACATTCTTTCAATTGATTTTCAACATTGATTGATTCATCATCTTCTTTATCCCCATTAGAACCATCTGTCACTATAGAAAATATTATCATGTATACATCAAACTATTATATATATAATTTTAAAATAATAATGATAAACAATCAAACCAATTTCAAAGTACCTGTATATTTTTTGGCATAATTCCAAAGAAAATCATTCTGTCTCATACAACCAGCACAAATCATTTCATCATATGCAGCATCTGCTGGCATTTCCTTTTCGCATTCTAAGTGCTAGCAATATTAATTACAATTAATTTAAAAATGTCTCAATAAATATATTAATATATTACCTTTGAATGATACCAGTCCTCACAGATTATACATTGTAACATTTCATCATTGACAGTATCATCTGGATCTGGATATGGTCTTTCACAAATACAATAAAGACCATCAAAGTTATGGTTATATTGATTTTCAGAATTTATTGAATCCTTTGACTACAAACGAAATATCATATTAAAAAAAAAAAAAAAATAAAATAAAAATATAAAAATCAATAACAAACATACAGCATCTAGATTACACTTTTTCTCCCCAAACTTTGAATTGCCACAGTCACATCTAAAATGTCTTTTAGTATATAATTCAATAAGTTCATGACCTTCGTGACAATGAAAACTACAAGCAAGACATATTGCTGCTCGCATTGATTTCTGACAACAAGTTTTGCATGCATAAAGGGCTTGTCGTGTATAACCCTAAAAAAATCAAATGATTTATTTGAAGCTAAATTTCAAACTCATATTCATAAAATTAGTATTTATATCATAAGTAGTATACCTTGCTATAAGTACAATTTTTGTCATCAGATGCACCTAAAACCGCATACGCATCTTCTTCTAATTGATTCTCTTCTCGAAGTACATCTAACATTGTAACTGAATTTTCTTCTTCGATAACTTCTTCAACATTTTCAGACATTTTGTTTAATTTATATCCCACACCTAATAGTAAGCTAATTTAATTTGAATCTATTTAATATATTATTAAAAGTTTGAAATTAAGGTTATTAACCTCACTTTTTTTCTTTTAATCAATCTCTGTTCAATTAAAATACTTTTCAAATTAATATTATTAATTATGCTTTATTTACATTTCTAAAACGACAAAAATTCAAAAAAATAATGTTCCCAACGAAATAACACTAAACCACGTCTCGTAACGTTCCGTGTTGTTTTGCGCGACTCCTTCCGTTCAGCTCCTACAATTTAATCACTATTGCGATGATAGCGCTCTTACTTTTTACGAATCTAATTTTTATCTATGGAATTCAAATTATGAATATATTTATACTTATTAAATATATATTTGTTCTTATTATCCATACTCACTTATTAAGTATTAACAATTACAAAATTTATTAATTTATTTAATTAACGTAGCATTTCTTTTCTAATATTTTATTCCAAAATAATTCTAAAGAATTTAATTTTTACCTCAATACTGGAATTTCAATTATTCAATTTTTTACAATCACAATTAATATTTATTTTATGTATAATGCACTTTATTTCGCTTTATGTATATATTATCATCTATATAGATGAAAAAAGATAAATCTGACATAAGTATATACACTGGTATTAATAAGTATCAAGAGATGGCAGGCACGTTCAGTAGCTTTGCTTTTCGCGCCTTAATTATGCCTAACCTGTCTTAAATATACACATCTTTCCAACTTCTTTTTTTAAGTAAAAGATAAAACTTCTTTGGAATCTAAAAACTATTTAATCTCTTTTTTTATTACATTGTGAGTTCTATAAGATTAAGATTATTGAGTAATGGAGGAAGTAACCAAATGCAGGTACATCGATTGTGTCGACACACGGGAAAAGGAGCAAATACTTCATGAACTTCCCGTTTGTGATACCGGTCTCTGTGTGAGGTGGTTGATCAACAGTGGTCACGTGGATCTAATTGGAAGTGATCTGGATGCTTTACGGTCTATGAAATTTTTCGTTTGCAATAATCACTTTACGGAAGATTGCTATCTGAGTAAAGGTACCCTAAAAGAAAATGCAGTCCCTTCTCCACATTGGAGTGCTGTTTCAAGAAAATTGAGGAATTTGAAAATACGACGGGTAAATATTTTTTATACTGTCTATTTATTTCTGATTCTTATCTTTAAAGCATTCCGTAATATAAACGTAAAATATTTAAAATTATTACATTATATAATTCTCTAAAGTGAAATATTGAAATGTAAAATAGAATCTAAATTAACATAAATGAACATAAATAATTCAAAAAATTGTTCATTCAATAATTTTATATCATTATATTTTTTTCATTAAATTTCAGAAAATTCATTTAAACGGTCAAGAAGGTTCTATGGAGGAAGTAGCAACAGATCAAGTTACAGAAAAAAATGTTCCATCTGAATTTGAAGTGGATCAGTGGTGTAGAACATGTGCGACCAAGAAACAAAATCTTGTAAGTATGATGACCAAGGGAAAAGGCACAGATATGAGCCTTCTATCAAAATTGAAACTTTTAATAGAAATTGACGACGAAGATGCTTTACCAACAAAGATGTGCGATGAATGTGTTGACAAATTGGAACAGTCTTTTAAGTTTTTTCAACAGATTTATGTAGCAGACAATACATTGCGTCATGTGTTTCCAAATTCACGATCCAGCAATGCACCTAGAAAACCTCTTTATTCAATTGGCGAACATATGAGAAATGAACAGAAGGAAAAAGAAAAAGAGAAAGAAAAAGAAAGAGAAAAAGAAGAAGAACAACAACAACAGATTCAAGATCATGCTCCAAAAGTTACTCGTGGTATTTTTAGACGAGGTCGAGGTAGACCACGTACTAGAGGATATCCTACAAGATCTAGAGGAAGGCCAAGAACTGTTCACTTACCGCTTTCAGTTCCAAGTCCTAATCTAAACAATAATACCGTAAATGAAACCAGAGTAAATGAAACAATATTAAAAAATGAATCTCAAAATGTGACTCACGATGAAGAAAGACAAGGTAATACAGTATTTTCATTACTTACTGATACATGTCATAGTGATGAAGAATTAGATTGGTCAGATGTATTAAAAGTGATGAGTGATCAAAGGTATCAAGTTGTTTCTAGACAAGAAACAGAATCAAAATTAGAAGAAAATATACAAAAGGAAAAAACAGAGGAACAAGTAATTCAACCAGAAATAATGTTACAAGTAGAAGTGACATCAGAGACAATAAAAGAAGAAAAAAACACAGAAGCAGAAATTGAAGTTAAGGTAAAGGTAGAGGAAGAGATAGAGGTGCAACCTAATGTGACAAAATTAATTATAGAGAAAGAAGTTCAACGAATACGTTGTGAATTTTGCGACGAATCATTTAAACTTAGACGTCAGCTACAAACACATTTATTAACCGATCATTCTCAATTATCTGAACATATGTGTATAGATTGTCTAACTTGTTATGAAAGTGAATCGTTATTAACAAAACATCGTAGTTTACGCCACGGAGATCGAAAATATCATTGCGAATATTGCCACGAAGTATTTCTCGAAAAAAAGATTTTAAGGGAACACATTAAGAAATGTCAGCCACACGATATACTACATTATTCTTGCGATTCGTGTGGAATAACATTTATCTCTAAAGAAGAGTTAATTGAACATATGGAAAATCATCCAGAAAGTTCGATTGTATCATCGCACATGAATCTTGATAATTTGCAAAGTACTGATAATACATTAGTATCATCTTCAAAGCCCGTAATAAAACTCGAATCAGAATCTGAATATTGTTCCATTTCAACTTCAAAAAATACAAATGAAATTTCAGAATCGAATCCAGATGAAAAGAGCACAATTAATTCAAGTGATATATGTGAAATTAATATAGTTGAGGAAACGCAAGGACTGATTGATGAAGAGTCGATAGTGATGTGTCCGGATTGTAACGAGCAAATGCATAACACAGTGGAACTTAGTATCCATCGAATGCGTCGTCATTCGATGAATAGAAAGGATGCTACATGTCTTCTTTGCGACAACAAATCGTTTTCTTCATTAGACGAATATGAACAACATGTACTTGATCATTGCAAACGATTAAGAATATCACCATGATAAAATGAATTTTTCTTTATTACATAATATCGCGTCAGTGATAGATTTAATCTATTATATTGATTCATTATCAGTTAAAAAAAAAAAAAAAAAAATTTCGATCATATTAGATACAATTAAAGGATATCAAAGTTAATCATTTTATTAAAATATTGCACATTGTGTGCGTTTGTATTTTGTAGAACCTTCAATCTTATTTCTTATTATTATATGAAACAAGAAATATATTTTAATCGAAACATATTTAAAGTAATCGAGCAATTCGATCATTTTTTTTTTTTAATTTATCTGTAATATTGAGTAAATTACGTAAAAAAAGTACAAAAATCTGAGGGTAAAAATCTGTTATGAGACAGTGCGTCACATTCACGATAATGATATGAATTGTATAAAGAATAAATGCATCGATAGAAATAGATTTCTATACGAAATGTCATGACATACAGCACGTTTGTAATGTATTGTAACGTAAATGTGTTTCTTTCATTTCATTTCATTTCATTTCATTTAAAAATTTGCACGCGCGTGTGTGTATATGTGTAAGTTCTGTTTAATATATACGTATATATGTAAATAACATAGAGCGTGTATGAGCGCGACAGTAAGAATATCAGTACGCGCGCGAATGCAACGGTGAATCGTAATTGTTGTTTATTATTTACAATCGGCTAAGTTTAGCCGGTAGCTTTTAAAATTATTCATCAATAAATATGTCTTTTTTGAACTATAGTATAGTAATTTAAGAATAAAAACTGCTATTTCGATCCTGGTGATGTTTTGAGCGGTGAGCACGACGGTCAATGAATGCAACCATTCGAGAAGAAGGAATCGTTGCACCAATTGATATCTGAAACAAAAATCAATGATTTAATTCTTGGTAAGATTATCAAAAGATTTGTATTAGATTAGTTTGAATGTTGCTTAATTAGTCATTAAATTAGCATTGCTGCTTATATAATAGATCATCAATACAAGACAAAACTGATTCTTATGATAATTTAAAATCAAAAATTCTTAAAATAAAATATCAATAATTGTACAAGCACAATATTTAAATCAACATAATCTTAATTCTAAATTGGTGATGAAATTTTAATTTTATAAATTATCTTGAATATAATTTAACTGAGACTGTAAAATATAATCTTTTCTATACTTCTGCAATCGATCATTTCTTTCTTTGTCAATTCATATGATTGGTTGGCAAAGCTAATTCCATTGTTATAAATGTAATATAATTAATATAAATCAATAATAATATAATTAACATTTAATTGGTTACCTTAAACCAAGGTGATGATAGAATTAATTGAGCGGTTGCTCTGTCTTCTCCACGTAAACATAACAATGTTTCAAGAAGATTTTTTACATCAGACGATATATCTTTAAAATATTCATCAGGGAAACAAAAATCGCATTTTAGTATGTTCGCCGTAGTTTCTTCAATGGAATCATCCAAAAAGGGAGAAAGTCCGCTACACAAATGAAAAATTTCATAATGTTAATCGATAAAAATTCATGTTTTTGCATTATATATAAAAGTTTTATAGATTAATTGTGCATTTACCTTAATAATACATAAAGAAAAACACCAGCAGCCCACATGTCCGTATAGGATCCTGTTGGTTTACCGAGAACCGATTCTGGAGCTGCAAATTCCAAATCAACTGGAGGAACAACTTCATCCAGTGGTACCGCTCTGACAGCTTCACCAAGATCTATTAGTTTTACAACACCAGTTTTCTCATCAATTAGAACGTTTTCTGGTTTTAAGTCTAAATGAGCTCGTTTACGTGAGTGTAACCAGTGTAATGCTGACAGTAGTTGACCGGTATACTTTGCAACAGTCGCTTCGGTATATTCAATTTGTTCGCCAAGATAAATAAACAATGTGGAACCTTTGACCCTGTACGCGAAAATAATAATAGAAGAGATTCAATATCGAGACTAACAAAGAACCGCGCTAATTTTTCAAACTGCAATTAATCAAATAATATAAAAAAAGAAGAAAGAAAAAAACGAAACGAAAAAATACTGACAACTCTAAAACAATAGTATCGATATCCGGTTGAGGTGTATCCTCGAAAAGTGCAAATGCTCGAACAATATTATCATGGCGTATATTCCTGAGAAGATCATACTCGGCACGAGTTAACGATAGCGGTTGCTTCAATCGAGATATTTGTTTGAGTGCTACTTCTCGGTCGAATCCTTTCTCCTTTGCACAGCATACTCTAGCAAATCTACCAATTCCTAATTCTTCCAGCTCGATATATTTGTTATTAAATTGTTCAATTTCTACATTTTTCGTTACTTTTTTTCTCGAATCGGACAATGTTACAATCGACGACGAGGTTTCCTTTGTCGTTAATCCGTTTGATCGATTGCATTCGATTGTATCGCACCAAGCGTTTGTCGTATCAATACCTACGGTGAAAAAATATATATTAGTTTTTTATTTCATCGTGTATTATATATACAACAACGTACCTACGATACTAAGGGGAATTTTTGCTGAACAAGAACCCGTTTCATGTTCGACGCGACAGTGGTAAATCCCGGAATCAGAAGGAAGGCAAGGAGCAATTTCGAGACAAAGGGAATCGTTCGTTCGGTAAAGTCGATATCGATCGCTTTCCTCGATGTCACATCGTTGCCCCTCCTTTCTCCAACGTACGACTGCACGTTCCACGCGGCGAGCTTCCAGTACGAGCCGAGCCACGCCACCTGCCGTCGCCCTGATCGAACACGGAATAGTCAAAATCGCGGGAGGACCGTTCTCTTCCGCGCACATATCTTGCGGAAGACGGACGTTCTCTCCCTCGGAATCGATTCTTCGCGGACGGAAAGACCATGCGCGGCTGATCGATGAATTTGGAACGAGACTCGCCGGAATCCAGAATTCCTCCTTTTTCCCGATTACCGGAGAGACGATTAGCCCTGGACCATCCACACGGAAGATCTCCAATTCTTCTCCAGCATGTAACTTGCCCCAATCTGCGGTTAACCTTACTCTGCTTCCTGGAACGATCTACGGAATCTCCCGGTTAACTTAACGAATCTTTGATCTTTCCTCGATCATGCACCGGATCATCGATATCTTTCACACCCCACTCCCGTTGACCACCATTTCACCATTCTCTCTTGATCGTTTTAATGTTCGAAGCGTTTCGTCTATCCAATATCTTGCGACATATTATTAAACAGCAAGCACTCGATGGCAACAGTGAGCAGCAACAGTGACCCAACACTTAATAAATACAGCTAGCCAAATATATCGTAATAAAACTGCAGAAAACTACGGTGTTTAGCAATAGTGTGTAGCAATAGTGATAGGATATCAACATACAAAACTGGAAAAAGGGTTCTACCAATATTTAAAATAATAATAATAAATTAATATCGCGAACATAATAAGATAAATAATAACATCGACGGTGGTAATAATAGATAATAAAGAAAATCTACAATAATTATTATGAATTGTATTCAAGAAATGTAATCATGACGACAACAATAAATGTAATAACGACGATAACGACAATGACAATGACGAAGACAACGATGACGACGACGACGACGACGATGATGATGACGATGACGATGATGATGATGATAATGATGGTGATGATGATTATGATGATGATGATGATGATGACGACGAAGACGATGATAATGGCAATAACGAACGCGATTGCAATGTAATATTAAAAAATGAAAACAAATGGAAGGGAAGGCAATAACGATGCAAGAAGCAACAACTACAGAGTTAACATGTTTGAGAGCGTTTCATTTTGATGTAAAATATGTACAAGGTAATACTGGTTTCGTGAATAAGAATAACAAATCGTCAAAAGTAATCAGAGCCTGTAATATAATGAGTGCAGTAATATTGCACGTTGAGAAGAGATATCAACGAGAAATGATATATTTCATTATTTGCACTATTTGTCTCACAATCAATGGAAACGGTGAAAATAAAAAAGTTGTTACCGTACCAACGAAAAATTATATGACAGAGATCGAATAGCAACAGGCATCAAGAGGAAGAGAAAGAAGAATCCTTTTGCTGCAATTGCAAGAATTCTAATTACGAATAAAGATAAATAGAATTGTATATATAAACTTATAAGAAATAATAATAATTTCGATATTATTGCTCACCGGAATAGAGTTGTTGCGAACAGGTGATCGTGGGCGTAGAGTACTTCTGAATCCTTCAAGAAAGTTCAGTCTGCTTTTGCTAGGACTTGGCGATTGCGAAGAATCCTGATCCAAGCCTCCAGTACGAGGTCGCTGTAAAACCGACGTTGTCGTAGCTGTCGCTGCTGCAGCTGTAGCTAATGCTTTTGAAGAGGTAGTAGCAGCGATTTCATTTCTCCGTTCTTCGTTCGTTTTAGACATGTTCGGTATTGTTGATGAAAGTACACTCCCTCGACATGGAGAATCCGGACTCACGCCACGACTGTACGCCAGCAAATTATAAATAAAATTCAAACACGGTACTGCATCTATGAAAATACACTTTTTGTCGTATCGAGTTATTATAACTCGAACAAGATATTATAACTCGAATCAACACTCGGATTTAAAGATAAATGATGATATTCAAGTTTTATTATAATAATAGATTTAAAATTATACTGGTTTACTTTATACAATTTTTTTTTTTGGGAGATAATAAGGGAATTCCTTTTGAAAAAGATAAATCCATTGCTTAAAATGTTTAATAAAGTATAAAGCGATCTGAAATTTTAATTAATTAAGATGAAAGATATTGATGCAATACCATGTCCTCGTAGAAAATGATAAGAAAAACCAAGCTGTTAGTCAAACGACGAGTAAATAGTGTTAAATAGGCGTAGGAAAAGGATGCATCACAATTAGAATGTTGACCAATGTACAATTTATTCTAAACAAAATGTTTACGTTTCTCGAGTTTTACTTTACGTCGTCCTTCATGAATGCACATTTATGTACAGCATACTATCCCCCGCATTCGTTCAATCTTGCAGTTATAAACATTATTAAAATTATTATACACTTGCAGCGTTACGTCGTTAATAGGTAATATAGCTTTTGGTGGGGGTGAGTCAGCATGTTGGACATGCTCGCTTGGCTTGATCATGCGTCATTTATTGCATTGTGTAATGTTTATTCTTACTTTACACACGCGTGATTATCCGTGCATGTACATACAGATACGCGCATGTAAATTTCTCATTACGTGAAAATCAGTGAAACGTGCTTCCATAAACAATAAACAATAGGATTGAAAAAATTGTTTGAGCCAAAAAGACACAGCAGTACGTAGTCTCATTCGTTGTTTAATCAATTTTCTCTTTTAGAAATCGTTCCTTCTTATCAAATTTTTGTAACAAAATCTGTCTCGCCCCCACCCCTTCCCTTTCCAGCGTAATCTCTCACTCACTCTCTCTCTCTCTCTCTCGTACATCCGCACGCGCGCGTGTAAACGCGAAATACATGCAGTCACGCGACAGACACATAACTCACATAAACAGAAGCATGCAACAAACACACCTTTCCACTTTAATATTATTCTTTTGCAAACAACAAGATACCAAGGAGGTGTTACGAGGATGTAAATTGTGAGTGGGTACGTTTCGTTATACCTACCCTTACCCTGCACACAGATGTGTGCAACACAGTCGATAAATAACAGAATGCTTGATAATTTGTATCGTATCGTATCGTATCGTATTG